TTTGCCGCATACGGTTCTTTGTTTGCCGTATACGGCTTTTGGTCTGCCTCATACGGTTTTTTATTTGCCGCATACGGTTTTTTTTTGCCGTATACGGCTTTTGGTCTGCCTCATACGGGTTTTTAATTTTCCGCATACGGTTTTTTGTTTGCCGTATACGGCTTTTTGGGCTGCCTCATACGGTTTTTGATTTGCCGCATACGGTTTTTTTTTTGCGTATACGGCTTTTGGTCTGCCTCATACGGTTTTTGATTTGCCGCATACGGTTTTTTGTTTGCCGTATACGGCTTTTGGTCTCCCCCATACGGTTTTTGATTTTCCGCATACGGTTCTTTTTTTGCCGTATACGGCTTTTGGTCTGCCTCATACGGTTTTTGATTTGCCGCATACGGTTTTTTGTTTGCCGTATACGGCTTTTGGTCTGCCTCATACGGTTTTTGATTTGCCGCATACGGTTTTTTGTTTGCGTATACGGTTTTTGGTCTGCCTCATACGGTTTTTGATTTGCCGCATACGGTTTTTTGTTTGCCGTATACGGCTTTTGGTCTGCCTCATACGGTTTTTGATTTGCCGCATACGGTTTTTTGTTTGCGTATACGGCTTTTGGTCTGCCTCATACGGTTTTTTATTTGCCGCATACGGTTCTTTGTTTGCCGTATACGGCTTTTGGTCTGCCTCATACGGTTTTTGATTTGCCGCATACGGTTTTTTGTTTTCCGTATACGGCTTTTGGTCTGCCTCATACGGTTTTTGATTTGCCGCATACGGTTTTTGTTTGCGTATACGGTTTTTGGTCTGCCTCATACGGTTTTTGATTTGCCGCATACGGTTTTTTTTTTGCCGTATACGGCTTTTGGTCTGCCTCATACGTTTTTGATTTGCCGCATACGGTTTTTTGTTTGCCGTATACGGCTTTTGGTCTGCCTCATACGGTTTTTTATTTGCCGCATACGGTTTTTTGTTTGCCGTATACGGCTTTTGGTCTGCCTCATACGGTTTTTGATTTGCCGCATACGGTTTTTTGTTTGCGTATACGGTTTTTTGGGCTGCCTCATACGGTTTTTGATTTGCCGCATACGGTTTTTTGTTTGCCGTATACGGCTTTTGGTCTGCCTCATACGGTTTTTGATTTGCCGCATACGGTTTTTTGTTTGCCGTATACGGCTTTTGGTCTGCCTCATACGGTTTTTGATTTGCCGCATACGGTTTTTTGTTTGCCGTATACGGCTATTGGTCTGCCTCATACGGTTTTTGATTTGCCGCATACGGTTTTTTGTTTGCCGTATACGGCTTTTGGTCTGCCTCATACGGTTTTTTATTTGCCGCATACGGTTTTTGTTTGCCGTATACGGCTTTTGGTCTGCCTCATACGGTTTTTGATTTGCCGCATACGGTTTTTTGTTTGCCGTATACGGCTATTGGTCTGCCTCATACGGGTTTTGATTTGCCGCATACGGTTTTTTGTTTGCCGTATACGGCTTTTGGTCTGCCTCATACGGGTTTTGATTTGCCGCATACGGTTTTTTGTTTGCCGTATACGGCTATTGGTCGGTCTGCCTCATACGGTTTTTGATTTGCCGCATACGGTTTTTTGTTTGCCGTATACGGCCCCGGCGAACAAGGCGTCGAGGAGGAAGAGGAGGGGGTGTTTTTTGTGGAGGCGAGGTCCGCGGCGAAGCGCCTTGCGGCCCCGCGGGGTGGCACGGCACGGCACGGCACGCCACGCCACGGCGCGGCACGGCACGGCGCGGCGCGGCGGCGCGGCCGTGGAAAAGGCGAGGGAAATACGTTTGAAAGGAAAAACAGCGATCAAGGAACTGCGGGCAATGAGGCGGCGCAGATCAGCCTGTCGCTCCGTCTCTCTCGCACCCTTCCGGGGAGCCCCGTGAGTGCGACAGAGACGGAGCGACGAAACGATTCTTCTGAATCGCTCGGCTGATGAACGGCCAATCGATGAAGGCCGTTCGGTTCGGACTTCGGACCGGCAGCCGAATTGCTTTCGTTTTTTTTCTGACGGTGTACCCACCCTCAGACTGGTCCCGGCCGGCCGGTCCCCGGAAGGGAGGTTGCGCGGGAAATGTCCGCCGCGGCACTGCCACGCCACTGCCAGGGCACTGGAACGCGCGGCGTCGCGTGGGTCGGGACGGGACGCAGCGCAGCCGCCCACGCAGAGCGCTGTTAACCGAACGCCGTTCGCAGACAGTGTGCCGTGCCCTGGGGCTGCCGGGCTGCCGACCCGCACCAGGAAGCGAGGGCAACGCGCTGTGCCCGTCTCTCTCGCACTCACGGGACGTGCCCTACCGGTGCGAGAGAGACAGAGCGACGAAAACGACGACTCTCGGAATCAGTCTGCCGGCTGCGCCCCAATCAGAATTTGGGGGCCCGTAAACCGGCAATGATTCCGTGAGCGGACTCTGTGGCCGTGGCCGTGGCCGTGGCCATCATCCCGCGCCCCGTGCCGCAGCCCTGCCGCCGTGTAACGGAAAAGCCATCCGGGCCTGGCCTGGGCGGGACGGGCCGGGACGGGCCGAGCCGAGCTGGGATGAATTATTTAGCAGCGGACCGATTGAAAAAGCCCGAACCTCCTCGCGCGTCGTGGTGCCATCTCGCTCTCGGGGTTGGTGGCCCTGGCGGCCCTGACGGGGTGCTCCCTGGCTGCCGGCTTTGGGGCGGACGGCCTCAACGCCGACAACGCCGCAAAGATGAAGGGGCGTCACGACTGCGTAATCAAATGAGCAGCAAGTTGAAGGTGGGCCCAGGGCTGCCTCCAGCCTGCCTCCAGCCTGCCTCCAGGGAGCGCCAGTCGGAGGCAGTGGGCGAGCGCGACTGCCGGAATGTCCTGACTGCCGGCGCGCCCGACGGCGTGCCCGAAGGCGTGCCCCGCCCGCTCCGCTGCCTGCAAGGGGCACCTTCCCCGCCCGGCGCGCCTGGCCTGGGTGCAGAGACATTCCCCGCGTACACCGCAAACACCGCCGTGTGTTTTCCTATCGGCGCGTTGACCGCTCGGGTAAAAACGATGAAGACGCAACGTCAGCAGGCTCCTCGATGGAGTCGTTTCGTCGCGCTCTGTCTCTCTCGCACCCCCACGCGACGCTGCATGTGAGAGTGAGTGCGACAGAGACAGAGCGACGAGGCGAGGCGACTCCTCGGAATCGGTCTGCAATATATATGCATCTCGCCTTCTCGGCGTGCCGGGGCACGTCCCTGCCCCCTGCCTCCCTGCTCGCTCCAACTATCGCGGTCCTGGAAAGCCGCCCCGCCCCGCCCCGCCCCGCCCCGCCCCGCCCGCCCCGCCCCGCCCCGGCCGTCCCTAGGCACTCCGCCACGGCTGTGCTCCACAGCCCGCCTTGCCTGCCTTGGCCGCCTCTACTCGGCTCTGGCCGGTCTAAGTCAATTAACCAGCCGGCAGTCCTGGCCGTCCTAGTCCCGGTGTCCCCGCTGCCGGCTGCTTCCGAGTCCCTCTCTCTCTATCTCTCTCGCACTCGTGGGGCGGCCCGTACGGGTGCGGGAGTCCAGCCTGCAATAGCCGTCGTGCCTCGGGCGGCCCTTCGCCCCGACTCAAGACGCCCTCCAGCTCCAGCCAGGCTCCAGCCAGGCTCCAGCCAGACATAGCCAGGCCCGCGTCGCCCTGATTGTCACCCCCACCCCCTCCCTCTCCGTGTGTATATTGTACGGCCGCTAAGTGAGTTACGCCCCACGCGCCGCTCGTCGGCCACGTCGGCCTCCGCGGCAATTTCCATCCGGGGAATGAGCACGCCACTGTCGGCGCCCGTTAGAAAGTGGCCGCGTTGCGTTGCCGGCTTGTTGTTGTTGTTTTGTTGTTGTTGATTTTCATCATCAGCCCTGTGCCTGCCGGTATGCAGCAGCGGGTGATCCGGGATGCTCACCGATGCTCATAATTAAGCGGGTCCGCGTTTCAACTCAAACCCTCGTCAGTTTGCTCTCACACACACACACACACATCGGCGTCGTTGGAGGACGGGGTTCGGGGCTCGGCGTGCCCCGGCTTAACCCTTAACCTTGCAATCTGCAGAGTAGTTAGCAGTTGGGCGGCGCGGCCCCGGCGCTCGACGGCGGCACTCGGACTGCCGGGGTGGCCGCTGTCGTCTCTGTCGCACTCCCACACCACCGGCCTGTCAGCGGGCGTCCTTGTCCGTGTCCGGCAGTCCGGCGCGCCGACTGGTGTGGACTGGTGCTGCCGAGAGGTGGGCTGGTTACTTATTCATCTGCGCTGTGGCTGTGTGTGTGCGGTGTGTGGGGAGACTCCGTCCCGGCTGCCGAGCAGATTAGGCTATTTCCGGGGAGCGTTTGGGCTTGGCCCGGCGCGGCCACGCCGCCGGCCACGGTCCGTCCGGGCTGTGACGCTGTGCCTGGCTGTGCCGCGACCCCCGGCCGTGGCGCTGGTTCCGCTGCCTTCCGTTTCGGCTCGGCCCCGGGCCCCGTGCCTTTGAGTGAGTGCGTTCATTAGTGTAGGCCACGTACTGCAGCCGTCCAGGCCGTCCAGGCCGTCGCCCACCTCGTCAAGCGGAATTTTAAATTTGACGCTCGCTGCGGGTTGTTTGGCTGCCGGTCCTGCCGGTGGTGTAACCCGTCCTCATCCTCATGTCGGCTCGTGTTTGTCTGCTTCCAGGCGCGCCGCGGCCGACGACCATGCGCGCGAGGCGAGTCCCGGCGAGGCCGTCGTGCCCCTGAGGGACTCCGCCGATGGCTCCGGCCCCGCCACCGCCCCCAGCGCCGCCCCCGGGGCCCCTGGGGCGGCCGCCGCCGCCACGGCCGCGACGACGGCAAGGGTCAAGTCCCCGTCCGCCTATGAGGACTTGACGGTGACGCTGCCGGGGGCGGTGCCGTCTCCGCGGCGGCCGCCGCCCCCGGGCAGAGCCGCCAACGCCTTGAACGGGGAGAGGAGCCCGCGCACCGCCTCGACGGCGGCCTCGACGGCGGCCTCGGCCCCCATCGCCGTCCCCGCCTCGCCGTCGTCGTCCACGGCGTCGTCCGCCACCACCGTGGTGCAGAACAGGCTGAGCCTGGCCGCCACACCGGAAGGCGCCCCCGCCAACGGTGCCTCCCTGACGCCGACGTCGCCCGCGCCGCTCGTGGTGAGTCTGAGACTGGGACTCCACTTTCCGTCCTCCTCCTTGCCCTTCTTGCAGTGGAGTCAAGTTGTTCGTTGCTGCAGGTGCGCACCGACGCGGAGGACCGCAGCACGGACGTGAGCTTCGACGAGGAGTTCCCGTCCGCGCTGCACGGCCGGGCTCTGCGCTCCAGGACGCCGTCGTCGGACAGCCCCTGCCGGTCCGAGGCCGACTCCCCCGTCGAAGACCACCTCCACCGCCACCGCGACTCGCTGCCTGGGTCGCCAGGGTCGTCACCTTTGCCGGGGTCACCGCTGCAACGGCGGGCCTCCCACCAGGTAAGGCAACTGGAGATGAGAAACATTGGGAACGTCTCGCCGAAAAGTACTTTTGTCGCTGACTGTCCACTGTGCGGCGTGTTGCAGGCGTCCCCGGCCACGTCGCCGCTGCGGCAGTGCGCGTCGGCGGGCTGCAGCCCTAGACTGTACCTGCACTCGCGGTCGCTGGCGGGCTCGCTGCCCGGCTGCGGCTCCAGCTCGACCGGGGCGCTGGAGCCCGCGCTGCCGCGCCCCATCTACCCCAACTTCCCCTTCTCGCCGTACGGGTCGCCGCTGTCGTCGCCGAGGTCCGGCCGCCGCCGGCCGCCGCTCCGAGAGTCGCGGCGCGTCTCCATCGACAAGTCGGGCAGCTTCCTGCAGCTCAACCAGTACCGCCTCATGGACTCCATCGGCCAGGTGAGCGGAATCAGCGAAACCCACACCCGAGGCGCCCGAGGCCACATGCAAGCACAGCGGCCACGGCGGCCACACCATGGCAGAGCGGGGGAGTGTCCAGTTTCAGCGACGGCGGCGTGGCGTGGCGGCGGCGCCTGCCCCGCGGCAGTCGGACGCCAGATTGGTTTCACCTTTTGTCTCCCCGGAGTGCAGACGGAGATGCGGCGGATGCGGCGCCTGCTTCCCTCCCTGGTCTGTTTACCATTTTAGCCCGGCTCGCGTTACGGCGCCCGGCCGGCAAAACAAAAGGCTGAAGGACGTCGGGATGAAGTAGAGTAGAACTGGGGCGGGGAGGGAGGGGCTGCCGCCCGCTGCCGCCGCTCTCTTCTAAACTTGGTGAATTAATATGCGGTGAGTAGTCGGCGGCCCGTCCGCTTCGCCGTGGCAGTGTTGCCACACAAGTAGGCAAAAATCTCCACGAGACAACCTGTGGAGGGCTGCCAACCTCGGACCTACAGCGTGCTAGGTTACTGTACCCGGGCCCTGCCCCCAGCATTGCCCAGCATGCAGGCTGCCCCTCCGACACTGGCGTTTGCGTTGCCACACTGGGGCCACCGACGCGGCTGCAGCGGGGCGCCCTCGCTCGAGTCCCCCTCGCCCACATGCAGACCGTCACGCCGGCGCCGCTAATGCGTCTTGTCGTTCCAGTATGAAAAATTGGTCGTCTCGGATGGGCGCCTCTCCGCTTGATGTACGATCGGGATGCGCGGCCCCAGCCAGGCCCCAGCCCCAGGCAGGGGCCCGGGCCTTCGTCCGGGCCGGGGGCGGCGGCGGGTTACGGCGTCTACCTCAGGGTACTTTCCCGGCCGGGTATTGAACCCATAAACTGGAGCAGTTAACACCTCCCCCGCGTTGGCGGCGTTGGCCCGCAGGGCGGGCAGCCGGCGGGCGTCCTAGAGTGCCTGGGCTGGAGTGAGCAGCAGACTGCCTTCACAAAGTTGCCCTTCGCGCGCACGCCAAGCATCATGGCGCAGCCGAGCCAAGTTGGCGAGCCGTCCTGGAGGCGTGAACGCGCCAAACAAGGTTATGCATCACCTCGCACTCACTCTCTCTCGCACACACACACGCACGCACTCTCACCCACGGCGTGTATCGTCGCTCCGCGTGCCAGCTCCCCACCGCACGCCGCCGCTCGGCAGTATTTTCTCTGACTAGCCTTCCCCTCCCCCACCCCGCGGGCCTTCAAAGGTTCCCCTTTGCTCTCTCCCTCCCTCCTCTCCGTTCCGGCGTTCCGGGCGAATTACTCCCGAAGCCAGCCGCGCGCTCCTCGGCCGAGAGATTTTCTCAGAGAGAGACAGAGAGAAAGAAGCGCGTGAAGACGGCTGCGGTGTGACAAAGTCCGACCTAGTCCTCCGTCCTGTCGGCTCGGCGCGGCGCGTCGGTCGATCACCGCAAGGGCTGTGCACGGGGAGAGAGAGCGAGAGAGAGAGAGAGAGAGAGAGAGAGAGAGAGAGAGAGAGAGAGAGAGAGAGGGAGAGGCGAGAGAGAAGGCCGCAGCCGGCTAAAGCGGTCCGCAGACACGCGCACAAACACACTGACAGACACGTGTCCGGCTTCCTGTACAAGTCTTGGCGTCGCAGAGGCCGTCTGTCGGGAAACCATTCGCAACAGCCGTCTCTCTCCCTCCCCCTTCCCTCTGCCGCAATCTCACTCCAGTCCGGCCGTGGAGGCTTGCGGCTGCCAGCAGTCACCTGGCGCGGCTACTTCTTGAGAACGAGGCGATGTGGGCGTGCCGTGTAACTGTGTAACGCGGCCCGGAAAGAAAAAGGAAGTCTTTGAATCAAGTCGGTCGGGTCGCTCTGTGACTCGCATTGCCGCGGCCGAGATCAAAATCCGCAATGCCTCTCGCCATTCGGGTCACGAGCTCCCTGCTCTCGCGCACCACGGCCTCTGCCCGCCCCTAGCCTCCGACTCGTTCACCTGTCCGAGACCCTGCGCGCCCGCCGCCCCGCCCCGCCCCGCCCCGCGCCGTGACAGGTGCTGAACTTGAATCTCGAGTTTGGTTTCGAGGCTGTCCGCTCCGCGCCGTTCCGGTCCTTCCAGTGGAGGCCCCGCCGCCCCGTCGAGGGACAGAGAGAGGAACCTGCGTTCCTTGTCGGCGTCTTTCCTGTCGGAACTCAATTTTGTTTTTGTTTTTTTTTTCACCTTCGTGACGCGTGTTCCAGAAGTAATCGGACAAAGTTTTCGAGCCGTGTTATTAGGTTGGGAGCTGAGGGCGAGTAGGACCTCCCTACCGGTCTATTGTAGCTGCCTCGTTGTTGTTGTTGTTGTTGCTGCTGCTGTGGCTGCTGTTAAAAGCGTGTTAGTGAGCTGGCCGCTGTCTGAAGCGCATTATATGAGAGAAGGGCTCCCTCCTCTCAGCCTCTCATAAGCGCGAGCGCACCCAGCCAGTCCATGCCCAAGCCACCCGATCCGTGACGAGCGCTCGCGCAAGAGGCGGAGGGGCAGCATAGCCAAGGGATTATTCGATCTTCCCGTTCCCACTGCCCCCTGCTGAAAAGGCACGACCCTACGCTCTGGCGTCGGCAACTTCCACCAACTTTCCAACGCGTACCCGGCTCTTCCGTGTGCATGTGTGTGTGCATGTGTGCGTGCATGTGTGAGCGTGTGACGGCATGCGTTCCTTTGCTCGCCACGCCAACCGTACCGCGCGTTCGAACAGTACACGGTAGAAACGGCTCCTGGTTTTCCCAGGAAGCCTATGGTACAGACATAGGCGATTTCCAGGGAGTTTCTGGGAAAACCAGGAGCCGTTTTTGCCGTGTACTAGCGTCAAAGGCCGTGTCCGTTCCTATCGGCTGCTCAACTCCTCATTCGGTCTGCATTCAGAGAGCCCGGCGCGCTCGCCCGGTCGATGCGATGAACACGGTGCTGCACGCGGATCGGCCGCGCTAATCCTTTACGGCAGTGGCTCGGCCCGACTCGGCTCGGCTCGGCTCGGCTCGGGCGCGCCATCGCACCGCACGCGATTCCCTCGTCTCGCTCGCACTAACAAGGCCCACGAGGAGCAGGGCCGCTCATGTCCTGGCGCCGCGCCGCCGCGCCGCCGCACTGCCGACCTGGGACACGGATGGAAGCCACCACGCTGCTACGGCTTTCCAGGAACGAGCGACCGTTGTCTAACAAGAGCTCCTCTCCGCGCGTCTCCGCGTGGCTCCGCGTGGCGCAGCGTCCCAGCGACCTGAAACCGGAAGTATTGGGAATTCCGAGGAATCCCCAATCGGCAACGGGCGACGAAAAAGTTCGAGTCTAAAGCCGCCCTTTCCTTGAAAAACCTTGTCGCTTGTCGACACGGCACGGCTGGTTCGAAGCCGGGTTCCTTTCGGGTCTCATCCTCCGAGGAATGATTCCAAGGGCCTGTGTCACTCCGTCTCTCTCGCACCTGCACGGGACGCCCCGTGAGTGCGAGAGAGACAGAGCGACGAAAGCGACTCTCGGAACCAGTCCGCTGCAGAGCGCTGCGGAGCGCCTGCGAAGTGCGGGTAGGCAACGCGCTGAACAGGGCTGCGCGCGTGCGGCCTACCCCGCCTTCGTCGGGCGCTCTGCCTCCCTCTCCCCCTCCCTCTCCCTCCCCTCTCTCCCTCGTCCGGCACCGGATGGCCGGCTTAGCGGCCAAGGCGGTGGCGCACCTGCCCATTCCCGTTCCCGGCCTGGCCGCAAATTAAAACCGTCCGCGGCTCCGCGGCACTGCAGAGTCGTTCGGTGGCTCTGTCTCTCTCGCACCCCTGCGGCTCTGCGGCACGCCCCGCGAGTGCGACAGAGACAGAGCGACAAGGCTGCCGAGGGCCGAGGGCGCGGCCGCGCGGGACTCATCAGCTAATTCGGCGGCAAAGCTGCTCGGCTTAGCGCGGCAGCGGACTGATTCCGAGAGTCGTTTTCGTCGCTCTGTCTCTCTCGCACCTACGCGGGACGCCCCACGAGTGCGAGAGAGACAGAGCGGCGAAAACGGGCGGAGGCCGACGGAGTGGCAGCGGAGGAAGGCGAGTCGTTTCCGCGGTGGTGGTGGTGACGGCGGTGACGGTGTTGACGGTGGCGGCGCCGTTTTCCGCGAATTTGAGGTCGCGTTGGTTGTTGGTTCAGCGACGGCGGCACTCCAGACTCCAGCGGGCCACTCCAGCCGCGTGCGGCCCCGTGCGGGGTTTGCCGTCTGTCACTTGTCGGGCGGCTGGAGTGGCAGGGCGGCGCCGGGCGGCCCACTGGCGGCGAGAGAGCCAACCCAAAGGTGTATCCGAAGGGGGAGGGGGACACTGCGCTGGTTGCCAGCCCTGCCTGCCGGCAATCGAAGCGTCCTCGCATCGACTAGTGTAATTGCCCAGCGCCTCGTTACAGGCACACCCCGCGCCCCGCAGCGCGGCCTGGCGGCACGGCGGCAGTCCGAAGCCCTGCAGAGCCCTTTCCGTCGCTCTGTCTCTCTCGCACTCATGGGGCGTCCCGTATGGGCGCGAGAGAGGCAGACGACCCGCGGAATCAGTCTACTCGACTATGGTTCAGCCGATCTCCATTTTCCGGTCGCCATTTGCATCGTGGGTCGCGGAGTCTGCTTCCCGTGTCGTCGTGGGCCGCGTCCGGGTCGGGGTTGGGGTCGGGGTTGGGGTCGGGGTTGCGGCCCCCACTCGGGGTCGGGGTGGGGGCTTGGGTTGAGGTTGGGCCCGGCCCGGCCCGCCTGGCCGCCGTCACGTTACGCGGTGCGGCGCATCCTGGAGCCGGAAAAGCGGTGCAGACTGATTCCGAGAGTGGCTTTCGTCGCTTCGTCTCCGCCGCACCTGTACGGGACGCCCCATGAGTGCGAGAGAGACGGAGCGACGAAAACGACTCTCGGAATGGCGAGGCGGCGAGCGTTGTCTGCTAATTTATTTCCCGCCCTCGTTCTGCTGCTTCCTGTGCACCTTCTCCGTGTTGCCGCGCGCTGTTCTTCCTGTTCTGCTTCCTAATTTCGGCATCTGGCGCGGTGGGGGTGCGAGCGGATTGATCCCCTTTTTCTTTCAGTCTTTCTTTCCCTCTCTCTCTCTCTCTCTCTCTCTCCCCCCCTTTCTCCGGTGACTTGGCCTCCGAGGCGCGGGCGGCAGAGCCGGAACGCCGACGGTGACACATTGCCGGATATTGCAGGATGAGTGTCCGTTTAGGCGCGCCTCTGGTGCTGCTCGAGGTGCTCGGAGATCGGCGCCACGCCTCTATCTCTCTCGCTCGCTCCGCCACTAGGGACAGTGGCGCTACTTTCCGGGCCCGTCCCACTGCGGCACGGAGTCCATTGTAAAGTGCCATTATTTGATTTCTTCCCTTTTAGTCCCCTCTCTTTCTTTTTTTTTCCGGAATTGAATATAAGATGTTCTCTTGACTGGCGGAAACTGAAGTGAAGAGTACTGCGGCACTCCATCTCCCCCCGCTCTGACTGCCTGTCTGACTGCCTGTCGGGCTGACGCGGGCTTCTGGTTCCGCCCCTGCTCGGTGCAAGGTACAATGGACGCGAGCCTCGCGGGCCCTCCACTCGACGGCCGGGCTGCCGAGCCAGAGCCAGGCACGCCAGGCAGGCAGGTGCAGTCGTGACGAGTCGTGGCGCCGGCACTGGTAATCATATGCAGCGGCCGGCCAAACACCATCAGTCTGGCCAAACAAGGGGGGGGGGGGGTGCTCCATCACTGTACAGTGGCGCGAGTTGGCGGGAAGGGAGTCCCGTGCCCTGAATGTGTTTGGCGGATGGTGACAATCGGATAAAATCAAAACACGTTTTCCAATTTAAAAATTGATAGATGTTAAGAGTCACGGTTGCCAGCACGGCGAAAGTCGTGAAACCGTCAGAAGGACACCGAGCGCCCCATTGAGAATGATACATTTTTAAAAAGTTTCACTGAATCCGACATGTTTCTCGACATGGCGATATGTGGGGCCTGCGGCTGGCCTGGGCGTGTCGTAATCGCCAGGCTTTGTTTTCAAGCTGGTCGGCTTGATAGATGGCTGCGGATCCGCTTTCAAGTCGCCGCCAAACGGCCGCCCCGCCCCGCCCCGCCCCGCCCCGCCCCGGCCCGCCTGATCCATCACGATGCGGCCGCCATTAATCCCCCGAAACACACACAGCAAGAAAGGGCCCGTTTGCTGAATATTAATCATTCGAAGGGTTCAATCTAATTCGAGCGCCACGGCCGCACTCTCGCCTTCCACTGTGATTTACTTCTTTCATCGCGAGCCGCGTGAGTAATGGGCCGCGACGCGGCGCGGGCGCCGTGGCTCAGTCGGTAGCGCGGCGGAGCGGGAAGCGGCGGAGCCCGGGTTCGATCCGCGCCGTCGGCCCCCATTTTGGCCGGCCGCCAGTCGCGCTGTCACTCAGGCGGGGGACCGCGGGGACCGTCCCAGGGACTGCCCCTGTCTGCCGATCCGACGGCGTCCATTTTCGTGCGTGTTTTAATCATCACCACAGACTGATTCCGAGTGGGAGGCCTCTCTCTCTCTCTCTCGCACTCACGAGGCGCTCCGGACCGGTGCGAGAGAGACAAACCGCCGGCCGCACCGCGCGGAATCAGTTTCCTGAGGGGCTCGAGCGGCGCGAGGCAGCGCGAGGCACGGGGTAGGAAACGGGGTGGGTCGTCCGCCAGGCCGCCAAGCCGCCAAGCGTATGCGGCGCGCGCCCCGCCCCGCTCCGCCCTGCCGCGCGCTGGGTTATTACCACCGCGTCGCGCGGTCAGCGAGGCCCATTCCGAACGGCGCGCGCGTCGCTCCGTCTCTCTCGCACTCACGGGCATCGCCGCCAGCGTGCGAGAGAGACGGAGCGACGAGATGGCGCGACTGTTTGGAATCGGCCTGCAGGGGGGAGGAAAAGTTGCGGGCAACTTTAGGAATAACGGGCGGGATGTAAAACGATGGCTGCGGGTGTGCGGCTCGGCATATGCAGCCACACGCACGCTCACACACACACACTCACACGCGGGCATTAACTTGGGCAAAAAGAGGGTGGCAGCCCCTTACCCCGATGAGTGATGAACGAGCTCGCCGCAATGTCCCCCCTGGGGCTGAGGGCTGAGACACACGCGCACCGAGGGACCGGGGGGGGGGGGGGGGAGGCCGTTCTCCGTTGGCTGGCGGAGCACTCGCCCGGGACCGCGCACTACGCAGCGAGCGCGTCGTCTGCACGCGAGCAGCGTAGCGTCCCCGCAGGTTCCCGTCCCAGCTCCCGCTGCAGGTTCACTCCGAACTGTCCCTCCTCGTGCTGTCTCTCTCGCACCCCCAGCGGGGCAGCCCCTGGAGTGCGAGAGAGGCAGGACGACGGATGCGCTGTCCGGAAGCACCTCGCGCGGGTCGCAGGTCCCAGTCCGCACGGCCGGGCCCACCGCTTTTAGGCGACTTTTTGATCTCCGGGCCGAACGGCCGACACGTGCAGACGACGCGTGCAGACGACGCGTGCAGACTACAGTGGCGTGACGGCTTTCCTGTCTTGTTGCAGGGCTCTTTCGGCATCGTGAAGCTCGCCTACAACGAAGAGGACGACACGCATTACGTAAGTCTCACTCCGTTTTTCTTTCTTTTGTTTCTAGTGTAGGCGGCGTCCTCGTCTTTTTAGGTCATTTATTTCTGTACAGCGCTGCCCTGCAATTGAATGAGGCGAGTGCGTTTGAGACCCCATCCGGGTGTCGCCTGGCGACGCTGTGCCTCGGAGGCGGGGCGAGGCGGGGCGGGGTGGGCTCGCCTGCAGCATGTTGGCTGGCGGCAACCGATCCGTGCGCCGCCCCGTCCCGCCCCGTCCCCCCCACTGTGATTGGCCGTACCGGTCGAGGAGTGCGAGTGCGCCCCGAGCACTCCAAGGCGGGACAATAAAAGGTGGCCGCCACTGGAAGCGTGTCATTTTAGTATTTCGGCAGCCCTCTGACTAATTTTTGGCATCCTTCGTTCCAGTTTATTTTTTCTTTTGACAACCCTCAGGCTGTTTTTTTTTGGCATCCCTCATTCCATTTTATTTTTTCACAAACCCGCAGGCCAGTTTTTTGACAACCCTCAGTCCAGTTTCCTGACAATAACCCTCCCTCCAGCTAGTAGTGCTTTGACATCCCTCAGTCGTCCAGGTTTTTCCGACATCCCTGCTCTGGCTAGTTTTTGGACAACCCCGTTTCGAGCGTGCCCGCCCCGTGCCCGCTGCTCGTGGTGCGTCCTGGTGCCCCCGCCGCGAGCGACCTCGGCGTGTTCGCGTGGGCTGCATGCCGCCATGGCCGCCGGGGCCGCCCCGCCCCGCCCCGCCCCGCCCCGTGCGTAAAGGCCAAACGGGGTGACCCCGCCGCCACAACACCCACAACAACCGGGCCGACCTATCACAGGACTTGTTTGTTTGTTTTTTTAAATTTAATGACTCTTTTTAGGAAGGGTGGGAACGCGTTGCTCTCACCGCCCTCAGGACAAACGTCAGCAACTCCCCTTTCGCCGTATTTTTTCTTGTTTTTGTTTTTGCCGTGAAGCCTGGCGGTTAGATCATCAGCGGCATATCCAATAACAGTGTGTGACGAGAGTGGCGGCGCGGTGCGGTGCGACTCGCCCCGTGTGCCGTGACTGCCGTGTGTGTTTGCGGCCGGATATTGCACTGCACTGCCAAGGAATGCCGCCGACTGGATGGCGAATCGCAACGATGCCGTAAACTGATCTCTAATTGGGTTTGCTACCCCTGCCGTCTGATTTCGACGGTCGTGTTTAGTCGCTCTGTACAAACTAGTTACTACGCTAACCTAGGTCGCCACCGCGAGCGTGCGGCGGCTCGGCGCGCGCAGCGCCATCTCGCGGCGACTCGCGGAACCTCGTCCGCGCGCGAGGCCAGTTTGAGCGGTGACAAGAGTTTTGGCCGCCTGCGCCGGTCTTCTGGCTTACAGTGTGCCTTCATGTAAGGGGATAGTCGGTGTGGTCACCGCGGCGCCCTCATTGCGAGGCACGACAGTGTACATCGCTTTGACATTCGTAACTACACGCGGGTCAGGTGGCCCCGGGGTCGGACAGTGGGAGTGGGGCGGGGGGAGGGGGACGACACTGTGTTGTCACATTCCCGCTGATGAGCTCCGAGTGGCGTGTTGGCGGGCCGGGCCGCGCCGCGCCGACAGCGGCGAGGTCGAGGCACTTGGGGGCCTCGAAATGGATTGCTTTGGAAATGCGCGGCGAGGGCCTCCGGGCCTCCGGGCCGCCGGGCCGTCCGTCGGGCCGCGGCCTCGCGTCAACGCCACGCCACTGGATTATCGTCGCCGTCCGCGCGGCAGACTCACTCCGAGAGTCGTCGCTCTGTCTCTCTCGCACCTATACGGGACGCCCCACGAGTGCGAGAGAGACAGCCCGCCACGCCACTGGAGGGCTCTCCGCTTAAACAAAGCGGAGCGAGGGTGAAGTGCAAGTAGTAAGTAGTGTAGGGGAGGAGGGCGGGGGGCGGCAGTCAAATTGGATGGGGACGTTGTTGGTTCGAGAGCGCGCCAGGCGTGGCCTGGCCGACCGGCCGACCCGGACCGGATATTGGAGGGGCTGGGGGGGGCGGTCATTTAGGATCGCCTGTTGAGGCGTGGAGATGTTATTCGGACGTCACTAACGGCCGGTCCAAATGAATACACATCGTCCATAATGTGTATTCGTGTGCGTGTGTGTCCCTCTGTATGTATGAGCACTCGGCGCCTTGCCGCGGCGACTTGGCAAAGGGCTTTGCGGAGTGAGTGAGGGAATGGGGTGGCCTGCGTCAACACTGGAGCAGCTGCAGACTGATTCCGAGCGCCGTTTCCGCCCGTCGCTCTGTCGCCCTCTCTCATGGGGCCTTCCGCATAGGTGCGAGAGAGACAGAGCAAAGAAAACTTTTTTTTTACAATCGTGGCGGGGCGTGGCGGGGCGTGGCCGATGTGACGGCTGCGGCACGGCGATGTGAGGCGCGGTGACTCAAGTGTCTGATCGATCCGGGACGGGCCGCGACGCGCCGCGCCTCACATCGCCGTGTTTATCTCGTTTACCTTACCTCTGCTCGGCCAGGAATTTGTAGCCTGGAGCCTCCAGCGGGAGGAGGCCCGTGTGGCGAGGGCCGCGTGGTAACCCTATCCCCCCCCCTTACCTGCCCCCGGCGCGCCCCTTGGCTGCGCGTACTAGCAGTGCCGTGCCGCCGTGTGCCGATGGCGGGATTTTCTGCTCCAATCGGCTTTGTTCCCGCGACGCGATTCACGGTCGGCCGAGTTAGCCGGCATCTCGCTGTCTCTCTCGCACTCGTGGGGCGTCCCGCAGGGTACCGCAGGGGTGCGAGAGAGACAGAGCGACTGCCCGCAATGAGCCTGCACTGCAGGGAGCTGCTTTGCTGCTTTGGTGTTTCGCCTGGTGTAGTGTGTTGGCCCCGTTGGCCCGTGCCGCTCGTACACTGTGCGGACGGACACCTGCGGGCTGCTCCTAGGTCCCGTCGCTCTGTCTCTCTCGCACCCACAAGGGACGCCCCGTGAGTGCGAGAGAGAGCGCTGTGGAGGGCCTCGCGTGCCGCAGCACAAGGGCCGCCCCCTCCCCCCGGCCGGCACAAAAGCAGCAGAATGAATTCGCCTCGTTCGTTAGTCCCCCTTCTGTGGGACGAGGACACGACGACCAAAGTAATTAGTGTTTGTTATCTTCTGTTTTGGGATTACCCCTTACCCTGCAGGGCCGAGAGGCGAAGAGGGGGGGGGGGGACTGGGGCGATTCGGGCATCCGCGAATGCCACCGGGGCTCGCCCCAAACTTCCCCCTTCAGCCCCTGCGGCCCCGCCCGGCCCCGATCAAAATCATTTTTATCGATTTAATTTATTTCAATCCTTCATCGCCTTCTTACTAGTTTGCCTCTTTTTCTCGCTTGAGATTGCGCGCAGTCCACTGCCGCCTTCTACAGTGGCCCGCCATTCGCGCCATTCGCGCCACCCCTTCAAAAAAAGATAATATTATACTTTTCGGCGGGCCCTCGGCGTCCATTTTCTGTCTCTCAAATTATTATCGGTTCAAAAAAAAAGCTCCTAAAAGCACAGGGGTTTGTTTTGACTCTTTGTGCGCATCTTTTCTCTTTTTCTCTGATGCGGAAACCGTGCGGGCTGTGCCCAGGCTGTGCCCAGGCTTTGCCTCGGGGCTGCTGCCGCTGCTGCTGTTGCCGCGCGGACTGTTCCGCCGACCCACCCGACCCGATTTTCATCCCCTTTCGCCCCGGAGGACCGAAGGAATGAAAATAGGACGATGAAAAATACAAGGGGCGTCGAAATGCAGCAGTGAGGCTTCGGGGAGGGCCAGTCCCGACGCACAGTGGGCCAGAAGACAGACGCGGGCGGTCAAACTCTGGGCGCGTTTTGAGCCCCAGAGTCGCTAAACAGGACTCGAACCGGACGTGTGACCCCACCAATGCATTCCTCGTTCTGAGAGCAATCCATTGGTGGGGTCACACGGTTCGGTTCGAGTCCCATTTGGCGACTCTGGAGCTCAAAACCCGTGCGGGATTTTTGCCCGCCGCCAGCGGTCTTCTGGCCCACTGTGCGGGTCGTCGCTGCAAGGCGAGCAAGGCACTGTAAGGCAAGGCGTTGTGGGAAGGGCCACTAGCCGCGTCGACCCGCAGCGCTCCTACACCGTAATTCGCCTCATTCGCGGTCCCTTTTATCGTTCCCCTGTTCAATGTCTTTCCCCCGCTGCTCTAAACAGAGGAGAACGACCCAGTGGCGTGCCCGCAGAAGCGCCATGCGTTTTGCCCTCACTCAGACGGAACGCACTGCACTTTGCGTTAAGGCGACTTTTTTTTTACCAACAACCCCTCCGGGAACTTCCAAGATATTTTTTATGACAGTGTGCCTTTCTTCGCGTTGGCAAGGAGACCGGCGTTGTCAGCCTGCCTTGTCCCCCTTGCCAGTGGCGGCGCGCGTTTTTTAGAAGTGCCGAGACGTTCGGGCGAATCTGGCGCCAAAACCAGGGTGCGCTCATTGGCTGGCCCGCGCGCTGCCTCCTCCAAAGTGCTCGGAAAAGTGCCAAATTCTTGTTCGGAAAGGAGGAGAGGACGGAACCGGCGGCGCGGAAAAAGTCGGGGAAAGCAAAAAAAAAAAAAAAAAAAAAAAACCTTGAAGAGCGCGTGTGCGACTAAACGGATAGCGAACCGGCTGGCTCCCTGCCCGGCCGTGTGCGGCAGGCACTAAGACTCCCAAAATGAAATGGTAGCGACGACACCCGGTTAAACGAAAACGGACAGACTGCAGCAAAATTCATCGGATGGACGCCCCGCAGCCGTACTAATGGATGTCGCTTCTTCTTTCTGTTGCAGGCGATGAAGATTCTGTCGAAAAAGAAGCTAATGAAGAAGGCCGGCATGTTCGGTGAGTGCACTGCGAGTCGTTTCGTCGCTCTGTCTCTCTCGCGCTCATGGGGCTCTGCGGCAGGGTGCGAGAGAGACAGCGCGACAAACCGATCTTCCGAATCGCTCGGCTGGCCGACATTGAGGCGTCAACAACCATCAATTACAGTGGAGGAACAGGAGAAAAAAGACTACGGCATGATAACGACGACACATTAACTAGAGTGGGCCGATACTGAAAGGGGGGGGGGCACGTGGACAGTAGGGCCTCGGGCATAAGAGCTCGGCAAGAGTCCCAACGTGTTTCGCGTCGAAAATAAATGAAAATCGGCATTCTGACTCCGGGGACTGGCCCTGTTTTCGTTCGATGCAGCACGATGCAGCATTAGGTCCACACTGTAAAAGGACTCTCGGATTCGGTCTGCGGGCACCTCTCGCTCTGTCTCTCTCGAGCGAGAGCGACACGAGGGTCGCGGGGCTGCAGGAGAGCGGAATCAATCGGCGGACGGTTGTTTCTGCCGGCAGTGCACTGTGCCGCCAGCAGCGCCAGCCACGCCAGCCTCCAGGGACTGGCCGGGACGTGTAGTGCGGTGCGAGTGACTGACTGGAGTGACTGACGTAGTGACGCGGTGACGCCGTGACGTGCGCGCTGACGGACGGCTCGGCGTGCCTGCGCGTGCCTGCGCGCCGGGCGAACGCCAGGCCGAGCACCATCCCGTCGAGCCTAAGTGCTATCGACCTAGTGCTCGACTGGGAGTAGGCCTGCCCGCCCGCCTGGCCGCCCGCCTGTCTACTGGTGTACATGTAGTACCATCGACATCCCCACCGAAGCGCGCTGAGGTCTCTCAAACACGCCTCGCCGCCCACCGTGTGCTGATTGGCCAGGTCGACGACCTGGTCCGACTCCGGGCCAGACGTTCACGATGCTAACGACGTCCTCGACGTCCAGCACGTCCGGGACGGCGGTCCGTGGCGACCCCCAACGTCGCCACGCCGTGGCTGCGCGGAGACTTTTCGGTGTGGCCTTTCTCGCGACGTCCATCGGGCGAACGGGGTCGCCCTGCACTGCAAGAGCAGTCTCCGCGCGCCTTTCCGGCCCTGGCTGGAGGCAGTGTGGCCCCGAAAGGGCGTCCATGTGCTGCTAGAGCCCTTGAAGGGCGCCTCTCGCCTGCTGCTTCCTTTCGCCCCTCCCCGGATAGGGGCTGGCGGGGCTGCCGGGGTCAAGAAGGCTGCAGCCATAATGGCCATGACGGCGCGGACGCTGGCGGACGCGAATGCATGCAGTGGCTCTGCAGCATGACGCCCCTACCCCCACCCCCTGCACTATCCTCGCGCTACCCAAATCCTCCCCCTTCCCCCTCACTCACACACTCACACACACACATGCACCAACTGAGGAAGCAGACGAGAGCCGCACTGTGGCAGCTGACATGTATACCCAAAGAGATGCGGGGCGAGGCTGGCGAGGCTGTCCAATGCCAGGCACGCGTGGCAGTCGTGACCCCCCCCCCTACCCCCCTCCGGTCCGACCTGGAAAGCCCTACGCCCTTCGCGCACGTGTGTGTGTGTGTGTGTGTGGAGACATCACTGTAAAAGAGGCAACGTTGCGAGGCGACAAGAAAAAAAAATGGCGCGTCCCTCGCTGACATATTCCGCAATTTTCATGTGACGTCCCCCCTCCCCTCTTTCTCTCTCTTCGCCTTCTCTTTCCTCTTTCTTTCTCTCTTCCCTACACGTCCTTTCGGCCTACCCTTGGGTCCATAGCCTGGCCAAGAAGTGCAGCGCGGGGATGCAAACAATGTCTGCGAGTTGTTCTTCCCTTTGTTTGTTTGTTTGATGAAGTTTGTTTCTGTCTGTGTGCAGGACGCATCGCGCCCAACCGGGGCAAGGCGGCGCCGGCCAACCCGCTGGACAGGATCTACCGCGAGATCGCCATCCTGAAGAAGCTGGACCACCCGAACGTGGTGAAGCTGGTGGAGGTGCTGGACGACCCGGAGGAGGACCACCTCTACCTCGGTGAGTGCCCCTGCCGCCCTGCCCCTGCGTCAATCATTTTGGGATGGGGGCGGTCCAGACCAAAGAGCGCCGGTCCGGATATTTCATACGGTTTTATTAGTTGTTTTTTCTTGTCGTTTTTTTTTTTTTTTTTTTTTGGGGTTGTTGGCCCTGCGAGCCCTGCGGCCTGCGCGCGTCGCGTCCCCGGCATGAAGGGCGGTGGGCCGTGCCACAGTGGGCCAAAAGACCGGTGGGGCGTGTTCAAAACTCTAGACGCGTTTTGAGCTCCAGAGTCGCCAAATGCGACTCGAACCGAACGTGTGACCCCACCAATGGATTGCTCTCCGAACGAGGAATCCATTGGTGGAGGTCACACGCTCGGTTCCAATCCTGTTTGACGACACTGGAGCTCAAATTGCGTCTAGAGTTTTGACCGCCTCCACCGGTCTTCTGGCCCACTGTGCGTGCCGGGCCGCGTGGGCCCACCGTGGGAAGGAATCAATACCAAGCGTACTTATCGCCCGTGAGCAGGGACTCGGAGTATGAAAGAATAGACCTCTTTTTCGGAGGGTGGGACGCGCGCGGCTCGCCCTATGATGATTGATAGGGGCCGAAACGCAGCCGGTGGGCTGACTCCGAGCAGCGCTGTCTCTGTCTCTCTCACATCCACGCGCCCGGGCGTGCGAGAGACAGAGCGCGACAGAGCGATGGTACACTGGCTCGGAAGCGGACCTACTGCCCGCCCTGTCCATGCGTCCAGTGCTCGGCGCGAGTTGAAATCAAATTAAAGTGAACGCGCGGCCGGTCTGTCGAAAAGCGCTGGCCGGGCCCTATCCATGGCCCAAGCCCGGCGGCCTGGGCCTAGCCTGGCCCTGGCAGCTCTGACCGCCAAGTCAGGGTCGCAAGTCAGGGCCGAGTCACGGAAGTCACGAAAGTCACGGCAGTGCCGCATCGGCCGTCTGGAGTGCGGGAGGCGCTGCCATGGAGGCGCTGCCATGGAGGCGCTGCCATGGAGGCGCTGGAGCCAAGTGCGGAGAACGCGCACCAAGGGGTGCCCAACTCAAGATAATCATTGCACGTCTAGTTGGTAATCAGTGAAATAATCAACATCATCCAATGAAATGACAATCATAATACTTTCGGGGATTCAATCACTTTCGACCATTTTTGTGAGACCACTGCTCCCAAACTATCAGCGGTCAAAGCCTCCCCGAGGCGGAGCATGAAAGAGCAGGGTCTTCAGAATAGTAAGGCGTCGAGGAAGGCCTATGACCGCAACTAAATTGGATGTAGTGAGCGCTCAAAGTCAGCAAAAACGGTGATTTTCTGAAATTCATTCACTTTTTGACCATTTTTGCGAGACCACTGCTCCCAAACTATTAGCGGTCAAAGCCTTCCCGAGGCGGGGCATAAAAGAGTAGGGTCTTTAGAATAGTAAGGCGTCGAGGAAGGCCTATGACCGCAACTAAATTGGATGCAGTGACCGCTCAAAGTCAGCAAAAACGGTGATTTTCTGAAATTCATTCACTTTTTGACCATTTTTGCGAGACCACTGCTCCCAAACTATCAGCGGTCAAAGCCTTCCCGAGGCGGGGCATAAAAGAGTAGGGTCTTTAGAATAGTAAGGCGTCGAGGAAGGCCTATGACCGCAACTAAATTGGATGCAGTGACCGCTCAAAGTCAGCAAAAACGGTGATTTTCTGAAATTCATTCACTTTTTGACCATTTTTGCGAGACCACTGCTCCCAAACTATCAGCGGTCAAAGCCTTCCCGAGGCGGGGCATAAAAGAGTAGGGTCTTTAGAATAGTAAGGCGTCGAGGAAGGCCTATGACCGCAACTTAATTTGACGCAGTGGCTGCCCAAAGCCACCAATATTGAATTTCCGACACTTTAATAGCTTTCCGAGGTCGGCTCTCAAATAATCCCCAATCAACATAATAACCTCCTACAATTAGTGATTAATAATAAAATAATCAAAAGAAATCACACGTAATCATACTCTTAATATAATCAGTGTACATGAAAATATTGAGTTGGTTACCCCTTGACGCGCACTTAAAAGGCGGAGGCGTGGCGAGTTTTCAGCTTCCACACTGTAGAACGTGCACTTCATGGAGTTCTTCACGTTTGCACCATGCCGAGAGATATGGGCCCACACTCGAAGTGCGGATTCTGAAAACTCTACTTTTCCAATTGTGCGGGTAGAATTTACTCCGCACCAGGAAGTGTGGAGTTCTCCGCACTTGGTTTGACAGTGGAGGTGCTGGAGGCGGGGTGGATTGAATAAGTTTGCCCGTGCCGTGCCTGGGCGTGCCTTGGCGTTCCGTGCCTCGGGCGGGCTGGCGACTCGGCCGGCGACCAGGGTCAAGAGTAACGGGGTAATGGTCGTCGTTAGGGAACGGGCTGGGCGGGGCGGCTTGGAGGGCTATCGGTGCCCGGCACGACAAGCAGACAACAAGTGCCGACAACAATTTGGCGCAAACAAGAACGAGTAAACTCCGGGCGCTGCCGCGCTGCATTGCATTTCCCAGCAGCGTCCATGACGCACACAGCGCATCCACCATGAAAATTGAGGCGCGCTCCGTCTCTCTCGCACGCACGGCATCGCGCTGCAGGGCCGCGGGGGTGCGAGAGAGACGGAGCGAGGCAGGGGGCGTGGCGCCGCAGGGCCGGGCCGGCGAGTCCGGCCGGTGTAATAAGCGCTAGCACTTGGGGGGCTTCCGGTGGCGTGCGCGTCGCGTGCGCCCCGCCGACTAAATTCGATCCGATCGCTTTCCGGAATTAGTTTGTATTTTCGCGCTCCCCGCGCTTTCTTCGCTTTCCCCGCGCGAGTCCCGGCAACGCCCTGGCGACGGTCCCCGGGAAAACAGTCCCCGGGAAGCGGTCCGCGGAAAATGGCGGAAGATGCAGGGTTCCTGTTGTTTCTGGTTCCCTAGACATTGCTCGTTGCTGATGTTGTTGTTTGTTGTTGTTGACAGTGTTCGAGCTGCTGGAGCGCGGCGAGGTGCTCCACGTGCCGACAGACACGCCGCTCAGCGAGGCGCAGGCGCGCCAGTACTTCCGTGACGTCGTCATGGGCATCGAGTACCGTGAGTACAACCTCGTACAACGAACAGGCGGCAGTCGCGGCACACTGGAATGCCAGGAGACCGGTGGAGGCGGTCGAAATCCCGGACGCGTTTTGAGCTCCAGTCACTGAATAGGAGTCGAACCGAGCGTGTGGCCCCACCAATGGATTGCTCTCCGAACGAGGAATCCGTTGGTGGGGTCACGCGCTCGGTCCGAGTCCCATTTAGCGACTGTGGAGCTCAAAACGCGTCCGGGATATCGACCGCCTCCACCGGTCTTCTGGACCGCTGTGCGCGGGTTCGCCTCCCGCCAGGGACGCGCTCCCTCCCTTTTTTGTTGTTGTTGTTTGGCCGGCCCGCCAGGGACTTCCCTCGCTGTCCGGTTGGCCGGTCCCGTCGGTCCGCTATGCAACCCGTCGCTGGCTCGGCGCGCAGGGCGGCCGGGCCGGGCGGCGCAGGGTGGATGCGATGCGATGCTATTCCCATGTGGCGCCCGTCTGCGCGTCTGCGATGCCGATGTGCAGCGCATGCAAATGGCGCATGCGAGTGTGTGTGTGCGTTTGTGTGTGTGACTGTTGTTTCACGGAACCACGCATCCGCAGCTGGGCTCGCGACAGCTGCTGCGTCGACAGATGGCGTCATGATATGATGTATATTCTCGCAGGCCAGCTTCCGTTTTCTTCTTCTTCTTTTTACCGCCCCTTTTTTCTCAGTAGTAAAATTCCGCATAGCATAGGGATGAAAAATAAAAAGGTAGCAAGAGGGACGGCCTGGTTGATAGTAGTGGGTTCATAAATTGGGTCCTCCCCCGCTGCGGCGCGCTGCGGCGTGCTGCAGAGGGCCCGGGGCGCGGCTAGGCGCGGCCATCCGTCAGCGGGGCCCCCTTGGCCGCCCCCTGGGCCGCCCCTGCCGAGGAGAGGGCACAAAAGCAGAACGGATAGGTGTGCGTGATAATGGAAATTTGAACGGCCTTGGCAGTTTGCCATCCATCCCGACCGGATCGGGCCGTAATCCCCGCCGCGCCGCACCGCCGCCGTGGTGGCGGAGGCCGTGGAGGCCGCCGTGGATCCTCTATCAGCCTCGGCCCACCAGCCGCCGGCTCGCTGGAGCCGCTAGAGCGTCGAAGGATCACCCTCGCAGCAGGCGCTGGGCGCCAGCGCGCCAGGCGCTCACCCCGGCGACCGCCCTCGCCCCTCCCCTCCTCCCCGCCGGCCTGCTCGGCCCCACCGCAGTGGAGGCACGGCAGGGTCCGGCCCGAGCCCGAAGCCCGAATCGAATGGCAGTGTGCGGCTCCGTGGCGTGGACAGCGGCCCAAATAAAAAATGGAGTCTGAAAGCCATTGGCGCGGTGCTGCGCGGTTCGGACGGTGGTTTCGGCGTGCTTGCGGCGGTCGGCGCCTCGTTCGCGGCCACAGCAAGGGAAAGGGAGAGAGGGGCCGGGGGAGGGGAGGGGAGGGGGCCCGGCCCGGCCCGCCCACGCAGTCAGACTGTGTTGGTATTAGTTCCAATTTCCAATGGGATCCGGCCAAACTGGCCAAACTCCACGCCGGTCGGCCGTTCGGCGGGCATTCCTCCGCTCCCATTCCCCGGCCGCCTTATCCGCCTCATCCCTAATCCGGACCCCTAATCCGGACCCCTAATCCGGATCCCGGAATGCAGAACCTGGCGCAAGGCGGGCAGGCCGGCGTGCGCTGTGCGCTAGCGTCGAGTAGCGTCGCCGTTTCGGCGCCACGGAAATCGACTGCGGATCATCCCGCTGCTTGCGGCTTGCGGCGCAGAGTGGCGGATGGAAATGGGAATGGCAGCCGAGCCGCGCGGGGACTGGGACTCAAACACCTCTCTGCCTCTTTGCAGTGCACTACCAGCGCATCATCCACCGCGACATCAAGCCGGCCAACCTGCTGCTGGGCGAGGACGGGCGGGTGCAGATCGCCGACCTGGGCGTGTGCAACGAGTTCCTCGGGCAGGACGCCTTCCTGTCCTCCACGGCCGGCACGCCCGCCTTCACGGCGCCGGAGGCCCTCAACAGTCGCCAGTTCAGCGGCAAGGTGCTGTCCCCGTTTCCCCGTCCATCAGCCACGTCTGTGTAAGGACTTGCAGTGTGCTCACCCCTTTCGGTTTTGGGTTTCCAGGCTTGCGACCTGTGGTCCATGGGCGTCACGCTGTTCTCCCTCGTGTTCGGCGACGTGCCCTTCCTGGACGACAACGTCCTCACGCTGTACCACAAAATCAAGACGGAGGCGGTGCGCTTCCCCGAGCGGCCCGCCATCAGCGCCAAGCTCAAGGACCTGATCGGGCGCCTGCTCACCAAGGACCCCGCGCAGCGCATCACGCTGGCCGAGGTCAAGGAGCACCCCTGGGTGACGGCGGACGGCGAGGAGCCGCTGCCCTCCGAGGAGGAGAACTGCGTGCTGGTCGAGCTGTCGGACGAGGACCTGGAGGGGGTCGTCACCTCCATCCCCAAGCTGGACACGCTCATACTCATCAAGACCATGCTCAAGAAGCACTCCTTCCAGGTGAGCGCTAGACCCTTGCAGTGTCCTGAAAGGAGATTGCCCGTTGGTGATGAAGAGGACGGGCCAGCCGATCCAGCCAGCGCCAAGCCAGCGGCCCCGGCCTCTTGGCCAAAACAAACGAGTCCCGCCCCAAAACTCGGCAAACCAATCAGTGCTGTGGACCAAACGGGCCAAACGGACCGGGCGGGTTTGTGGGCTCGTGGCTTGCCTGGCTTGCCTGGCCTGCCCTGGCCCGCCCTGGCCCGCCCTGGCCCCAGGAGACGGGAGGCACTGGGGTGCAGAGCCGCTCCTCCAGGGCAGCGAGGCCGGCCAGGGCCAGGGCGGCTAGAGCCCCTGCGAGGTAGGCAGCGCGGGGACACCGGTGCGCGGCGTGCTGCCTACCCTGCTATTGACAGGCGCTCTCCGCCCGCTCCTTGAAAGCACCCTGCTGTCACTGTTGCTGTTGACACCGTGTCCTGTCCTGTGTTTGCAGAACCCGTTCGCGGCGCGCGGCTCGCGGCCCGCGGCGGGGCCGTCGGACCCCCACCGCGGCGCGGGGCTGGCGTCCCAGGGCCGGGAGTCGCGTCTCGGCCGCTTCCAGATGAGCGGTCGCTCCAACTCGGCGCCCGGCGCGTACGGCTGGGCCAAGGAGCGCCAAGTGTCCGTGGACATCCCCTCGGGGCCCACGCTGCCCGCCCTCAAGGAGGTGAGCGGCGCCGAGCCCACCACCGCCACCGCCATCCCGGAGCCCATCCGAGAGGAGGCCGCCGACCAGCTGGGCGCGCAGGCGCAGGGCACCGGCAGCAGCTGAGCCCTGCCCAGCGCCCCAGCGCTCCAGCGCCCCAGCGCCCCAGCGCCCAGCGGGGGAGGCGCAACGGGAGGCTGAGGCCATCACGCCTACCCGGAAACAACTTGCTCAAACCGTCGTCAGTTACTCGCATCGCGCACATCGCCCCTTTACCTATGCTCAGCGTGAATTTTTTTTGTTTTGATGTTTTTTTTAAATATTTCCTGTTTACATTATTTATTAATATAGTAGTATTTATTGTTTTTTAAAATGTCTTGAAGGTCGCCTCTGAATAACAGTTGTGTCACTTTCCGCTAACTATAGGGGGACCAATGATTTGTTTCTAATGTCGTCCATCGACAAGTCCCTGCGTTAGGGTGGAACAAAACTATTGTTAAGCCATGTACCTTTATGAAGCGTTACAAGGAACGCCGAATAACAAAGTGTAGAAGTAGAGAGAATGTGTGAGGTGTTCAACAGTGACACCATTCAATTAGAATGATTGATTTCCAAAGCGTACAAGTTACAAGAATAGCTGTTATCCATCTGTCTTGTTTCTTCCAATTGTGCTTACCATTAAGAGTACTTAAAACGGGGTAAATCTTTCTTAAATGTTTCTTGATCAACTTGTTTAATGTATATATGTCGTTGGGACTATTTATTCTTTTACACTGTTAGTAATGCTCAGATTTCCTTTTATGAGCAAGAAGTTTTAAAATAATGCAGGTTTTGTATTTTTTAAATTGTGATCTTCAATAGTTAGGACCAGTTACTTTTCTTATCCACTTTGAACCCTTTGCCATGGGTTTAGTACTAAGTAGCTTGTAGCTGGAGTGCCGCCATATGCAGCTCAGTCGGCTGTGAGTGAGATTGTACAACTTCTCTGTTATCTCTCATAAGCCAAGTCAATCAAACTGTCATTTTCTTCTTTGTCACACATCTCACTTACTGTCGCTAACTCAGCACCACTCATTTTCTCTCATACCCTTTTTTCTCTTACTTAAAATTTTAAAAGTCTTTTAATAGCAAAAACTGTGATACTGAGATATATTTCAGAGTAAATACTTATGTAACAAGGCAAAATGGGAGTCAAACTTACATTTTTCTCTGTGCTACTCCTTGCGACACCTTTGAAGGATGGTATATTTCATTGTATCTTTTACTAGAGTTGTAGATCATTCTTTAATTCTAAGTTTCCTTGATTCCCATTTTATTATTCATGTTTATGTATTTTATTACTTACTTAATTAGAAAAATACTTATTTGCACAACCTTTGTGTATTTCTCACCTTTGTACTTTCTCTATTGTTCTTGCACCGACCACTCATAAATGTAATTCTCTGGAACCACCCAAGTAATATCTTAAGAGCAGATACAAATTTACTATTATTCAAAAACTTCAGTAGTCATAACTATTCTTTGCCAAATGTTCTTACCTAATTAAAATTGTGATATGGCATCACTAAGTTGCTTGTGTGGTTCAGTAGATACCTTCGTGATATGTATGTTACCTACATATTTCAAATTTGCTAAAAATGAAAATGTATGGCATTTCTCTACCATCTTTTTAATTCAAGTCATGACTTTAAAATACTCATCTACAGAGTGCTATTTTAAGTTTAGATCTGTCTTAGTGGGTTGACAGTCGATATTCTGCCTTGAATATTTCATCAGAAGTCGTGGACGGTGACATATCAACAACTTGGAATTGGTGTCTCTCCATCCTGCATACTCAAAATATGCTCAGCATATCACAATATACCTTTCTGTTATAATATCTTTGTGCTCTGGTTTGGTGTTCACCATTTTTCTTGAGACTGATGGTATTGTGATACACTTGCTTCCTTGCCTGTTTAAATCAGATCGAATAGACCAGTGTTGTTTCACATTTAAAGAACACTGTTTGCTGGTCAAATGGTGTGCTGTGTCTGGTATTTGGAATATAAGAGAGGAGGAGCAAGAATATGTAGATAGGTGTCTCAAATGATGTGAAATAAAGTTCGTGTTTGGTTCTCTTTTTGACAAAAATAGCTTTTTCTGTATCTTTTGTGGGACTTACTTCTGTAGCCTTCACTGGTTTCAGCAACATATAAGTTGCTTTCACAATTGTGTTTTAAAAAATGAAGACTTCAAGTTTTCTTTTTAACTTATTTATTACGGTTTTTAAAATTATGTGCAGGATACATCAGATTCGAGATAGCAACACACACTGCAATGGGACTTGAAACCAGATGGTGAAAAATTCTGAGATCGGCACTTGCAGTGCGAGTGACATTGAATCCTGCAGGGTAACATTGTTCGGCATGCACTTCATAAAGTGTATTTATGCAGGCAGTCTGGCCATTCGGTGGGTTTAGGGTTCAAATTTCTTATTACATCTCAGGATTTCCTGCTAGAGTCAACTGGAATGATGCCCATCCGAATTTCCTTGTGAAAACAATTTTACTGCAAACACAGACTGCCATCTGCATATCCCTGTGAAGTTCTTATACCTACTGTTTCTGGTTTAATAGTAATTCACAATCAAAAATACTGTGAGATAATTATTAACTTTGTACTTCCTGGAACTATTTAACACCACACAGACATTGGAATTCACAAATATACTATTGGAGCTAATGTTTTGTTAACAGAAGCAAGTTTACTCAGCATAATTGTTTTGCAGAAAAAAAAAAAAACAACACATATGCTCAGCAGATAAGGGAATTATTAATAGGACTCTGCAGTACCAATTCAGTTGTTTTCCATTTCATGTTTCAAAAACTGTAAAAAGTTAGATTGGGAGGCATATCAGGCAATGTCAAAAGGACACACACAAAACAGTGCCATCATAAAGACAGCATCTTCACATCAATTGCCAAAGGCCTTATAACAGAGGTAGTCTTGTAAATTACGTAAATGGCTATCACAACCTCTTAAGCCAACACATCTCCCTACCTGGCCTTAATAATTGACAGCGGCCACAATTAAAATTACTTCCTACGGAACAGAAATCAACAACAGCTGCTGATAACCTGACACGTGTTACTTATTGTCTATACCACAATTACAAATCAAAGTTATTTCTAACCAGAGCAAATGTTTAATCTGTTAGAAATATATAACCATTTACACACATAAATTACTATCATTCAACAATTCATCAACAATCTAACTTATCTTAATCAACAATAAAGAAGCCATTAGGCTAAAAATAGATGTTACAAATTTTATCAACAGGACCTTGTGATAGTAACGAGAATATAATTTAGACCCAGTTTTAAAATCCAAATCCCAGAACTTTTTTTAAATTTATAAAAGAAAGCAGTAGTTCCAAATATTAAAAATCATCCACATGAGTGGGAAGGGAATAACATTAAATCAGTGGATTATGTGAGGAGTACCAAGCTGATATCTGATATTGTGGTATTCGTAAGCATGCTCAGTCCAAATCTGTGCTCCACTCCAGTATGATGAACAGAAAAGATCGGCCGTGGGTGAACAATTATTGTCATTTCACTTTCTTAGTTCAATACAGCTCTTTCCATTAAGAACAGCTGAGCCAAGGTTGATGCTTTCTCACTGATAACATACTCAGCAGAATTTCTTATCGAAAACTGCTTAGAAATGTGGTAATTCATTGATACCAGAGAAACCTTCTGAATGTAGATGGCAAATCAGTCCCTTAAGACATTAAAAAAGGTAACTAAGAAGCAGACTCAGATGTCTACAAAATTGCACCATCCTCATAGTTCTAAGGTCAAATTAAAATAAAGCTTGTGTAGATCATGTGTTGAATAGTAATACAACAGCAGCCATACACCTGGGAGCCATCAGTAAACTTGAGCAAAGTAAAAGGTACACAGAAAACAACTTGTCTACTTAAAAAAAAAGTAATATTTATTGATTGAAAAAAAATTCATTTATTGAATCACAGACTAGCTTCTTGAGTTGGTTTCTACTTATGTTAACTGCCATGGAGAACACACGCATTCTAGAAGATACTGTATGATAATTCTTGCCAATGCTGGCTGAGAAACTTGACCAAACAAAGCCCATCAAAACATACAAACTGAGTTGGACTGAGAAATACTTCAAACCTATCACACAACAATCGTAGCATTGACTTAATTAATACTGATCCCTATTCTAACTTCATTTACACATTCTCAGCAAAATGCCACATGGAAAAGGGAGGAGTGGAAACAGAAAGGGGGTAAGGCCAGTCAAACTAAAGCTACCACAGTTCTGCACAAAAATTAAAACCATTCACATTTTTGGCATTTTTTCCTTTGCATTCATCAAGTTTTAGGAGTCAACAATAGGAGTTGAGTTGAAAATAAAGCTCTAGTCTCCTTCACCAGGTCATGAAAGAAACAAGACTTTTGACTTTACATCAGTGTCAACCCAGAACTACTCAAATAGTTTACAATTGGGAACCCTCCCAAACTTTATATCCTCCAGCGAAGCAGTCCAAAATCAAGAAAAATACTGTAGATACAAAATAGATCAAAGCAAGTTCTTTTTCTAGTCTTTTGTTAAATCCTGCGGAACACCCTTAACTTTGGCTTCACTGTCTTTGGATAGCATGTTCATAGGAGGAATTAGGATAACAATGGAAAGATTAAATAACATAACAAAAAGTAAAACGAAGGCATACAAGGCAGAGAAGGATGGAGTTTCTTCAAACTACACTAGAGTCTGATTAAATAAAATAAACATATCATAAGTACTGAATTAAATTAATGTTCAAAACAACTATTCAACTGGGTTCAATAGTACACTGCAAACAGAAAAATATTTTCTGACCAAAACCAAAATCCATTTCATTGTTATGTATGAAAAATTTGGATATATATCGTCATTTATCACCTAGCCGATTCATACATAATTTTATTCATACATTTAAACTAAGACACTGATCACTTGCAAAGAAATTGTCCGGGACAAAATCACAACTAAGGTCTTCAAATTGAGAAACAACCCACCAGAGCTCTCCAAATCCAGCTAAGTAATATACAGACTCCTAATAAAATTCCAAACAATATACCTACTCACAAAATTAAGGCCTTAGTGAGAAAATACAACAGGACAAATATTTTGGGAAGGCACCAACATTCTATGAGACAAAATGTATACAGTTTACTTTTCAAAACAGCGACATATAGCAGGTATGGACAAAGGCCTCCAATTGACCAAAATACCATGTAACACAACAGCACATTGTGGAGCTTAAAACACTTAGTAGTTGTTTGCCTAAGACATCAGAGTGCTCTGGTTGACATTTTCTTGAAAGAAAACAGTAGTCAGAATGGACTCAAAGTAGCACTCTAAGAAGAGAGATTTCTTTCATTTTTCCACAAGGCAACCTTAATCACAGCTGATAAAGTAAAATGAAACAACTTACGTCTCGCAAAAAAAAAGTTTAAAAAAAAATTAAAAAATTAAAAAAATCAAATGTACATCACAGACGGATTGTCTTTACAGTGTAAGACACACAACTCAGATTGGAGTGTAATCACCCTTAGGGGTGTACATAATCTTCCCTCGAGAGATGCGATATATCAGTTCTCGCAACAACAGCCTCTTCTCTTTCTTTATTTTCTTCAAGATGCCTTTGTTTTCTTGAGCCCGCCTTGAGAGATATGGCAGAACTTCATTCACTGGACCGTAGGGAATATACTTGTAAGCTGAGTATCCTGATTGGCCTGGAAATCAACGTTTAGTAAAATAAAACAAACAAGAACAAATATGTTTGCAACAGAGGAAGCTGTATGAGTAGAGTGTGTATGAACTCACCAAGAGGGAAAGTAATGTAATCACACATTCCAAGCAGTTGTCCAAAGCAGAGAACTTTGTCTTCAGGGGAAATTCCAATCTCCTTCATCCTGATAAGAAAAACTTAGTTTTACTACACAATTTTGCAAAAGGAAAAAGGTAGTAAAAATCGTACAATGAATTAAATTATTTGAATTTGCTCCGAGAAGAGAATATTTACTGGTACTTACTTTTCAATGGCAAAGCGGACTGTGTCTTCATTGTGACTGGCAACCATGATACCAATCATGTTAGGCTTGCCTTTGTCCTTCAGGTCCTTGATGCGACGTAGGCACTCCGTGAGAGTTCTATGATAACTCTCACTTGTGGCTTCAAATGATGGATTTGTTGGGTCTGGGTAACCTAGTGCAGCAGCACGTGCCCTTTCCTGTCAAATTGGAAGAGTCCCATGAAGTGAGGCGTAGTTTGAAATCCCACAATCTAAAATCATTTGTGTATGGGCATACCTGTTCTAAATAGGCACCTCGCACAAGTTTTGCACCAAAATAGAAGTTTTGTCTCTTGGCTTGTTCCAAATCAGTGGAGACTTCATTAAATGCATCTTTTAAGTAACATTGGTAGGTATTGAATATAAGAGCCTGCCAAGGAATCAATCAGATCAAGACATGGAATTGCAAATCAATAAAATAAAAATTCAGTGTCAGCGCAAATGCACTAAGTAACTTACTTTTTTAGTGTTGTACTTGCGCATAAACTCAAGAGTAATTCTGGAAATTGCAGGCTGGAAGTAAGTTTGTTCAGCGTCAACCATCATACGAACATCCAAGTCCTCAGCAGTCTAGGAGAAAACAAATAAGACTTGTTTCGTTAAAACATAACTGTTAAGCCAGCATATCAATAGAAAAATTATTTTAAATTTGATCTTACTTGGGCTAGAACGTTAATCCTTCTGATCATGTTTCTGAACATTTCTTCTTCTTTTGAGGAAAGTTGAGTCAATAATCGTACCATCTTGCCAGTCTTCATATCAGGAACAAGGAAGGTTTCACTGAGCTCCAAATTTTCATCGATGATACCACTCCAAGGGAACAAATGAATAAGACTGAAAAAGAAGATGTTCATAAGACAACACGCTTGGGGCTTACAGAAAATAAAGATCCATGGAGCTAACGCACCCTTCCTGGTCATAGGTCACATTTTGCAGGAATTTCTTCACAGGAGCCTCACTCAGCTTACAGGCCTGTTGCAACTTTTGCTGCAGTTCCTCAGGTTGAATGTGTTTCCCAATGATGTTTCCTTTATCATCTGGTGAACTTTTGTTTGCTTGAGCTGTTAGGGCTGTGATCTCTGTCATGTATTGACGTGTTCTCATAATTACTTCAGATAGCTGTAACTGTGGGATAAAAAATTTAGTGTCACAAGTTCTAAAAGAGTTGAACTTGAGTCTAGCAACAGGAGAGCGTTGATTCAGTGCTCTGAACATACCAGTAACTGAGGCCTGCCCAGTGCTGTTAATTTAACCGCAGCTAAACCAGTACCATAAGTGGCACCTGAAACATGACAGGCACAGTGTAAAAGTAACTTTTCTGCAGATTAAACAAGTTGATTAGAAAATTTAATTGCTGAATGATTGTACCAGCGACAGCCTGAAGAGACTGCTGGAAGATTTCCAAGTTTCGTTCGCAGGTTGCTTCGTTGAGGTAGAAGTACGTCCTCGCACTTGACACCTTGTACCGACGGTCAGCGAAAGTTTTGTCCACGTGGAACTGGGGCATGGTTCCTATTTCAGAGAAAATATTGAGTTCAAGGCAATAACAGATTAAGAACATAATAAACCAAATCATCCCAAGATAATTAAGACAAGGCAAGAAATCATTACAATACTTCATTGGTTTCAGAAATGAAGCCAGACTAAATAAAACTTGCATGCGAAAATATAGGTATTGTATGAACCTGCTACTCCCCCTCCTTTCTCTTTTACATAGAATATTTACTAAGAATGCATGCACTTCTCATGTCCCTAAAAATGACTCCTGATCTAAATAAGGAAAAAAATTATTAGCTTGCTCAACAACAAAACCAAACATGTCATGCACCTGGAACATGCAGTGAACAATAATGTGCTTCTTGAGTAAAACAGAAATCATCCAAATTACATTCCCTTGTACATCACAAGCAATGTGGGTGATGGTTAATGGCTACAGGATCTATGATATTGATAGAGTATGGCATAGTTAGTGATGGGTTAGAAAAGCTGCATGAAAACAACGAGAAGACAATGTAAAGCAATGAAAGCATGCGGTCACCCTTTTCAAATCCACCCAAACTCCCTCAGAAATGATTAGATTCCAAGTTTAAAATGTCTGGTGCTTGTACCTTCAACAAGGCTGCGCCCTGCTCCTCCTTTCCAATGCCCATCCTCGCCATCCATGTACAGGCCATGAACCGGGTCTTCATTAGCAGAAACCAAGCACAATTTTGAGCCTCTCCATTCTGACATTAACTGACAGTTTTTTCTATCGCTATGTAACTGAGCAGTCCATTTAAGCCAAGCACGCCTAAAAATATCTGCCAGGAGAGTTTAATAAAACAATTTCCATTAAGTAAAATTTATCAACACATTTCTCATGTGTGTTCACTTAAGATTATGCCTATTGTAAAAATACCCCATGTGAGAAAGGAATGGAATCATGCGAACACTTGAGCCACACAGCAATGCATAACACAAAATCAATTTGGTCGTGGGAAGTAGAGACAATGATTGAGTCAGCTGGATCAAAGTCAATCTGGATACATAATGTTACCTCAATCCACAGGAAACATGTCATGAGTCAGATACTCAGCTGAATGTACTTATGTAAAAGTCAAGTAATCAGAAGCAAAATCTCATTACAATAATTCTTAATTTGTGCTTACTGAAACAAGAGTATCCTTCATGACTAAGAGAACGGTAGTTGCAGAAGCGCACTAAGTAAATGAAGTTTAGCTAAGGCAAATAACAAAATTAATTTTATAAAAGTTGTCACACTACGAGCTATAAAACCTCCTAGTCGAACTGTGCGGCATTTACTAAAACTGACTCACCCCCCATTTCAGCTGGTGGAGGTCCTAAGAAGAAAAACAGAAATTTAAAGAGAGGTCGAAGCTAAATCTCAGGAGACTAGGGAATATGGACACCTGTGGGAAATGTCTAGCACTTCAAAATGATAATATTGCAGCAGGCTAGAGTCCACAATCCATTTATCATCTCTCCAAAATCAAACCCATTCACATAGAAAACTGTTGGTATGGAGATGATTAAGTGCTACACTTTGCCTAAGTAAGGACATACAGAAGATCTTTCCTATTTGGTCACAAGGAGTTTTGAAGAGACAGCGAGTAGATTGAGCAGATTTGCAGCAATTTTTTGTTCTTACTAGTTAAGCTTCCCAAAACCTAGAAGCCAGAAAAATAATAGGCATTGGTGTTGCATAGAAAATATGAATTGCACATGAATTGGCAGATGAACGTTAGGTACAAATATAATGAGTGAGGGAATATAACCTGTCTCGAGAATTGGAGAAACATTCAATGTCATAGATCAGATGAAGTAATCGCATGAACAGTGTGCTTCAGTTATATCACATTGTTGCTTGAGTATACGTAATTACTTTTGATTATTAATGAGAAACTGATGGACATGCTGACATATTTCAGACATGCTCCTGCTGCATATGCAAGATTCGCAAACACTTGTATGCATCTCTCAGAATAATCATGAATTTTTGAATTAGTTTTACTTGTCTCACCTTGCACTTTTTCATCCCCCAGCTCAGAGACACTCGACCTGTGGGCAAATAATTACATAATTAAACTAAAGTAGAAATAAGAATGTTACCAGAGCATTGGTTGATTTTCAAAATTTTATAGAACTATTTATTTATTTATTTACATCTCTTAGGAGGTGCTGGTGAGCATTTATTTCTTGAATCTAAAATGCAATTGAAAAGAGTGAATTTTGAATGTGAATTATTTAAAAAGTTGAAGAAATAAATATTGATAAAGTGAACAATATAAAGTAAAACAAAAGGTAGACAAATGGTTGTAGTGAAGTTAAAGCTTGTCAAGTGCATCCGAGGGGCAAAGCAAAGAAGGTAACTAAATCTGTGCTTTAAAATATACAGCTCAATTGATTTTTTTTTTTTTAATTAGGATTCCTAAGTAGTACATGGCTGCATGATCTAGGGGCGCTATGCGGGCTGGCTTGATCAGTTATACTTACAGAGGAGACTCTGCCCTGTGGCCAGCAAATAACCAAACAAATCAGTTATGTCGACACAATCAAGTATCACAGCCATTTTTTAAAAGACATGAATGTCATGACATTTAATTCAGTCCGATTTCAGCCGAATCCTTGGACTGGAGGGAGGGCGTTTAAAGACCGGTTTTCCGAACTGTGGCAAGAGCGCCACGCCACGACGCCGGCCACAATTTCAAACAACTTACTCCACTTCTCGCTTCTCCGCCTCCTCCTGGCTGAGGTCCTCCTCGACGGAGTAGTCCAGGATGGGCTTGACGCCGAAGGAGCGCAGCCGCTCCAGCGTGGGCCGGATTCGGATCTGGTCCTCGCCCGCCACGAAGTGGCCGTAGAAGGTGGACTTCATGATGGCGGTGAAGATCTTCTCGCCCAAAATGGCCTTGGCCACCTTCATGATCTGCAACAGGGACAGGGCCCAACGCATCAGTAAGCGCCACCTAGGCCGGCCTGGGTCGCATTGACGTCACGGTCCATTCGAGGGTCCATTGCAAGACCGCGAAACACCGGGTCCGTTTTCGAAACCCCGATAACACGAAGCGCGAAGCGCCCTGCCTTACTCATTGTCAGCCCGATTACGAATGGGACGCCTTGCCCCGCCATCCACATTTTGGATGCAGTAATTAACTTAATTTGATGACGTTTTTGCGAGGCGCACGTGGCGCAGAAGCGTGCAGAGGCATCCGCCGGGCCGCGGCAGCCGCGGCAGCCACGGCGTGCAGAGTACAGTACAGCGGATCCTTTCTCTTCGGGACAGGGTGGCTATTTTTGTTCTCCCCCGCCCCCAACCCTCCCCAAATCACGGGCCGAGAAGACTGCAACCAGTCCGAAGAAAAGGGCCAAGCCCCCCCACCCCACTTCCTCCTCGCTTCAGCCAGGTGCCCGCTAGTACAGGGGTGCTTTCCCGTTCCCACGGTTCGATACACTGCGTGCAGGCATCGGTATCTCACGGGTCAAACTAAATCGGAAATGTCACGCCTTTCTTCAGGCGCCTTCTTGAAGTGCACAGTGGGCGCACAAGCACCCCTATCCCTCCTTCAATCCCAATGCATGGGGACATGTCCCAGCCGACTCCCTTCACTCGGTCATAGCGGCGAGGGCGAGGGGCTTATCTCAGGCAACCGCTTACATTGTCGACGCCTCTCTCCCTAAAAAAAAAATCAAACCTCCGTCGCGAATGCATGTGCCAACACAGCAACCCTTTAGCGAAGAAAGCGACCACAACAAGTATTTATAAACGCCCAAGACGAGTCAAAATATGTTGACGCGCCCCCGGCAACGTCAAAGCCTCGTGTGTCCTGGGGGGGGGGGGGGGGGGGTCGACGCCCACCTCAAGGACCTGAAGGACCCCGAGGCCCGCCAAAGGGAGGTTTGCCCGAGCATCCACATGGCAACGACGGATGTTTGTCTCGGGCGAATAAATAACCCAGAGCCCGCCAACGAGACGGCCTGGTAAACACACACACACACAGACACACGCACACACATTCGGTCATCCCCCGCCATTTTGTTCTATTGACATGACAATACGCGTCGCGATTGCACGCACCTGATGTAAACAAAGTCTGGCCTCAAGGGGCGGCGGGCACTCCGGGTACTTGCCGCTACGTATTGGACTTCCCTTATCAACCCATCTCCGAAAAATCTCCGCGCCTCGCGGGAGCCATGCCTTCGCTACGTGCCCCGCATGTGCGTATCAACGTGTGGGGCCCTTGCTATTTGTCGCTAATCTCCATTAGACAGTTTTTTTTCGTGTGTGTGTGTGTGTGTGCATGTGTGAGTCATTTTTTGGGTGTTGCGTCCACAGACTCGAGCCACTCGTGCGTCAATCCGCGCTACGCCTCTCGGTGTACTTTCGATTGCTTTCTACAATTGCCACTCGAGCGCCTCTTGGGCGCCACTTGTGGAGGTGCGATCGACACCTAACAGTGTGATAGTGCCTCTGCCTCCGTCACGCATGGAAAGTTCTCCCGTCTCGCAAGATGAACGTCAAGTGGAATTGTCCGACCCATTTTGAGCCGTCGCTGTACTCCTCGCGCGAGCGACTCGGTGCACTCTACGTCTCTTAGGGTGAAATGCTGGACCAACATAATGGAGATTTTTCCAAAATACAAAAGAAAAATCATAATTAAATAACTATAAGGTAGTACCATGAATTTGCAGGGTTAAGTTACAAAGTCAGCTGCACCACTATAATATAAAGAATTCTCGCCATAATATGGATGATCTTCAGGTAAGACTTCAAGAGTGTGCAGTCAGGCTGCTTGGTTGGATGGGTTGGATCCCAGACACTCGACGTATCGACAGAATGCAGACAGATTATCCTGAGACATGGGCAGGCAGGCAGGCATCTAGCGGCTTGGGCCGACGCTCGGGCTGCATGCACAGTGTGGCTGCGACCAGCCCTCCGTCGCTCCGTCTCTCTCGCACCCCAGCGGGCCGGCCCACGAGTGCGAGAGAGACGGAGCGACAGAGCTAATGACTGCAATCTGGAGCAGGCCGGCCCGCGGCACGCCCCGTTAGGGCTGCATTATTCTTAGCACGACGGGACGGCAGGTGTGCCGGCTTTGGCTTGGCTCGCCGCGGCTGCCACGGCCGGCATAAGCAGCGAGTACAAGAGGGCATGCGACAAATTTAATTTCGAAAATTGGCAGCCGTTCCCGCGCGGCGAGCGGCCAGTAGGGCGGGGTGGGCAGGGCAGGGCAACGGGGCTTGCAGGCGGTAGGCCCTTGCCACCCTTGCCGTCCTCACCGCCCTTGGCGGCTCAAAATCCATCCCCGAGAAAGCTTGACGCCGCACGGAAGAAATACTTTGTCCAAGTAACCGACTCAGTTTCTTTCCGTGCGGTGGAGCGAGGCAGGCGTTCAAGAAGCGCCTGAAGGCAGGCGACAGGCATGCCCGTGTGACAGGCGCGCGTGGCGGGCTGGCATACCCTCGCTTCTACAGGCGCTCCTCCTGCTAGAGACCGCTCCTGCCGCGGTGCCGGTGCTGCCGACCCCGACCTTCCTCACTCGCTAGCGGAGAGCGGAGCCAGCGGAGCCACGCCGGCTAACCCGTCCCCGGACGTGCACCGCATTCAGGCTCAGGCATTCGGCCGCCGCGACGTCGACGGGGATGGGGATGGTCACCCCGGGGGCACTCATCTGGCGGCTGGCGCGGCGCCACGACGGCCTGGCCCTCGGACTGGCCGCGGACGCCAAGACACACCCTCGCGCCTCGCGGACACACCCCAGCGACGTCACCGACGTCACCGACCACGAGGCCCGGCTAGCGCGGCTAGCCGCCAAGAGTAAACCGCACGGCGCTCGTCTGGACGCGCCAGACGCGGTGACGTGGCGGGGCGTGGCGTGACGCGCCGGCCGCGGCGGCCGCGGCGACGTAACTTACCCTCGCAGGTCGCTTATCCAATCGACGTCGCGCGGCGGTGCCGCGGGGCAAGTTCAAGGCCGGCAAGTGGCGGCAAGTGTGAGGAGCACTGTGAAGCGCCGCGCCCTTTCACAGTGGAGCAAACAAACCACCGCGGCGAAGCCATGCCAAAGCCGTACTCCTCCATGACACCTCGCGCCTACTCTGCCAAGAGCAACTGTGACACGACACGTCGCTGCTCACATTAGCATTCGACAGGCTGGCTGGCAGGCGGGCCGGGTAGCGACGCCAGCCCGCGCCAGCCCGGTAACGGACAGTATGTCTCCTTTCCATTCTTTTTTTGGCCGTTCTGTTTTCCGACGGTGCCCCAGACAGTTTTGGCGGATGGAAACCTCGCGGTCCCGGTCGGCGCCGACCCAGAAGCCATCTCGGAGGACGCCGCGCACCGGGAGGCGGACGGACAGGGCGGACACTGCACGCAGCGCCAGCCTCCGGAGTGCTTGGTCGCTCTGCCTCTCTCGCACCCACACTGGGCGCTTCACGAGAGCGAGAGAGACGGCGACGAAGGCACGGCTCGAGGATGACGTCAATCCGATCCACGTTAAAAAGCGCAGCGCCGCGCCCACCTCGCCGCCAAGGTCCCGGTCGATGGCCCGCCAGGCCGCCCGACGGCCGGGCCCTACGCCGTCACGCCGCTACACCGCCATGGCGGCACTCGTATGCGGCGCCGGCCGGCCGCGTCTGCGTCTAAGAATAATCACGATACCGTACTGGAGTCGAGTAGACGGCGCCCCGGATCGCTTTCAGTGCAGCGACCGAGCGCCTTCCGAGAAACGCGCGGATAACGAAGCGCGGTCACTTTCTTACTCATCACGTCCTCGGCAACGGAGAGCGCGGCGACGCGGCGGGAAGGAAAGCAGCATAATGGGAGCGACGACGACGCTTCTGCCTCCTTCTCCATTTTCCAATGCCCCGCCGCGGCCCCGCTGCCCCGCGCTCCAAGGTGACGCCTCGTACAGCCTGCAGGCTGCGCAGGCTGCCCGCAGCACGAAGGGCACCGCGAGCGAAAGGGCGGAAGGGGCCCGAAGGGGCGGCGAGGGGAGGGGCGGCCAATCTGGCTGACAAGAGCGCGAGAGCGCGGGGAGGGGAGGGGGGAATACAGTAGTTTATATGGCCGTGGCCCCCATGCCCATAAGGCCACCGGCGCGCTCGCGATGCCTGCTGGCTCTAGCCTGGCCAATGCCAAGGTGGCCACAAGGTCGCAGCGGGGCAGCGGGGCAGCGGGGCAGCGGGCCGCCTCCACCTACTGGCCCACGGGCCTACAGGCCGGCCGGCGGCCAGGGCCATCGCGTCGTGTCCCCATCCCGAGAGCAGTTTCCGTCGCGCTGTCTTTCTCGCACTCATGGGGCGTCCCGTGCAGGTGCGAGAGAGACAGCGCGACGGAAACGACTCTCGGAATCATGGTCTGCAGGACCAGCGTCCAGCCCGCCCAATCTGGCGCGTAACAAGGCCTGCGAGGCCCGACCGGATCGCCTCACTTCGCCACCGAAGGGCCCGACCAGGCCCACAGCCCAGAGGCCCCGCGGGGGGCGGGCAAGGCACCCACCCCTGCCCCACCCCTGTCGCACCCAGACACCTTCAAGCTGAGTCCCAACAGCGCTTTCGTCGCCGTCTGCTGTCTCTCTCGCGCTCGCGGGGCGAGAGAGACAGCGCGACGGAAGTACGGAGCACTGCCCGGAATCGGCGCTCTGGCAATGACGACTGCATGTGACTAGTGTGACGAGCGACGAGTCACTGCGGATGCAGCGTGCGGCAGCGTGCGGCAGCGAGGCCCAAGTAGTGGTCGGGCTTCCCCGCCATTTCGTGGCTCCACCGTCCTCCGCGACTCCGCGGCCACACGCCACACTGCAAAGCCAGGCAGGGCCCACCGCGGTCGACACCATTCGACTAGTACAGTCGGCAACAAAATAGCGCGACGCGGCCAACGAGAAAAGTGCCAACAGTGTGGCGACGCGACGGGAATGTGCCCAGCCCGCCCGCCGGCCCGCCACGGCCCGCACGATTCCACTATCCGACAATTCGCCGCCCGCCACGCCACCGCACGCGGCGCGTCGCGTCCAACGCGTCGTCGGGTGAACGGCTGCCACCGCACTGCTGGCATTGCGTAACCCCGCCACGCCCCGCCCCGCCCGCCCCCGCCAGAGACGAGGCCTCCAGCTCAGCAGTGTCGCTGCCGCCTACAGTGTAGGCCCTACAGTGCGGCGCCGCAGGAAGTCACCGATTCGGCACAAAAATTAAAACCAGCCCGGCGCGCCGCGCTTTCCCGCCATCCTCCCACTTCCTCTCGCCTCGGCAGCCTGATTCCGAACACTGCTTTCGTCGCTCCGTCTCTCTCGCACTCGTGGGGCGGTCCCACGGTCCGCAGGGGTGCGAGGGAGACAGACAGACACGCACGCGAGTGCGGGCGCGGCAGTCGGCGATTAGCAGTGCCGACAAAGATAGCGGGTCGCGACGTCGAGGCAATCAATCGGGGAGACGCCGGATCTCGGAGTGACTGCACACTGAGAGAGCTTTCCGTCGCTCTGTCTCTCTCGCACTCGCGGGGCGTCCCGTTACGGTGCGAGGGAGAAACCAAGGGGTCTGCCACTTCTTGCACTGATTGTTCGCATCCAGCCTACTAAACTCACTCCCACTCACTTAGATCGAAACAGGAAAACGCCTATATGCAGGCAACTAGTGAGACAAACGCCTGTAAGCAGGCAAAAAGCGTGGCTGAATCAAGTGGAAACTCACTCCACTCACACTCAATCGCACACCATTTTAGTCCGTGGCAAACCCCTCCTCGGAGAGAGACAGTGACGAAACCCACTCTCGGAATCGGTGCGCAGATGCCGCCGTGCGTCACGCGTTCTAGAGCGGCAAACAATGAGGCAGAGGCACGGGACCGGGCGAGTTTCGACACCTTGGGCCCACGAGTGCCTCGGCGGGTGAGTGCATCGCGCCAATAGGAAATGATAGCCCCTGCACCTATGGTACGTGCGAGGGAGACGGAGCGACGAAAACTACTCTGAGTCAGTCTGCCGGGCTGTCTGGGGCGCGGCGCCGTGACCACGTGACCACACACGGACCGACCGCGGTCCCCGCCGTGACCACGACCGATAACCGCCGCCGCCGCCGATCTTCTCGTCGCTCTGTCTCTCTCGCACTCACGGGGGCGCCCTGGGGGTGCGAGAGAGACAGAGCGACGAAACGATCCTTGAGGCGGCCGATAACGGCGTGGCGGTGGCGCGTGAAATGACCGCGATGATGTGGGTCGTGGAGTGCGCCCCGTCGCCCCGTCTCGCCGCGCGGCCCCTGTGCAGGCCGACCCTGGCCTGCCCCACTACACTATCACGACACGCGCCAACGCAGCGGCACAGCGGCACGGCTGCCTTATCGCAAACCAAATATGTACGCCGCCTCTTCAAAGGGAAGCCGGTCCTAATCCCTGTCACAACACTATAGGTGCCGCGTGCCGCTGACAGGCTGACCCCCGGCCCGGTCGCTGCGTCTCTGTCGCACTCATGGTGGCGCCGCAGAGGCGAGAGAGACAGAGCGACGGAAAACGATTCGTGAGAATCGCTCAGCAGACTGATTTCGAGAATCGTTTTCATCGCTCTGTCTCTCTCGTACGTTTCCGGGACGCCCCGAGTGCGAGAGAGTCAGCAACGAGAAACGACTCTTGGAATCAGTCTGCACCAGAGGAGGGCGGTTCTCCGGGGTGCGGAGCACGCCAGGCCGCCAGGCAGGCAGGCAGGCAGGCAGGCAAAGGCACGGCGCGGACGGTGGCGCGCACCGCGCACCGGGAGCATCAACCCGCTCACTGCTCTTATCTCCCTTCCGCACCCGCCCGCGCTAGAATTCTCTCTCCTTCCTCCTGGCCGGGCCGGCCACCCGGCCATTCATACTCGCGTCACTATCTGACCGCGGGCGGGAGCTTTTCAACCCAGAACTCGAGGGAAGCGCCAAGCAGTGCAAGCAGCGCCCCGGCCTGGAGGCCTGGAGGGAGGCGACGTGGCCTTGGGGGTGACTGACGGGGAGCACCGGACACACTGAATGGAGACCCCCCCCCCTCCCTTGCCGGCAGCACGCGAGATTATTGGCGCGGCATTGCGCAACCAAGGGCCGGCCGTTCAAATCAACGCCGGGCCCATTTAGAGCAATGACGCTACGCTTCGCGAGCTTCGCGCGCTAGCTCGCTTAGCTACGGGGTGGAGGAGCGCTAGGACTATTAGCCACAAGCATCGCCACGGGGAGACACTCGAAGGTTGCTTTGTAGCGAGCCGCCGCCGCCGCCGCCGCCGCCGCCGCCGCCGGGTCGACAGGCACTCTAGGACGCGACCGTAGGACACCAGACAGTTTCGAGGGCCGTTTCCGTCGCTCGGTCACTCTTTTGCACCCAAACGGGGCGCCCTATGAGTGCGAGAGAGGCACAGCGACGGGTCTATGGGACCCGGTTATCGGCTTGCATTAAGGAATTGGACCCGGAGAGGGAAAGTGGCTGGTCAACAGTGCCTTATCGCCGCATCCTGTCTCGTCTGCAGTCGGGGGGACAAAGACTTGTCGCGGCTTATCACATCACGCAACCCCCGGCCTGGAGTCCCGTGCGTGCCATCATGGCCCATCCTCTGTTATCAGTGCAAACAGGACTGCCCCTGACACTGGACCCAGAGGCTTCGGCTCCAGAGCAGGGCACCAGATTACCTGGTCTCTAGGACTAGGTCCTGTCTCCTCATGTCTGACAGAGCAGTAATCGGGTCATTAATATTTGATACATGGCAGAATTTGGCTTGGGCATCACAAGTAAGCTCTCAAAGTTCACATGTGCGGAACACGAAATTGTAAAAGGGAAGTTCATAGAGTGTAATTTTGAAACAGAACAGTTATTATTTCTTCTTAAAAAGAATAATTATGTTAGCTTGATTTTTTTTTCACAAACAGGACATTAAAATGAAGAAATAGAATCTTTTGCTTATTAAGAATCATGGTATTTACTTAAGTTAACTCTGAATGAAGAAAATATGTTACCAAGCTCCTAACAAAGTAAATAACGTTATCGTACTTAATTCAAAATTACTACTTTCAACTACACCAAACCCAAGGTGCGCCTTCTACACAACTTACAAGCTACGGATCGTTCTGTTAACTACAACGCAGTGAACTCATAGGCAAACCAGGTAAACCATTCCACAGGTGACTGTGACAGACTCCAGGCGACGCAAACATTCTCTACAAACCAACAGAGGTTCCGCTCAGCCTGTGGTAGGTCTTTAGCTGGGATGCGCTTACGCTTCTCTCACCTTCATGTTGTTCTCCACCAGGTAGTTGGAGGAGCAGAGGGTGTAGACGATGTAGGCCCGAAGGATTTCCCATGTCGTCTTGCTCTTGTAGGCGGCGTGCGCGTCGTCGAAAGTGGCGTCCAGAGGGTCCCTCCTGGACCCCAACGTCTGGCTGCCCCCACGGAGGGCCTCCGCGGTGGCGGCGGAGGACTTGGCCACAGCAGACGACGTGGTCAGGGGTAGGAACCCGCTCCGCAGCGCCGTGCCAGCCGCACCTGGCGGGTCCAGGGCATGGCGGTGGAGGCCAGGGGTGGCGCACGCAAATTTGGACGATGCAGGCCAGCGGGTGACCACACGCAGGAAAGCCATTGCCTTGGCGGGACGTCAAAAGGGGTTATTCCACTTGACTGGCTGCGAGTGGGAGCTGGGCCGTGGGGCTCCGAACGGCCGACACTCGTGTTAATACGCTCTTAATCGATGCCACTCACAACTATATATATGCGTGCAAATCGATAGGCCGTTCGCAATCAGGACCTTCGTCGAGATGATAGGACCGCACCGATAGCGCCTCGGCACTCGGACTGCTCCTTTCCTTCAACTGACTGTAGAAGGAGGTGCCAAAAGGGACGGGACGGGACGAGTCGTGCGCGGACCAACGAACGAAAACCAACGTCGATGAAAATAATGAAAAGTTGAGCGGAACGCAAACTTGGCTCCGCTTGTCGCTTCGCGTGTCTGGCAGTCACTCGCCTGCCTTTCTGCGAAAAGTAATGGAATTTTTGATCGACTTTTGGGGAACTCTTTGCTCTTTTCGACTCTTTTGGTGGTGTGGCGACGAAACAAATCCCTTGATTGACACAGTTCCCCCCGATCGATGACGTCGAGCGGGGGAGGGGGAGGAAGGGGCGACAAGCAGACGAAGTTCTCGAATATCCTGGGCCTTTCTAGGCGAATGCAGTTCTTCATTCCCACCAAACACCTTCCTATTTTTTTCCACAATGTTATCAGAGTTAAGAGAACCTTTTAACAGTGTTTTTCGATGACTTTTTTGTCGTCGGATCAAATTTCAACTGTTTTTAAAGGCACTCCTCCCACGTGCCACCACCCGGTCGAAAGCAGAAGCAAAATTTGATCCTCAGAATTTCTCATAACAAGCACTATTTACAGGACAATCGTTTCTGTCAATAAGGCGGCGATCATGCAAGCAGAAAACTGAAGAGAGGAGAGCACAACAAACTGTTCAAGTTGAATGACAACACCGAAAACGAGTTTCCTGATATTGTTGCTCAGCATATCCAGCTCAGTCGATTTCGAAACTATTGAAATGATTCTTGAGTTTTGTTTGTGACTCTTGTTCTTGACTTAAAGTAACCTGACTTTTAAAGATGGCCCACATGAAGATCGTCGTTTATTCTAACAATTGTTTGTGGGAACAACTAATCGTCGGTTATGATACGATTGTGAACAAAGTGACAGAAATGAAGAGACGAGAGGACTTTGGTGATGGTGACAATGACATAGGAGGTTTTGAAATAGTAAGTCACCGAGACCTGGTGATTCAGTCAGATGGAGATCAAGTTGCCAAAAAGCATCGAACAAAATTTTCTCTCTCCTTGAATTCTCTAATATTTTCATATTTTGTAAAAGTACTCCAATGCTCAGGGCAATTCCGAATTTGTGTTCTTGATTATTGGTTAAATAAAATGAAATATCACATTCCAAATTGCAAAAATTTAACATTGAAAGTCACTTTAGTAGAACCTCCTAATCAAGTTTTAGACTACAATTGGTGAGTAACCTGAGGTGGTTTGTCTTCAAAGCATATCACACTTAAATTTTGGACTGAGCACCTGCTGTTCCACCAATTACAGGTGTCATCGAATCAATTATATGGTCATGGAACGCAGTGAGCTGGATAACGCCATGTCATGGCTTTCAACTCTTGGTGGTGCTTATTCTGCTCTTGGTGATCATTTTAGTCATTGTGTAAGTATAATGCAATGGCTCAAGCTCTTGAGTCATGAACTGTCTCATTTAAATGGATGATTTTGATGAACTGTCCCCTGTATTGATTATGATGGTATATTCTAGGCTGAAATGGCGGGAAGAATATCTATTCGCCAGTTTCAACTTGCTCTGCGGCTTGGTGATCCAAGTACTGTGGCACGCTGCAAATTATACATTGCTCTTAGCTTAATTCAAAACTACAGATTCAAACCAGCACAACATATAATAGAGACACAGTATCATTTGGCTATGGATTCGGCAAGTCCCGATACTCGACTTATTAGAATGTGTCGTGGTATATGGAGCAAACTTCGCTATGAGCGTTCACAATACCTCAAGAGGACTAAAGTCTGAACTTACATTATAGGCAGCAGCAACCCATCTGTCCAACTAGACCATTCATTTCTGATGTGTTATGTTATGTTGAAATTGTTGAGTAAATGAATTGTAGAAGTACACTGAGAATAATGAGTATGTGATAATTATATTGTTTTTATTCATTGGATTTTATTCATTGTAAACCTTATTTCCTAACATGTTCGTTAAACAATTGAACCCAAGAGTACACTTTTATACAGTGACAAGTTTAAAGCCATTTCAGTTGGTTAATACCTACTGTATCTAATTCATTAACATAAAATTATTTTACTTGTACAAAAAATTTTTGAGTGCACTTCAAAATATGTACACATAACTGTTTTGGTCGTGACAGTATCTACTCTTCGTTCTTAAACTTCCCTCTCTCATGTTTTCTTTGCAGACCCGACACTCAACCTTTATGAAAAATAAGAACATTATTTGCTTATTGGCACTCGCCAATACGCGATAAGGTTAGTAAATTTGTCATAGACGTTGTGTGTAGGGTAGCAGACGGACAAATACATAACCAAGTAAAAGTAAACGTCAACGCCAAGTCTGAACGTTTCTGTACTGTTTATGGTTTTGAAAATACACTTGATTTTCGTGTGGTTTATTCTTTAAATTTAAATCAAAATGGCTGATAGGCTGACTCAGCTTCAGGACACCATTAATCAGGTCTCTATCCATTACAAATTTACTTCATACGTTTAGGTGCTGATCATGTAAAGATGTAAACAAATACTGTCCCAGCGTCACTTGCAGATCATTTTAAGTATTTGTTATTATAGATCTTCATTAACCATTATCATACTAAGTTAAAATTTTCCAAAGTTTGAAAATGTAGATTTTTAGTTTGACTATATTTTGGTGAATGAACCAACTGCTTTGCCTAACCTTAAGTTACTTTGGACGGCGGTTAATTTTCATGTTAGAAAACTTGTTAATTTTGGTTTTGTGTTTGTTTACAGCAAGCAGATAACTTCTGTAATAGTATTGGGATCCTTCAACAGTTTTCTACTCCCAGTAAATTCGATCGCAGTGGTTCTCAGACTCCACAACAGCAGCAAGAAGGTTCACAGATTTAATATCTTGTCTCAACCTTCAATCAGCAATATCTATTCCAGAAAAGTCCAACTTTGGTCCTGTATTTGCAGTTACAGATTATGCCCATTTGTTCGCCACCTTGATTGCGCGCTGTGCTAAGGACATCGATGTTTTAATAGAATCTTTGCCCAATGAGGATTCATCAACAGAACTTCAAGTAATTCTTTCATTACTTTCCATAATGTGTCATTTTTATTGAGACTGTGAAGTGCAATGAATGACTTTGCGAAACTAATGTCTTCATTTCTTTTACTCTCTAATAGGTGGCTAGCTTGCGTCAATTAGAACAAGAGAGTCAGAAAGCAGGAGAAAGGCTAGAAGAAGTTGTAGCTCGTGGCGAAGTTCTCCTTAGCCAAATTCAAAGTGCTCTAGCTGATATTGCTCAAAGTCAGCTAGATATGCAACACTCAGCTCCATCACATTTCCCTAATGGAAATATAGCTGTTGGTCAGGACATTAAAAATATAACGACCAATAGCTTTTCATATGTTAATAGTAATAGCAATCCACCTGAGCCACAAACAGGTTTGGGTAGTGGATTTTAAGTATCTTTTTTTTTTTTTAAATAACCTCTCTATTCATAAGTCCTCAAAGCACTCATCTCTAAGCATTTATTTGTGTTTTTTTTTTTAAAGACAAAATGCTTTTATAATTTGTCTTTAGCTGTTCCTTTGGAATCATTGGCCCCCTTCAAACTTTTGTAAAAACAAAGAAACCAAGTGTGTGGAGAGGGGAGGCTTGTGAAGGCAACCAAGAGAACAAAGTTACCCTCCACTAGTGGTTATGGTGAAGACCTAAATAATTAATCACAGTTTCTTGTAAATTTGTTTTTTTAATATTTGTATGTTCATCCCTTACAAAGGGAGACCACAGAAAATATACAATCATGATTGGTATGTCTATGTACAATTTCACAGCTAACATTATAAAAAACAGTATTTAAGTGTGAAGGGTTACCTATAAATAAATTTACTGTACAATAGTTCATATGAATATTTATGAAAGTAAACAGTCAAAGAAGTACAAACAACACAATCAAGGAGGGATGTTGTTTCAACCTGATCATCTATCAACACCAGACTCTTTGTAGCAGACTTAATAATTTTAACAATATGATTTCCAACAGCAAGTTAATGTGCAGTTGAAATCACATACTCACTAACACTGCACTCAACAAAAGCTTCTAAAGTTTCTGTTAAGATAAAATAAGTTCTCACAGAATTTATTTTTAAAAAAAGGAATATTATTACAACAACCAGCAAACTTAAAAAAGCTAAGCTAGAAATTCTCTGAAGATGTTTTTCATTCATGAGCTTATGCCACGTGCATGAGAAACCTCTAAAGGGATGACTCGAATTTTTTGTTTACTCTACTTTATAATTACATATGTACACATAAGACCCTGAGAGTGGAAGAGCAATGATTTGATACGAATCTGTCATGAGCCAAGTACTTTCATAATTTGTTGGCAGTCAACCCTAGGTACCACTTCATTATTAATACTGAATTACAGAGGCCAAATGGCTCATTCATACACAGAAATGAAATAGCCAAGGTAAAGATCAGAGGTAAGCCCATGACAAAACTCTACCGCTTGATTTAAACAGAACAAGCCCCACTGTCTTAACCATGTGACTTGGCTATAGTGAAGGAACTGTTGACAGGAGAGGATAATTTAACTTAAATTATTAGTTGAAAAATCCTGGCAACACTTACAAGTTTGAGCAAAGTTTTAACTGCAACTTAAGGGAATTCCTTGATAACATCAAAACTTGTGGTTTTTGAGATTCTTAGTCCAGATGACCTCTTAAGGCTCCTTGTCAAGAGTGAAATCAGCAATGTTTGTACCTAATACAGTCACACAGAAATATCACAGGGTTCGACTGTCTAGAACAGGACATGATTTGCAGGAATAAGAAACAATCAATGCAAACTATCATACAAAACAGAATGCCAATTCCTAGACAATTGCATCTTAGTAAAATGCTTTTCTATTCATAATTAAGAAAAAGGCACAACACGCAAGTTATTCTTAAGAGATAGTTCATGCAAAATTTCACAATGGCACACAAAATAAATAACACATCTGATGGAAATGACTAAAGCCATGCTAGGTAATTCATTTTTTCCACATTTCAACAATTATGGAAAGCACGTATACAGGTATGAATACATGTCAAAGGAAATTATAATTCAGTTTTCACAATAATTTTACTGATGTGGCCCGGAAATTTTAACAGTTAGTACTGTGTAGCTGAACTTCATGAAACAAATGACAGTTATTCCAAACTGAATCATAATCAGAGTCAAAGCAAGTAAAAAATTCTCAGAAACATTGATTTACACTTACACCATCAAAAGAACAACAAAAATTACATATGCCACATCATTCTCACACATACAAAGAAAAAAAATGAGAAAAAAGATCTGCTGGTGAAAATAGGGAAAGATGACATACAGTTTACTATTTAAAATGTTGCATACAATGTAGCATTAATGCAACTACTTAGGTAATATCACAGACTTGCTGAAGCAATAGACTAACTTATTCTTACATTCCAAAACATTTTGGGGCAAATGCTTTAAGAAAACGATTTCACCTTTTTTATCTACCAATACTAACACAATCAAGGGAGCACTAGTTTACCATTCTCAAGAATGCAATCCGAAAGAAAGTGCATCATGTAAATTGAATCAGAGACCGAATGGGCAAATGATTCCAACAAAATGGGAATGAAGGCAGAAAACATTTGCGAAATATAAATAGAGGTAACTAATCTAATTGAGGGTACCCCTGCACTGTGAAGCTCCACACAAACAAGGAATCTTTTCATCTTCCAAAGGAAACTTGTAGTCATATGTTATCTCTTCATTGACACCAATAGGTTGCTTAGAATAGATTACAATTTTCTTTTGACTGTCAATGGTAATGACTCTAGCGTAACAGTTGGGCTAAAAATAGGAAATAAATAGAGATCATTAATACATGAGGCTTATATTAAGTAAATAATACTTTGATACAGTTCAAGTTTACTTACATTACAACTGTGATTAATAAAGCGAGCAAGATTCCCGCACTTGGTAGCATCAATGATGGCTTCTACATCGATACGGAATAAGTATGATGATCCAATTCCAGTAGCTTCATATTGGCGTTCACGATTATCTGCCACAATAGGTCGTACCATTTGGCCAACATACTCAATCACCATTTCATCAGCAGCAATAGGTTCCATGGCAAACAGGCCCCAGTCATGGATACCAGATTTGGCAAATCTCAATTGTTTCTTGCGGAACTGGAATTGGAAGAGCAAACAATAAATGAAAAACAAGCATACTTTACATAAGCACAACCTCTTGATAAGCAAAACAAATTGCATAGTGTAAGAGATAAAATTTGAAGACTGACCTTCAGTTGGTTAAATTTCAGCAGATCACTGTCAGTTACAAGTCCAAAGGCATTAAGCAACCTGCGCTGGTTATTTCTAGCTTCTCTTGATGATGATTGCATCTTTGCACTGATATTTTTCATAGGGTCCTCAGCTGTAACTTGTGCTGGTTGAACGGATTGAGCAAAGTGATACTGCGGACAGAAAATCGGGTTTTAGAAAACTGAGCACTGTTCAAAAGAGGGAAAAGATAAAACCAAAAGTCCTTACCTTGTACTTCATCTTCTCCTTAACATCCATTTTATAATAACCCTCAGTTCTTGCACTGCCTGTAGTGTGTAATCGAACGTCATCTCGCTTACGCTTTTTAGATGGAGAAGATGACAGGTCAGTAGGTGCAAAGGAGTTAAGGAAATACATCATCATACCAAATCAAGTGTAAAGCAAACACAGGATTATCATAATGTAAGTAATGGAAATATGTATGCAAAGGATATCACAATGGTCAACCCAATGGGTATCATTGAGCCAATACCCAGCAGCATCGCTGGCAAGCATGGAATCATAACTCCTCTTCAGATAGTTCATGTCCTCGGGATCAATTCCCTTGGTCAAGAATTCATAAAGAACCTGCATTTCTTCCATTGTTGATCTCTCAGTAAACACAACCGGTTTTTCAGGTACAAAAACAGGTTGCCTGAAAAATTAGAGGAAATAATAATAAATAAGTAAGATTTAAGTCTGTACAAGATACAGCTACATGATTAAAAGAAGAAGAAAACATTGCAAGTTACAAAAATGTTTGAAGTGGATAGACTTGCCTGAACAATTTGTTGGCCTGTAATAACTTATCAATTTCTGCTCTTCTCTGTGGCTTCTTGGGAGACCGCTTCTTGGGTGCGATTTCTTTATAACCAGAGTAGTTATCATCCAGTATAGGAGTAAGAGGTTTTGTTGGAACAGCACTCTTTGAAGTGTATCTAAAGAAGAAAAAGCAGAAATAAGAAAATTGTTAATGGAAGAAACAAAAGCATTAATGTTGTCATTTTCAGTCATCTTCCTTACCCATGATCATGATTAAATAATTTGTGAGAATGTTTATTTGAATTAGGTGGAGAACTAGAGGGGTCTCTTTCTGGTGGGAGGGAGTAGGAATGTTCCAATGATATTTGAGTTTGTGGAACATGGGATATTTCACCATATCGATCCACATCTCTTTCATAGCCCCTTTGGTTGAATGGTTTGTTCTCATCAAATGCATTTTCCCACTTTGACCTGGCATCTTCCACAAACAGAGGGGGTGCAGGCCCCTTTCTATTGCTAGTGTTGTTTTTAGAGAGAGTAGAAGACACACCATTGATGTTAGATGAAAGCCTCCTGCAATATAAATTTTTGAACTTTAGACATTTATCAAGAAAACCAAGAGTCCATTTCAAAATGGTACAAACCTATCATCATCGACAGTTTTTTCAATCTTGCGGATACCAGATACTATTTCAGGACCAATTTTGGTTGAAGTCTTTTGATCAGACCCAGCCAAAGCCATAAGTGCCTCAATTGCAAATGAATCAGAGCTGTAAAATGTTCCAGGCATTTTAGAATACTAATAACTTCAAAAAAGGTATTAAAAACAGGGTGGGCTCATAAATGTTTGACACATACTTGCTGACATCTGCAAGAGGTGATCTTTCATGTGATGTAGGAGAACCATGACTGAGAGCTGGAGATGATGCTGTCAGAGTTACACTGGTGTCCACACTCGCTGCACTCTTTGTTGCGCTAGAAACTGCGACAGCTAATGATTGAGTTGTATGTGCCGGTGTTCTCGTATCATCAAGTGCTGCCATGGCCTCTTCCGTTTCAGAGGCGTCGTCCGTAGATTCGTCAACATGAGATACAGAACCGAATTTGCTGTAGACCATTTCTCTATCTGATGTGTCTGAATCATCGTCAGGAATAGGGGTATGGCTTCCTTCAGGCGTACTCTCTCTGTGAATAAAATATCCCACAAAATCAATGCATTAGGAAGGCTGAATCTGTGAGGCTGAAACTGTGTTATCCTACATTTAGGTTCAAATATCCAACCTGAATGTTCTGAGAAGTTCTAGATCTTCAGGATCGAGGAGAGCAAGTTTCTTAGCAAGCCGCTCATTTGCAGAATCAACAGTAGAGCCAGGCTCTTCTTCAGTGTCACTGCTTTCAGAGCTGCTACTAGAATCTGAACTCAGATTACTTGCACTTGAAATAGACTTAAGACTAGGACTTGCTGATCGGCTGCTTGAAGATGAAGAAGAGGACGAAGAGGAAGAAGAAGAAGATGATGAGGATGACGACGATGATGATGACGAAGAACGCTTAGGAGGCTCATTATCATCAGAGATGATTCTTCGGCCTCGCCGCTCCCGTCGGAAAGTAGATGCTCCAGTCTGTAAAACATGGAAAACTAGACAGTCAAAAATAATGTTGACATGATTATTTTTAAAAACCCTACATACACAGTTAGTTTGCTTTACCTGAGAGTCAGAATCAGACTGCCTCACAATCTCTTCATCACTGAGGGCACCAGGTCTGGAGGAACCATCTTCATCTAAAGTTGGAGAAGGAACCTTCCGTTTCCGCTGCAATACAAATAAAAACAATGTGTTTTTAAAAAAAAAAACTTAGGGTAAAATCGCTTTGGGGCAAAAAATTAAAAAAATTGAACAAATTACCCTGAATGATGGCATTTTGGGAATTGCAGCTCTGAAGCCCAAACCAAACCCAGTCAAACTAGTCGTCTCCACTGGCTCGCGAGTTGTGGAAATAGTGGATGGCTTAGTAATCTTTTCAGCACTTCCTGGCTCAACAATTTCTGCTGATGAAGCCTAGAAATCAATTTAAAGTAAACATTACATTTAGAAATCACACACAAAGAGAGATGATAAAGAGCACATGAATGCCACTTACTTTGGCTTTACTTTCTTCCTGATCCCACCAACTCTCAAAGGATTTAAAAGCAGTGTTCTCTATCATTTTTTTGTTGACATCTCGCTTTAATATAGCTTTTAGTTCAGCTATAACTTTGTCAATTACTCCCCTGAAAAAAAAAAACTTCATAAAATCTGATTGACAATACATAAAGGAACAAAGAAGAGTGGAAAAAGACACCTACTGAATTATGTGACCTTGCTCATTTTCTTGACCCGGCATACCAGCCTGGGTTGGATACGCAGGGTAGGGATAAGCTGCTGGGTGAGTGTAAGCACTGGAGTGAACAGGATAGCGTCCGTCACCTGTCTGGTAACCCTAAATCAAAAAATAATGAGGAGTTAATAAAGAATTACGAGAGAAAAATTATACTCTTTAAGTTATGACTGAATAAATAGTACCTGATAAGCAAGATTGTAATATGATGGATCTTGTCCAGGTGGTACAGGGTAGGCAGGATAAGGGGTACCATAAGGTATGTTAGGTGGTGGTGGTTGTCCAGGATAATATGGTACTTGTTGACTATAGCCATAACCCGGTGGTGGATAGGATGAAGCCAAATGGGGAGGGGGTAAATGGGTTGGTGGAGGTAGATGGGTTGGGATAGCTGGTGGTGGGACATGAGGTGTGAATACAGGAGTTTCTACAGTTATTTTCTCATCTCCAGAACTTAAACTTGACAGAGACATTCTGTCATCATCTTGACCATTCAGTTCATCCTGAGAAGAAAGAAAGTGTTTTAGAGATGTAAATGAAGAGAATACAGTATAAATAGTGCCCATTGGGTAACAAGAGAAAAAGAAGGTACCAGTAGGTAAAAAAAATACTACTGCACAAAATCTTACTTGTAATGGGGTGCATCTGTGACCATCTTCTGAACCTTTGTTAAAAGTTAGAGAAGGTATTACATCTAATCGACTAAGTTCATCATCACAACTGACTTGTGATTGCTGACTATCATCATTATTGCATGCACCACCAGTCAAAATCTCATCTTCACTGCTGCTGATTTCACTGTGAAGCTCCTCATTTGATTTTTTGGTACTGTTTTGAGATTTGCTCTTTGATGATTTGTGATTTAATCTTTCCTCTCTTTCTTTCAAAAGCTGAAAAGAGAACAAGCATGTTGACTTACCAAGTGCACAAGATCAAAATCATAGAATACTAAGTTAATTAGATTTTATCTTACCACTTCAACATACTCCTGATGACACTGTAAATATATTTCTTGAGTCAAAAAAGGTGATGGAGGGGTTGACAGTGGTTCTTTTTCAATCGGTGCTTCAGGAACCTCATTTAATTTTTCAGCTTCCTTGGCTTCTCCATCTGATTCACCACTAGATGTTGCATGATTTTTATGTTTCCCTTGTCTCTTCTGGTGCCTAGAACATCAATAGAGCCAATATGTATGTGCAATGAGAAAAGAAATCAACCTACATTGTTGATCAGTTTTTCCCGATATGCTCACCGAGAAGAACTGGAGGATCGCCGAGAGGCAACTTTACTTCGGTGTTGATCATCTTCCTCGTCAGAGCTCATACCCAACTGAAGAAAAGCAGGGGCTACCCCTACTTTCCCTTTCAATAACATTTCTATTCTGGTATCAAGATCAAGTTTGCCATCATCAGTGTTAGCATCAGCACCTTTCCGTTTTGATTTATCTTTCTTCTTTGACTAGAAGTAAAACACAATAACTAATAAAAATCTGCAAGACAGTAGAAAATCAACTAACAAATAAATGCAGCAGGCACCACTCACCTTGCTTGACGTGTTTCTAGTATCAGTGCCCGCGGTGTAACCACTCCACTGATGAACATCATTTGCTGGTGGTAGAGCCGGATTCGGATTCATTGCTCTCGCGTCTGGGGGATGTGGCCATTGATGGGGCCACTGGTTTGCAGTGGGGGGAAGGCCAGGTGGGTAACCAGGAGGTGGCTGGGAGTGGTAGTTTACAGGATAATGACTATGAAAGTCATAAGGAGGGTAGTGCTGAGAGGAGTGGTTTGAAGCGGACCCCGGGGTTGAATGGGGATACTGATTATATGACCTATCAGAAGTACCTGTGAAACCAAGCTCAGTAACTAAACAGAGTTCATCACCTAGGGGAAACTTCAAACAGAGAGTTAAATATTTTTTAGCAAAATAATTTCAAGAATAATTTAGAGTACCAATGTATGAACTGTTTTCGCTTGATCCTGTTCGGTATCCATGATCACTGGAGGGTGTAGGATAATCACTGTGAAGTCTTGAGTGAGCATTGTCATATCTATGCACATCCACCTTAACAAGAAATAGTGCCAAAATGTCAGAAATCAGCAATAGAAATAACAAGTCAAAATTTGTGTCTTTTAAAATAGTATACTTTGTGGTTGGGTGCTGGCTCAGCCTCATGCTCTACAGGAGCTTTAGATGGCTTCTTGACAACCTTTTTCTCTTCCTTTTCCTCCTCTTTGACTTTCTCCTTCTCTTTTTCCTTTGGAATTTCCTTCTTTTCTTCTGTTAAAGACTCAAAGGTTTTCCGGCACTCATTTCCTAGAAGAAAAAATAACAGCAAAATAGCAGAGTTGAAATTGCAAATTTGCAAGAACGGATAGAAATATGAATTGGACTCTAGTGAAGTGTACTTTAAGCTTACCAAATGGATCTAGGAAAACTCTCAAAACTTTGCCCATGACAGACGTGTCATTCAGTTTGTCCACACAGGCTTTTGCAGCTTTGGTCTGCTCAAACACTACTCGAGCCAAACCAAGATGTTTGTTTGATAAAGGGTGATAAAATATAGTGAGCTCTTCAGCAACACCAAATTTTTGAACCTTGAAACATTGGCAAACAAAATGGCAAGATATAAGATACAAAACGCCTTAGAAGCATATAGACTTGGAATCATACAAGTAATGTGCAGAGTAAATGTGTCAATTACTAACCATGTCACCTAAAAATGTTTTATCTATGTTATCATTAAGATTAGAAATTGTAATTTCTACGGGGGGAGGATCACCAACATAGTTGTCATCAATCTGAAATAAACAAACATTCATAAAAAATGAAGCACCAGACGTGTGACAGCTGTTCAGAGCTTAAATAGAGCCTGGACAATTTGATGATTTACTATACATGATAATCTCACCTTAAACCTAGGAATAGGAAGATCAAGTTGGTCTAGTCGGGCCCAAATTCTGGTAAGAGCTGAACGTGGATCTCGACAAATAACAAGAGGTTGTGTAGCATCGATAGGGACACCATCATATCGGTATGTTTTTACACCACCCTTGGCTAAAAATGGGTCATTCATGAGCTTAAAATTTCTGTTTTTGTGGTGCATAGGATGATTTGGATTGGGATGTTGCGCATTCTGATGGGATCCCGGTCGATTGAACGAATTACTGGAATCCATGGCTGTGCTCATTGCTGCTGACAAAATCAAAACAAACATGGTGAGAGAGGTTATGTTGCTCTCAATAATGAAGGTAATACTGACTTAACAGCTACTTTTGGTAGACAGCAATACTTGAACATGATCCAAAATAACATCAAGACTTTATAATACATAGAAAAAATAAGAAATGATGACAATTCAACTTTGATAGGGTTAAAATAAAGCAATTTCAAGAACAAGGAGGGACTTCTTCCTCCTTACAGCCAAATCTTACAGGTGACATTAGCAAAATTATAAGACGGTAAAATACGAAAATTTACTAACTTACACAAAACATAAAATATGCATTCCCAATAAATTTCAGAAAATGGAAGGACACTCACTGTTAGGTTTTAAGTGGAAACGATGGTTGGCCCTGCCTTGGCCAGGCTGCAAAGCTGCAGGGGTGACGTCTTAATTAAGCCATCAGATTTTCATAACAATTTGAACACAAATTCTTTCAAAATAAAAGTATTTCATCATTTCTTTAAAGTCAATGCTTTACAACGACCACGACTTCGGCCGCTCCAACATTGTTTCCTTGATAACCATTAACATTCAACCAAACCTCGGCCCATAGCGAAACACCTAGATTGAACATATAGAATTGCTTCTTTAAGCTTCAATCCAGTACAAACAGATTCATTACGTTTTTTCGAATGTTAAACCTTGTTTTTATCTAAAACAATGCTTAAGTTGAATCACTGCTTTACATGTGACCAGTTTTGACCAAGGGGAAGAAGGGAGGAGAGGGGTGGAGAGGAAGGGGGCACTTTTAGCAGACAGGAGCAGAGGTCTTCCAGCACTGAGGGTCGTCAAGTACGAAGGATTTTAAGTAAACCAGGTAATTGTTACAATGTCATGGATTTTCGATTTGGAATTTGAAAGTATTTCTCATCACGTCCGATTTCTCGTCCTCGTCTTGACCTTCATCCTCGTTATTTCGCAGCAACATGTCTTGGCTTGGGAACTTCTTGGCCAACCGATTCCTCATTAAGGCTAAGGCACAGGCCGAGGATGAAGACATTGTAGATCCTCAGGAGACACTCAAGGTAAGTTAAATGAGTCATTTCTGATCAAATCTGCAAATGTTCAACACCACTTTTTGTTTCGGGATTGTTGTCTTGAAGCCCTCGAATATGGCAGTCGTCAGTTAACCTCAAAGATTATGGATGGTACTGCAATCCTTCATGTTTCTGCAACCTCTCAACCTGCTCTTCATCCTCCTTCAGTATGACAGGGCTGTTTGACAAATTAACTATTTGACTCTTAGGCTAGTGCTTTGATTTTCTCCCGTTTGTGAACTTGAGCTGGATGTATTGCCATGACAGTTTTTGAAACGGTACGCTTAAACTAAGACTTCTCTTTATGTTCAATATGTGTTGACTTCCCGGACGGTTATGGTTTCCCTCTTAAACAATTAAAAGTAAAATATTTTTCAATTGTCTATGGGTTTGTCTTATTTCATGCTCAAAAGCATCAGTTCACTCATTATATATTTAGACATTCCGATCCCGAAGATTTCAAGTAAAGCATTTCTAAACTTACTTTTTTTTAAAAGCTGAAGTTATTCATTTCAAAATTTAACTTGTTTTGCAGGAGAAGTGCCGCGCCAACCCAAAGTGTGTCAGTCTCCATGAGAAATTGGAAACATGCAATGCCAGAGTTCGTAGCAAAAAACAAACTACTGAAACATGTGCTGAAGAACTGTACGATTGGTTCCACTGTGTTGACCATTGTGTATCCCACGACCTGTTTAAGCAGCTGAAGTAGAGATCAAATATTGTAATTAGTTTGATAGACTTATGGAAACAGCCATAGTCAAATTGTGTACAGTGCATTCAAACACTAAGGAATATTTTGTTCTTCACCTCACCATCCTGATTTTTAGCAGTCAATACTGCGAATGTAATTATAAAGTATAAATTGAATAAAACATTACTTCGGCTTTAAATGGCTTGAAATGGAGGGTATTATTATTTCATATTCAATGCAGTCATCAGATTTTGGTACATATTTATTTTATCTGCTCTGTACAGAATTAAATATAAAATCAAAATAGTAATAAAAATAGATTTTAAAATACATAAATATTTGTTTACGAACAATGCAGCAAGCTGTAATCTAAGCACTCTCTATTATACACTGTAAAACTTAACAGATCAGGTGAGCAGTAAGCAAACAATCTCAACAATCAAAATGCAAAACGGCATGGATAGTTTACCTTTGGTTTTATTAGACATAAATTCATTGAACTGAACCCATGTTCAGTCATATAGATGAACGATACAACTAACAAGTTACAACATAGTAATACAAGGTTGATTTAATCTGAATGCTCTAGGTCATGCATGGCACTTTCCTTAAGAAGAAAAAAAATCAATAACAAAGAGCTTAGAGCTCCTACACATCTCACTTCCAACAACTTTAATTTCAAAAATGTGATCATAGTCAGACTCAGACTTTATTCAAGGAGAAAGACAAACTAAAGACAACAATAGCACAGTGTGCAAAGGCATACATACATTTCAGACTAAAAACAAGATTTCTATTCAACAAAAAGAGACTTGAATAATAGCTATTTCAATGCTACAATATCACAAAGTGCATAGACTGCACTCCTTACACATTGACAATCAGATTTATTAATACTTCAGACAATTGTTGTTAATGAATTCATAGGAATGCATTTCATATTATGAAGAGCCGACTTGTAAAAAGTCAAAACAAACAGAGCATACTCTGACAGGTTTCTTTTGATTAAATTTCAATATAGGGACGTCTTGGCCGGAACAATTGCTGCAGAGGACTCTACCACAATGACGGCTAAAAAAGAAAGGGTGAGCAATTAAGATACAGATACTCATTCTCACAAGACAAGCGCCAGATTTAAAACAAAAAAATGCATACCAGTGATGCTTCCGAACTGTAAAACCAAACTTTGTTCCACAGTCTAAACAAATGTCACCTTCTGCCCATGGTGGTTCTTCTGATAATTGATTAAGTAAGCTGGAACAGAAAAGAGACATGATCAATTGACTCAAGATAAAAGGCAGTGAACAGAAGTGTCTTAGAAGACTTTACCTGTATAAAAGCTGTTTAGTTGTCACTTGGTAATTGAAGATGGTCACTCCATCTTTGTTCATTGAACCAATACAGGCTTTGGCCTTTACCAGGGCGCGACACAGATTTCCATTGCCCTTCATATAAGCCAACATGAGAGCTAAAATGAAAAACAAATAAAACACATGGCACAAGAGAAACCAGTGAATAGCTTTAAACTATGTCAAAATTACCTGTGTTACCATCCAGATCTGGCTTGTTAATTGGATAATCTGGCATGTACTCAATAAAGAGCTCACAAATAGCTGCTGAATTATCCTTGCCATGTCTTGCAAGGACATGTAGAGGATTTTGACCTTTCAGATTCATCGTCTCCGCATTTAACTGGGACTCTTCTAGTAAAGTCCGAACCACTTGCAAATGGCCCTCACGACAAGCAATATGTAATGCTGAGTCTCCCCCAGAGTCAACAGCATCATATGCTACACTATTAGACAGACATGCAGATACAATATTTGCATGACCTGCCTCAGATGCTACATGCAGGGCATTACGTTTGTGAGCATCAACATCATTGGGCTATAGGAAACAGAAATAAAGTCACTCTTGAAGACAAAATTTTTTACACAGTGCTACCCAGGTTGACTAGGAAACTACATACTCTGGCTCCAGCTAGAAACAAGCTCCGGACAAGCACTTCATCTCCTGAGGCTGCTGCAAGATGAAGAGGTGGAGTCTGATTCGCATCGTTGACACGGGAGTTGACATCAACATTAATAGAGAGCAAGAAAAGAACACTTTCTGAGTCATTCTTCTGAATGGCAGTGTGAAGAAAGTTTCGACCTTTGTTGTCAGTCTGTAAAGAAAGGATAAGATTAACTCAATAAAACAGAGTTAGTAAGAAAAATCAAAATGTTGCTCATACCTGCTCAGCTGCATTGGGCATTTTATCAAGGATCGCTTCTGCTGCTTTGTGATTGCGCACAGTCAAAGCTGTGGCAAAAGGTGAAAGGCCTGTCTTATCCCTCAGCGATAGATCAATGTTCGGATGACATAAAAGAAGTGCAATAATTGAAGGATGTTGGTTTTTTATGGCAATGTGCAGCGGTGTATGACCATCTGCATCCTGGAAAAGAAACAACAGTTTTAAGGTCAATGTCATTCATATTCATTTGCATTATATTCTAATAGAAATTGGAGCATCAAGTTGACAGCAACCTTGGCATTGACATTGGCCCCGTGTTCCACCAGCGTTTGCACTGTACTCTGCAGACCCCATGAGCAGCACAAATGCAAAGGACCTTGGAGGTCGTGGGCCTCATCGCCACCAATACCACTCGGACCTGGTCGGCGGGGAGCGTTTAGGTCACACCCAGACCGTATCAAAAAATTTGCAATTGCTTCCTGGTTTTCATCAATAGCTCTGTGCAACAAGGACTGCAAGCACCCATCCGGTCCGGCCCCCCAACAGTCTGTGTCCGCACCATTTCTGTCAACAATTGCAAAGTCAAACACGTCACAGAACAGTGTGTAGAGCGTGCCACTCTTATCTCAAGAAGAGTAGACATACCTGACTAAAATTGAGGCAATATCTTCCTGATCTGACACCAATGCTGCCCAAAGAGGACAGCAATCATTTTTGTCAGGAATAGACATATCTACACCCCTTGTGCAGAGGGACTCCACGACATCGGGTAAGCGGCAGCGAATGCACAGTTCTAATGGAGTTTCATTATCTGAAGTCCTTCAGAAAAGAGAAAGAAAAAAAGTTGAGGAAGTGAGAAACAAAAATATCAACATAAAGTGAGTGCAACTAAAAATATTACATACAGGGCATTCATGTCAGCCTCACAATTCAACAAGAAATTTGCCATTTTGCTGTCTCCATTCAGAATGGCCTGGTGTAAGAGAGTCAATCCCTTGCCATTGCGCACATTCACATCTGCTCCAGCTGTCAATCAATCAAGAAATTTTTTAGGCTTTGTTCTTTTTCAGAGATAGGACCAAATAACAATTTCCAAGAGGATTCACACACCCTTCAACATGTTCTGAGTAATCTCTTGCATTCCAGAACGGATGGCCAGTGAGAGCGGAGTGTCCCCCAATGAATCCTTGCAATCAAGATTTGGAGTAGGGACTGCCTTGGGGTTGCCTTTTTGGCAAATATAGTTTACTGCAATCAAATTGGGAACAAAATGAGGTGTAGAAGAGAAAAGAATTACATTGGTCAATAAAACAAAGAACTTACACTTATAGTCAATTATGACACGAGCAGCATCTTCATGCTTGTTTGAAATAGCGACATGAAGCGGTGTTTGTCGATGAGCTCCACTACTTTCTGAAGCAGCTAGTGTCTGCAAATTGGGGTTACCGCCTGCTTTCAGCAAAGCTGCTACAAGTTTAGCTAAACCTGTTTCACAAGCAATATGCATCGCAGATTGTCCTTGGGCATTAACATGGTTCACGTTGGTGGCATGCTCCGACAAGAACAAAGCTTGTTCCTCCAAATTCTGTAAGGGTAAAAAATTAGTTCCAGATGTCGTTCAACGAGTACATGACGCACTTGAACAGGGTACCAATACACGCCTCTCTAGCCATGAGGTGAAGAAGAGAGTCTCCCATGGCGGGGTACACAGGATTGGCCGTGGCGCCCTGCGACACCAACCGAGCGGCGTAGCTCTCGGCGTCGAAAGGGCCGCCGCCCAGGAGGGCGTAGTACAAGGCGCTGTGGCCCTGGTCGTTGCGCACGTTCAAGTCGATGTCGGCACACTGGAGCAGCAGCGAGAACACCGCCGAGTTGCGTGACTGGACGGCGAGGTGCAGCGGCGCGCTGCCATAATCAAAAAAATGAAATAAACATTGACATTGAACCTGCGGCTTGATTCCGAGAGTCGCTTTCGTCGCTCCGTCCCTCTCGCACTCATGGGGCGTCCCGTATAGGCGCGAGAGAGGCAGAGCGACGAAAACGACTCTCGGAATGAGTCTGCTGGCGCAGTAATGAGCTGGTGGGATGACATTGACTGTGACTCACAAGCCCTGCTTGTTCTGCACGTTGGCGTCCAGCCCCTTGCGCAGCATCACGCCGGCCACGTCGGTGAGCGCGGCCAGCACGGCGTCGTCGGCCGTGTCCGGGCTGAGCGCGGCCACCATGTGCAGCGCAGTGTCCCCCTTGGCCGGGGTGCGGAGCGCGGGCGCGGCGCCGTGCTCCAGCAGGAAGTTGGCGGCGTAGCTGTCGCCTGGAAGTCAAGGACCACGTGGCCACGTCGTCAGCCGAGAGGTTCCGAAGGGCCCCAACGGGACGCCCCACGAGTACGAGACGATCCTCCATAATCAGCCTGCAGCACTGGGAAGACGGTTCGAAGGGCTCCAAGACACGTACCTCTCTCGATGGCGCAGTGCAGCAGCGTCCACCCCCTGGCGTCCTGCGCGTCGGCCTCGGCGCCGTGCTCCACCAGCGTCTTGGCGAGGGACGTCTGCTGGTCCCGCAGCGCCAGGTCCAGGGGCAGCTCGCCCCGCCCGTCCACGGCGTTCAGCAGCGACGGCAGCTGCGGACCAACAACGACAGTCAGTCAGTCGGGCGTCGCGTGGCGTGCGGTCTCCCGAAGCTCCACAGGTGTTCGGCAACCACCACGCAGAACCCCAGTAGACGCGGCAAATGTTTGGACCTCTCCTCCCTCCCGCATCAAGGCGCGGGCTGCGTAGCTACCCCACTGCTAAGTGAGAAAGCCGCCTGATCATTTGTGGTCTGGCCCGTAATGGTAATGGTATGCAGGGTAGGCAGCGAGGAGACACGCCAGCGCGGCGGGCTTGCCTACCCAGCCGGGCGTTCCCGGCGATTGCGGCAACAGGCGGCACTTCGTACTTCGTGAGGGAGAGGGGCGGCAGTGCTGCGAAGCCACTTTCATCAAGGTGCGCTAGTAAAGGCGTCGACTGTTTTGTCAAGCCAGCCGGCGGTGCTGGGGCCTGGGGCAGGCCGGCAGGCCGGGGCGCCCCGGAAGGCAGCCACAGCCAGCCAACGGGACGGAGCGCCGCCGCGCCGCGCCACGCTCTCGGGAGGTCCCCGCTGCCCCCGCCGGCCGCCCCTCCCCGCGCCACTGACCGAGTCGAGTCGAGTCGGAGCTCGCTCAGTCCGTTGCAGGCCAGCGCGGAGAAAGCAAGCACCGAAGCCGCAAGCCGCACCGCCTCGAGCCGGGCGCCGCGACGGCAAGGCGATCGACACAGTCGCCGCGAACGCGCCAACTCGCGAGCTCGCGCACGCGTGCTTGTGAGTGTGTCTTCAAGAGAGTGTGTGCGTGTGTGTGTGTTTTTGCGTGTCTGGCGATACGTAGAGGGCGGGCAGCCAGACGGTCGGGCACACACTGTCCCCGCCGGTCCCCCTAGTGGTCGGGAAGGCACCGAACTCGGCGTGGCGCCGCGACGCGACGCGCGGCACCGCAACAGTGTAACGGTGCAGGCCGCTGCACCCGCCGTCACCGCCCGCGGTGAGCGGCCACCCCGAATGGTGCTGGAGCAGCACGTCTAGAGCACGGACAGCAAGGGCAGCACGGTGCAGCACGACGACCCCGCCTGAGGTAAGGGCTGGCGGCACGCAAGTCGAGTGGAAGTGCTCCTCACTAGTGACACTGGCAGTGTGCTTTCACGAGAGTGACCCTGGTCGCAGTGCTTTCGCGAGAGTGACCCTGGTTGCAGTGCTTTCGCGAGGAGTGACACTCGTTGGCCGCAGTGCCTTCGCGAGAGTGGCACTGCCCAGTGCTTTCACGGGGAAAAGGCACGCACCACACTTCGCGACGGCCCTCGCCTAGCCGGGCGCGTCCTGCCGGGGGACTGCTTTCTCCAACGATAGCGACGCTTAGATTTTTCCACCACAGCTGCAGCGAGAGAGAAAGAGAGAGTGAGTTTGGGTGTATTGTATGACGTACGTCGAAGCGAGTCACCACAGAGCGATCGCATGAGAGAGAAAAAGAGAGAGATACGTAGCGTGGGCGTGACCGTCCGGATAACCAACCGCAGAATGAATTAAGGGAAGTCGATTCATCGCGTGATTCATTGAGTGGCACCCGGTGGCCCGCGGTGCGGAGGCCCGGTGCGCCGAGTCAAGCGCAAGTGAAGAAACGTCAAAACAAACAACAGCAAACCTCATTCGCCATTCGGCAGTGTTGTTGTTGTCGTCGTCTCATCGATTTCTCGGAAAGCCACACGGTGGCGGCGCAGTGCGTACGACAGTGGCGCCTATGACTCAACCGGCGCCGAATCTTCAAACACCGGCCGGCAAAGTCGTAAGGAGGCGAACGAAATGAGCGACCAGAGGGAAGTCCAGGAACAGCTAGCCGGGCAAAGCTTTCAGCCGATGAGAAAGCGCTTTTTTTTTCTTTCTGTGATGGCCACTTTTGACGCTTTGAGGCCTTACGGTGCCCCGGCCGAGAAAAGGCGCCGCGCGCGCAAACCGCAGCAGAGAAACGGCAACGCGACGACCGCGCCGCCGCGAGCGCGCGCAGGGAAATAATAAAAACAGGAGAGTTAATCGATAAAAGAAAGAGAACACGACAGCAAGTTGCAAATGGCATGCAGATCGTCCGAGCGCGCAGCGCACTGCGCCTGGCAGGCCTTGCAGTGTCACGCAATTAGTCGGAAGGAAGGAAGTCAGGAAAAAGGGGGAGGGGGTGGGGGCAGCCAACTCATTTCATCTTTGTTTTTCGCACTGTACCGCTAACGGAATTGGTCGGTTGAACGAGAGCAGGTGTCATCACTCCTGGAGCAGAACTCGGGACTCGGGCATTGTGGCGGGGCCGGCGGGGCCGGGGTTGGGGGAGGGGGGACTGCGCGCCCGGTTGACTTGGTCGTGGCAGTGAACTTGCAAGTAGGTCGCAGGTAGGTCGCCTTCTGCCAAGGCGAGGCGGCGAGGCGGTCCGCGGGGCGGGGTGGGGCGGGCGGGGCGGGGCGGGGCGGGCGGGGCGGGGGGGGCGGGGCGGGGCGGGGCGGGGCGGGGCACTCAGTCCTCGCGACCCCAAGTGGGGTCGCGAAAAAATTTTAAGGGGTCGCGGCGAGGTAGCTGGGGTCGTGTTTTGGGCCGATTTTAAGCAGCCACTGCGTCTGATCCGAGGCGGGCATTTTGCTCCCTCAACCGGCAATTGGTCTTTGAACCTTCCTTTAGCATGCCTTTGTTACGGAGTGTGATTATCAGTCTAAGTTTGGGAGCAGTATTGTCTCAAAGTTTACCAAAACGGTCAGAAATGTCTTTGAAAAATCGTGTTTTGGGCCGATTTTAAGCAGCCACTGCGTCTGACCCGAGGCGGTATTTCGTCCACCTTCAACGGGCAATTGGTCTTTGGACCTTCCTTTAGCATGCCTTTGTTACGGAGTGTGATTATCAGTCTTAGTTTGGGAGCAGTATTGTCTCAAAGTTGGCCGAAACGCTCAGAAATGTCTTTGAAAAACCGTTGTGACTGTTTTGGTCAACTTTGAGACAATACTGCTCCCAAACTAAGACTGATAATCGCATTCCGTAACAGAGGCATGCTAAAGGAAGATCCAAAGAACAATTGCCCGTTGAGGGAGCAAAATGCCCGGCTCGGATCAGACGCAGTGGCTGCTTAAAATCGACCCAAAACATGATTTTTCAAAGACATTTCTGAGCGTTTTGGCCAACTTTGAGACAATACTGCTCCCAAACTAAGACTGATAATCGCATTCCGTAACAGAGGCATGCTAAAGGAAGATCCAAAGAACAATTGCCCGTTGAGGGAGCAAAATGCCCGCCTCGGATCAGACGCAGTGGCTGCTTAAAATCGACCCAAAACATGATTTTTCAAAGACATTTCTGAGCGTTTTGGCCAACTTTGAGACAATACTGCTCCCAAACTAAGACTGATAATTGCACTCCGTAACAAAGGCATGCTAAAGGAAGGTCCAAAGACCAACTGCCCGTTGAGGGAGCAAAATGCCCGCCTCGGATCAGACGCAGTGGCATGCTAAAGGAGGGGTCCCGTGGGGTCGCGAAACTTTTCCTGGGGGTCGCGGAAATTTTTGGCTACAAATTTGGGGTCACGAGCCGAGAAAGGTTGAGAACCGCTGTTCTAGTGCAACTACCATTAGTGAAAAACACACTAAAACGGCAAACATTCAGAGTGCCTTTTCCACCGCCTCGTCAGGCACTTTCTCTTCGGCGGTCCCGCCGCAGTCCTGCACGCCCATCCGATGGAAAAACACTGCGATCTGCCCGAGTTGGTCTCCATTCCGGGGAAGGCCGGGGAAGGCCGGGGCAAACCACCGGGGGAAACCTTTCGCTCTTTTTAATGGCGGCGGCGGTTTTTCGATGACGGCCCGCCAACGCCAAAACGGCCAGGGCTAAACTGGCCGAACCTATAGATGTGCGAATCAAGGGTATTTTTAGGTCGTCGAATCGGATCGGGGAAAATAATTCCCACTCGAGTGGGACACAAATACTTAGCATCAAATCGAATTTCTAGAGTTCACGACAAGCTGACATTTTAAGACTGGAAATTCACTATCAAACCGGGCTAATTCGACATTTTTTAAAAAATCTCACGGCATTAACAGCGGATTTTCGAAAAAAAAAATTCGAAACATTTGCATGTTTTTCGTCTTTAGCTAAACCTGCACTGCTTCTGCTTCCAGGCCCAGAGATGGAGGCGGCCGCGCGCCCCGCCCGCCACGCCGCCCCCGCCCTCATCGCCGCCACCATCCTCCTCGGCACTGGTAGGTACACTGGAAGGTAGTTCTAAGCGCCGGCCGAGTGCACCGCGTGCGTCATCACCTGGCCTGATTCACGCGCCTCACAGCCTCACAACAAGTGCACAGCTCCGCGCAGCTTCGCGGACGCCGTGCCTTTCCACGGTTCGCGGGTTCAAACCCCGCTGCGTAATCGCGCCGTTTCCTCGGGTTTCCTTTGGCCTATGGCCTCTGGCCGTTCTACTTCTTGTGACCGGTCGCGCGCTGGCGAGCGTTCGTGGCGGCGGTGTCAGGCTGGCTTCCCACACTCTAAAAGTCTTGAAGAAAATCGAGACAACCTTTGTGGCTTCAAGTAGCGTGTTCGTGTTCATTGAACCATTCAATTTATGCCGCGTTATGCCGCGAGGGCACGCAACGGAACGTCCGTCCCCAGGTTCCACCGACAGGAGGGTTCCACGCCCCGACGCCCGCAAGCTCACCCGCAAGGCTTGCAAGGCTTGCAGTGGACGCACGGTCGCGGCATGGTCGCAACAAGGTCGGCAACTCAGTCAAATCGCTGCGCCGCTTCGCACATCGGATGCAAGGCTCGCCTGCCAATCGCCGTGCCAACGCCGTGGCATCGCGCACCGAGTTCAGTTCCTCCAGGGCGCGGAAAAACAACATTTAAATCAAACGGGAAAGAAACGATATTTTTTCCCAATGACGTTCAACCCAGCCGCCTTTAGTCACCTTGGGGCCGAACGGGCGAACGCGCAAATTTGAACCGGTCGGCACACAGGTCGCAGAGCGTCGCAGAGCGCCACACAAAGACTTTGAAACAAAAAGCGGGGCGCCATGTTTGCGTTGCGCCGTTTGGCGTCGACACGTTCGCTTCGCGCTGCTTCGCGCCTCCGCGGCGCTGTTTTACCACGCGTGTCGTGAGTGCCATGCGTCGCGTGTGGTCGCCTGGAGGGCCTACAGCGCCTGGAGAGAGAGCATGGAGAGCCCTAGGCCTCTAGGCGCGTGTCGCGGAGGGCGGGCTCGCTCCCACACCGCGGGGCACGCGGACAGTGTCTTGTCGCTTCTGTCCCCTCTAACCCATGCATCTCTGGATGGAGCAAGACTGATTCCGAACTGTGTTTTCACCACACGGTCTCACCTCTCTCGCGCACTTGGCGTGCGTTGTCGCGTAGGCAGGGGTGCGAGAGAGACAGCAGCAGGCGACGAAACGCGGCAGTCAAACATACAGCCAGTGCGTGGCGTCGTGCGCGTGTTTTCGTTTCCCACTGTGCCGCCGTCGCTGTCTCTCTGTCTCTCTCGCGCGCAAGCGGGCCACTGCGCGGCGCTGCGCGGGACAGCCGGCCAGAGATTACGGCTCCGCTATCGCATTTGGCGAAGTGGCGGACCGACTGCACTGCGAGCCGCTCGGCAAGCCGGCTTGAATTGGGGAACCGGGTCGGAAGCTGCGGCGCGGCCGCCGACTGATTCGGAGCACCGCTCTCGGCGCGCCGCGTCTCTCTCGCACTCGTGGAACTCCCCGTCAGGGTGCGACAGAGACAGCGACGAAAGCAGAGCTCGGAATCAACCTTCTGAGCAGGAAGCGATACCAAACGCGCCGGCCGGCCGCCCGTCGCGCAGCCGCGCCCTGGCCTCGCAGCGCCTCGCGGGCCGCAGCCATGGAGTGCCTTCGCCGCATTGGCGCTGCACTTGCGGTGCACTGGTGCTGCATGCCTCATGCGCTGAACGAGCCGCGAGGACTGGGCGGCGATGCTTGGCGGCGATCCAGCCCCCTGACGTCACTCACGTACCGTCTCTCTAAACCCAAGGAGCGCCCAGGTCCTTCTCCTTGAGGTCTTGCACCGTCTCTTCCCGCACCTTCACGCACCCTTTGCCGCCTGCTCTCGAGGGGCGCTGCCCCCCCCTTCTGGATCCGCGCTTGGGCACGCGGCGCCTTGGCCTCCTTCCGCCCCGATAAGCCTAATCTAGGGCTGCTCTAGACCTCTAGGCAGGCCGGCCAATTCGGCGCTCCGGGCTGCATTCGCCCCTGTCTCCCTAGCGGGACGTCCCGCGAGTGCGAGAGAGACAGAGCGACGAAAGCAGTGCTCGGCATCGGCCTGCTGCAGTTGCGCAAGTCGCTATCGCCAGTGTGCTCGTCGGTGTTCAGTGGCGTGACAGGGGGAGGCGGCGGAGAGACCAGTCAGCCACCCACGCGGCGGCTTCGGGACTTCGAGGCATCGAGGCGCCGCCGGGGGACGCAGAGGGTCCCTTCCGTCTCTCTCGCACTCGGACGGGACGCCCCATGAGCGCGAGGGAGACAGAGCGACGAAAGCGACTTTGGGAATCAGTCTGCAGCGCATCGCCGGCCGGACGCGCACCGCGTGGGCCGCGGCTGCATTGTCTAGCGCCGCCTGTCTCTCTCACTCATACGGGACGCCGCATGAGTGCGAGGGAGACAGAACGACGACGAAAGCAGCGTCACGCCCGGACGATGACGCGGTGACGCACTACACGAGGCGGGCACTACACCCAAAAAAATCCTTTCCATACAACCTAGATAATATCCCTCGCAGGTGCCGGTCTGAGTCAACAGCTATATAGACAATGAAAGTACATAAACATTTAGTGAGCGACTCGAATATTTTCTCCTAGTCCGACCGAACCGCCAATTACGGGGCCATAAAACGCGCCGCTGCCGCCGAGCTACGCGCCACGCGCCCTCGTCCGCTTCCCTAGACTTCCCGGAACGCGGCAGCCAGGCAGCACACTGGGGTCGTTTACGTCGCTCTGTCTCCCTCGCACTCCCCGCGATTGCGAGAGAGACAGAGCGACGAAAACGACTCTCGGAATCAGTCTGCAGCCATAGCGCGCTTCGCTGCTTGCCCGGCTTGCCCGGCCTGCCCGCAATGCCAAGCCAAGTCTAGCCCCTGCAGTCTGCAGGGTAGGCCGGCCCGCCGCGCCGCCGAGTCGCGCAGTGTTGCCTACCCGCTCCGTGGCAGGCTGACGGAGGGAGGGTCCTTCTCAGTTTGCAGCACGACCGCCGGGGTGGATGTCTCGGATTGCATCCACGTTCGGTCTAGTTGTTGCTTTGGGTTAGATCCAACCCTCGAGCCAAGTCGTGTCAAGGGAGGGAGGAATCCGGAACTAGAGCACCCCGCCGTGGTGCGTGTGCAGAGCGGCGCGGAGCCGCAGCGCCGGCCGGTCGCTCTGTCTCTCTCGCACCTACAGGGGGCGCCCCATGAGCGCGAGCGAGACAGCGACGAACACGAGTCAGTCTGCAGGACGGTCAGGAGGGGCTTCGAGGAGAAGGGGCCGGGTCATTCACCGGCAGCGCGGCAAGCAAGGGTGTCCCCCCCCCTCCTTTTTCAGGCATGGCACCCATGGCGACCACGGAGTGGAGTGGAGTGGATGGAACACCCGGGAAAACCGCGCCGCCCCGCGCCGCTCCAGAAGGGTTAGGCCCGAATGGCACGAAGCAGGGCGAGGCAGGGCGGGGCATTCCAGGTTAGCGTCCAAGATTAACGGGCGGCACGGCCGTTTCTTCCCGGTTGGAATGAGTTTGTTTTCTTTTTACCCGTCTCGAGAATCCCTGCGCGTACTTTCCCCCGACCGGCATGCTTGGCACAAGGAATGACGCGTCCGACGTTGTGACTCACGAGAGCGCGGTGCGGGTAACACCGGGGTAACACCGAGGGCGCTAAAAGGGTGGCATCGATCCCCTGGCGCTGCCCCGCCGACCCCGCCACCTGCCCGGTGCAGCACCACGGCAGCGCCTAGCGCCACACAGCGCCACCTCATGCATTGCACTGGCGTGGCACAGCGTAGCTACGCGCAAGTCTGGCGCCTCAGGCCTCGGATTTGCCTCGCCGCCAGTGCAGTGGCCGCGACGCCGCGACGCCGCGACGCCGCGACCAACGCGCAGCGTGAAGCCCTTGCCGAGCCGCGGCCCGACCCGTATGGCCGTATGGCCGCATGGCCCGGCCGGCGCGGCCTCTAGCGCGGCCCCCCAACGGGTCGGGTACAGCCTCGGTCAAGATGACACGCCGCGCACCGCGCCGCCGAGGCGTGGAATGTACCGTGAAGCGTGAACGGCCAGGCGAGGCAGGCACGGCAGCACGGCAGGCACGCGGAAGGCCTCCAGGACGAACTGCCGGACGGCGGGGATGCTGCGAGGCAAGGCGGCAAGGCGCGCGCTCCGTAGCGGTACAGGTACGGCCACGCCACGCCCTGCCCTACTCGACCGGCACGACTATAAATACACCGGTCAGTAGGACATCGCGGCGGCGGCCACACGGCGGCAGTGCGAGCGAAAGCGAAGAAAAGGGGGTGATTGGGGGCGGGACGGGGGACATGAGGGAGAGGGGGAAGGAGAAAGGGACACGCGGCGCGGCGGCGCGGCTTCGGTAAAGTGGCGGCGACGACACGCGAGCAGGAGAAAGACGAGCGAACGGGCGGACAGACGCGCCGCGGCTGAAGGGACTTGAAGCAGGATGGCGCTAATCCCGGGCAGGGTAGAGGGGGCGGCCGTCGGCCCTAAGGTCACATGGTCTACACGACCAGCCACCGCCAGCCATCATGCCGACCTTCAATTCAATTTCGCGCACCACACTAGACGGCGTGGCGTTTCGGCGGAGGAGGGCGGAGCGGAGTGCCCGCCGCGCTCCGCGCCCGCCCAGAGGAAAAGGGCGGACGGGCCGGAAGAAGGTCGTTATCGTTACGCCCCCAGCCGCCTCATTCCGAAGCATCGTTTAGTCGCTGTCTCTCTCGCACCTTTATCTCCCACCCAATGAGAGCGACAGAGACAGAGCGACGAATCGGATCGGAGGGGGCGTGACAGATAAAAAATAGAGAGATGACCTTGTCCACCTGAGTGTAATTCTGTTTCTTAATTTTCATGTTGCAGTGAATACCGTGTGGGGATTGCAGTGCTACGAATGTTCAGAGCAGCCAGTACAAGTCAATCCAGACAAACCAGTACAGCTCTGTGCAGACTTTGATGGGTCCTGGCGCTATGTCGTTGACTGCCCACATTCCACATTCTGTAGGAAGACCTCAGTTGAATTGCCGTTGCCAAATGGCAGTAAGTATCAAACGTGGTGTTGAATAAGTTTCGTTACATTTGAAACGGAAATCAAACATTCTTCTCCTTTGCAGAGTCTATCAAGAGTGTGAAAAGGGACTGTGCTCCCCAACTCCACACCTTCCAAGCGTTAGAAGACAATAATTGGAAGAATAAAAATGAGACTGTAACATCTATATACAACAAAGGATGCTCCAAGGACAATGCCGGAATCCAAGCAACAAATGTGGAATATTGCTACTGCCAATCCTATTTATGCAACTCTTCTAAAAGTTCGCATGATTCATCCTATTCCCATCATTCGGACGCCATGGCGGTTATTTTTGTTTTTAATGCTATGAAGTATCTCCGTAGCCTTAGATAGTTGCATGCAGACTGAAACCTGGAGACATACTTCCTTGGGTATTGTGCTGATACATCCAAGAAAACACCTACGTCAAATGCTGTGATTTTAGATATAACCCAGTGAGAATTTAAAAAGAGGCATAAGTGTTTTAGCTTTGACCCCCTCCCCTCCCATTTAATTTACTTGTTTTTAGCAGAAGACATTGTTTAGAGACCAACCATTCCATTTAAGATATTTAAAATGTGGCCTTACAATTTTCAAAGAACTTTTAGCTCTTTTCAATCAAATACATATGTATCAAGGACAATTTTCTACAACTCTTTAGAGATATCTATTTATTTATTTCCAATGTTTTTTATTTATTCTAATTCATAAGATTTAGTAAAAAGTTTTAAATTTCAAGGAATTATTACTAAATTAATTGTCTTTGTAAGATGGCTTACTTTTACTAGGCAAAGCATTGCTTAATTTTTCTTCAAACAAAGAGCGGCCAGGCTGGAGTGATCGTATTTGTTAATAGAAAGTCTTTAGAGTGTACTAGTCATCACCAGAATGAAGAGATGATGCATTTCATACATGTAAAGTGTATTTTCACACAAACAATAAATATGTGTGTGGCAGTTGTGAATGAAGTTTCGACATGAGTCCCCACTGGGTCCACCCAAATGTCCACCCAACGAGTCCACCCAAAATGGCGCCTTGTTTTCTAAAGGAAAAGACACTTACCTCAGCCGTATTTTCCACCAAGTACAAGAAAACAACATCTTCTCTCTTCAGGCGAATGGCAGAATGCAAAGGGTGATTGGTCTTGGATTTGAACATACGGTAAAGCAATGGAGCTGACATGTGAGAAAAGTCCTCACTGGAGAAATCATCCTGTGAACACAATGTCCTACAGTTGAACATACTGCCTGATGTAATGTACATGAAAGAAAAAGTGAATATTAAAGTGTACCAACCCAGTGAGCGGATATGAGGGTAGAGCAGTGTTCTTTCAAAGTATTTGCTCCAATCTCATCAGCAGTGGTATAGAATCTAACACAATTTTTCACATTTACTGAAGCCATCAAGGCATTTTCGCACCTATAAATTGCAGATACCAGTTAGTACAGCAAGTATTACACCACTTAATTTCAAAGACTTATTTTTTACAAACTTGTTGACTAAATCTTCTAAGTGAAATGAACTGGCTGCTCGCATCAGACTTAAGAGATGACCATCGCCACCAGACAAATCGACTTGATCCGTGTAGACCCATTGCAACAAAGTCTCAGCAACGTTGTCCTCCAAATTGGTCCAATCTAATCATAGGTGATAAGAATAGCATTATAATAATTTTGAGCACACTATAACATACAGGGGCACTACCAAATAGATATTACCAAGTGTCTTTGCATCAGGGAGGGATTGAGGGCCCCAGTCTTGACTCCTTGCTGCTAGGACAAAGCTGTGAGCTGGAATTTCCCTTTTCTTGAGCTTCACTGTCAAATCACTGCAAGAAAAACCATGGGATAAAGAAGTGAAGAAATTGTAAATCATACAGGGATAATAATAATTACCTATATAATGTTTGATCAAAAAGTCCTGCAACAGTGAGTAAGAGGCGTGCCACAAAACTGTTCTGATCAACATCACCAGCTGTTGCAGCTACGACAGCATATTTTTGTTCAAGGTCGCTGTAACGCCGTTGTAACTTCACATATTCTTCCTTCAAAAGTGTCAGATGCTGCTGAAGTTTAGCTGCTTCACCACTCCCTGAAATAATAAACGGGTGCAATTTAACACCTTGAAGACAAGTGACAAGAAAATGAAACAGCACCAGATGGTGGAATTCAAGCCAACAAAAGACCTGCCTACATGACAAATGGAACCACACTATGTTTTGTTGTATCTATCATGTCGACGAAAAGATGCAAAAACCAAAACTGAGTGACACCCAAAAAACCAAAACAAGGGGAGTATCACAGTTTCTGTCCCTGTCAAATCTGAAAATGCGTGCTGCTAAAAAGCATGAGCAACTCACCGAGGTGCCTTTTCGAAACTAAAAAGATACCTAAACTGAAAATAAGAAACTCCTGGCACAAATTCATCACCCACAAAGCTTTTAATACCTACAAAACCATTTTTGACAAGACAACATAGCCTAAAAACAGTGACATAAGAACAATTCTTACCGGCTCTATTACGGTCCATTTTATTCGATGGCAATGTCGACTAAAAAGAAGTATATCTTAGCATCACCTCGCAGTCTCCGGCGAGGTCATGAGATGGGTATCACAATAATTCAGTGGAAATTAAAGGTCAACCGAGGAAAGATATCTACAACAGGTTCATCGGGACGGGCCTACGATGGGACGGACGGATGCGCACTCAGTTCAGTTAGAGCAGCAGCACCATGGCGACACTAGCGCCACATTCAAATCGTTCTTTTTCTTTGAGAGCGTTTGTGAGAGATGTGTTCCTATCCACTCAATCAGTTTCAATCGACATATTTATCTTCAATTCCGTTTACCAAATTACTAGAAACGAGTGACGTCAACCCATGTTCGGTCCTGTTCGCCACACTCATTCATTGCTAACTGAACACTCTACGTAACCTCCTCTCCTCCCCTCCCCCGTTGGATTTCCCCCGCGAAAGGATGAATGAATGAACTGACGGATGACTAAAAGACTGAGCTGACGGGCGAATGAATGAACGGATGACTGAACGGTGAATGACTGAATAAATGGGTAGAAATAAAAGAAATAGATTCAGTATGATATTTTATTAGAATGGTAGAATAAAATTAAAGAGATAAACAGATTAAGTGCCGCCGACAAAACAAAACAGTCATGCTAAAAGGAATGATTTAGTTGTCAACAAAATGTCACAAAGTCACAAATGATAAAATTATAAGGAAAAGAAAACAAGGTAGTTATTCTCATGGCCTCAGCAAGGGATCTATTTTCTCACCGCATACTAATTCTACTGGGTACTACTATAAATATAACAACAATCAAAAGAAATAAGTGATACATTTGTATATCAGCAACAAAATATAGACAGTAGTAAGGTGCATCAGTATCACAGAAATGATTGCACACAAAAATGCATCTAAAAAAAAATTGAGTACGCTGCATATGGACATAAAAAGGCTATACCAGCATTGCCACTCAAAATTAACAATAAATAAAAACAAGTCAGTTACTTCTATGACTATGCAGATACCATAAACTAGGGCTGAAAACGTTTTATCACTAGAGTCAGTCTCATCAAACAACAATAAAATTTGTTACTCAAGATTTCTTAATACAATATGGTCATCTACACATTGCTATGCTGTGCTCTCAACTTATGTGTGCAGTAAATATAATACAAATGAGTGATAAAGAAGGACACAGCTTTCATCAAGAATATCACAGAGTTAGTTTTGTTTCAACACAGTCCTTCAGTTTAAGCACTTAATAAAAATTAATTAAGATTGCAGGTTCATGAATACAGACATATTTTGCATTCTTTTAGTTGTTCTTAACTCAGCTTGTATCATGGACTGTTGGGCTGGATAAATGATGGTGAGTTGAAATATCTGAACACATTTTGGTCGACATTTCGTCCGCTAGAGCCTCCATTATGTCAATAAGCAAATCACGACTCAGTGTCCTTGTTTTGGGCATTTTAACCACCTGTAAACAGACACATTATATTTAGTTGGTATGATGTTGATTGGTCAGTTTGTTTGTCCAAAACAGATACAAATAATAATTATAATAATTTTCCTGAATCTCTCAGCTACTGCTACAGAAGAAATTAATTAAAAGGCAAACATACCTTTGGGAAGTATTGGACAATAAGTCCCAAAGAATATTTTTTCATGTCAGTTGCCTGCATTCGATCAGCAGCTTCAAGAATTTGAACCACATTGTCACAAGTGACATTCATTTCTAGATTTTGTTTGCAGAATGCCTGAAAAATTAATATATAGGGACTCAGAAATTTGCCATAAAGTAAAAATACCGGAAAGGATTTGGTCAGTCACTTATAATGTTACCTGAAGGCGGTTGTTTGTGAAATGAAAAAAGTAAGGAGTGCTGAAGAGATATAAGGAATCTTCTGGAGGCATATTTGTATCCCCATGATAAATATACCTCAATAAGGACTTGAAAGACTGGTGAGATGGGATCATTTCCCCTATCTGAATCTGAGAAAACAAAAAGACAATTTTTATTATTTTTGTTCAAAAAAAACAAAACTAATTTAACCAGCAAACAGCCCAAATTTTTAATAAAAAAGTAATCAAGCAGAGCCGAAGAGAGTATTTTACCCGAACCATTCCATCTTCAGGCATGAAAGATCGAAACAACCCCTCAAAATATCCACATCGAGCTGCAAGTATTGCTTTGTGAGCTCTTATGTGATTACCGTCCAGAACAAGAGTAATGTCACAAAAATCATTTCCAACGTGGTTTAAGAACAGTTCTAGATCTTGTTCAAGATTAGTGCCTGAAAAAGACAATTAATAGTTCAGTCTGCGAGATTGATACAAACATAACATATACATGCATACACATGCACCACAGGGGCTTGGAAACAAGATCCCTTTGCCTAGCAATGTAGACTCTACTCAGTTACAAGCAATAATATTATGCAGTGTGGTCGTGCTCTTTAATTAATTCACATTGAAAAGCAATTACTGTATCTTAACTACTTTTAATCTTAATTTCACAAGATGCTTCACTTCAATTTCAAATTATTGTTCGATGAAATTTGCTCAATATAGCTCTTAAAAACAAACACAAACAGACATGAAAAGCTTGATAAGCTTGATAGCTTTGATAAGCTCCAATAAGCTTGGTAAGCTAAGCTCTGACAATGCTACACTATCATGTCAAGAGCAGTGCCCAACACTAAATCCCTAACTTGCCTTTTAAAGGTCCCGGTGTTCTTTTACAAGGTCTAAACTCATAAGGATCCCTGCATTCAAATGGGTCTGACAACAAACATGAAGAAACATGAGAACACTTCCTCATGATAAAATCTTTCACTAGCAGAGCAGCCCATATCTTGATAATGGAAATGGAACAGAAGGGACAGACTTACCATCAAATGGGTGCAAGGCTTCCTGAGCTCTTTTGATCTGAGGCAGTTGTTTCCTTCTGATTATTTCTACCATCAGAGGCTGATCCAATGTTTCAAATTCTTGGCTCATGACGATTTGATTGTAATTGGACTCTCTTACAATAAGTTTCATGCATAGTTCTTTAATGAATGCCAATTTCAGGTTGTGGGCACATAAAAGAGCTTCCAAAACATTGTTGTGGTTGACTGTAGTCTCCAAGTATTGCACACACAAATGTTCCAGACGCAGCATAGAGAACTAGAACAGAGAATTGTTGTTACAACCAATTAAATAACAGGATAAAATTCATAATGTGTTTATTTTTGTTTTACCTGGCAGGCCAAACGGTAAACATCCATCATTAGAAGCACTATTCGGTTACTAATCGGATCCTTGACTGGAATTTTAAAAATAAAATAGGATTAGAGTAAGAAAACCGTGATTCCAAACTTGATATAAGGAACAATGAAAGTGCAGCCCCTCAAAACTCACTTTTTTTAGTTGGATCAATACGATCGGTATAAATAAAATTCAAAACTAACTGGAAGGCTTCAGGGTTTGCATCGGGTAGCCTCACTTCAAGAGAAGGTAGATCTTTGTAAATCTCTGTCGTGCCATATTTCTGGAAGGATAATTATTGATGAAATAATAATAATAAGAGAAAAAAATAATCTAAAAACCTTGAGTTACTGAGTTTTATAAAACCTTTTCAAGCAATTTTTCTCGGACTTCTTGAGCCTGCCTAACTCGTATTCGCAAAAACTGAGATCGAGCAGCTACTAAAGCTGAGTGTGCAGGTATTTGTGTTTCATCTTCACCAACCAAGAAATCAATATCACTGAACATTTTTGTTTCCAGTAATTTTCCAAGATCTTCAGTAAGAGTGCACTTGGGGTAGTTGGAAAACTGTGTATGAATAGAAAAGGATGTCATGAATAGAATTCTATTTTCAGATAAAACAACTAAGCATTAACAGAAATACCTGAAAACGATACATGTCTCCGCTGCGAACATTATTATCAACAGTACCACCAAAGACATACATGGCATTTCCAACCACAGAACTAGCATGGAACAGGCGACCAACAGGGACATTTGAATCGGGAGATGGCAGTATAACCTGAAATAAATGGTTTGAAAGATTGTTTTACTTGGAATTTTCAATGGCACACAGAAGAGCAAGAAACCATGTAAAAATGCAAATTCTTCAATGTATACTCACAGACCAGGATTGGCTGTCAAGATCATAACAATGCAAGTCATTTGGCAAGGTATTATCTGCAGCTCCGCCAAATACATACAAATGACGATCATGAGTTACCATTGTATGCCCATAACGGCGAGCAGGGGGAGGTGGTGCCCCTCTCAGTATGTGTTCCGTTGATATACGAGACCACCTGATATAAACAGAGGAAGTGCATACTTGAGATTGTGGCTGTGGCGCAGCAAGATGAAGCCCTTGGCCTTAAAACAAAGAGTAACTGGAAAATAAACTCACAGTTTTGTGTGAAAATCGAACTGAAAAAGTGTGTTGGTAATTTTTGCGCCACTTTGTCCACTGAAGACATACATGCATCCCCTAGCCACAGTGACAGGAAAATTGCAACAGGTAGGGGGACAGTCTCCGCCTTGTTCAACTTCTTCCCATGAATGTGGCGCATCATCCTGCATCATACAAAATATGATAATAAAACATGGAAGGGATTCTGACAAAGTGTGAAAAACGAGACTTTTAATGGCAAATTTCAGTAACCTTGTTCCGGGTCAATGATATTGACCACATATCATTAAGACGAGCGTTGCCATCGTAACCAGCAAATATGTACATCTTCCCATCATGTACAGCTGCACCATGGGCAGACCTGGGCACAGGAGCTCTGAAGGAAACAAGAGAATCACGGTACAAAATGAAATTAGAACAAGCCTTCAAAATAAAAGAAAAAGAAGAGCTTTGATAATTTTCTTACCGGCCAGAGTATTTCCACTCTATCCATGTGGCAGATCCAAATTTGTACTCAAAGAGATCATTTTTATTGGTAAGATTTGAGTTGGAATGAATATCACCAGTATAGCCACCAAAGACAAACATTGAATCTCCATAAACCTAAATCATTGTTTAGACAGCATTATTGGAGAGAAATTTAACAGGCACATTAGAAGTGAAAAATGGAAGCGTACCACAGCTGAATGGTGATACCGAGGAGCAGGTGGATTTAGGCCTTGAGGAACCCGGCCCCAAGATGCACCCTTGCAGTCAAACACCAGTAAATCATTCAGCATTTTCTTGCCATTGTCTCCTCCAAAGATATAAACATTATTTTTGTATGGGACAATGGTATGCTTGCTTCTCCTGTAAGCAGAGGGCCCAACCGTTAACACAAGACACAATATTGGAGCTCTGTTCCTATGACGATCTTGAAGTGTTTTACCTTGTGCCCACAAACTCGTTACAATCTTGCATTCGTTTCCATCTATGTACTACTTCAAACGGGCCAAAGTCAAGAGTGAGACAATCGGCCGTTGAAGGTGAGAATTCAAGATCCCCAACAGCCCTTGGGAAGCCAAGTTGACTGTCCATCTTGATAATATACTAGAGAAGAAAGGAGAAAAGTTAGTGAACTGACACACTGGCGACGGGTAACTCAATTTGTCCATAAAAACTGGCAAATGAGATATAAAGTACAAAAAGTTATTCGATGAGTATACCTTGTTTTATAGGAGTAATTCAGATCGTAAATCAGTCACTCTTTCAACAAAATTGAAAGAACGTAGAAATCGTGGCCTTGTAGCCATTTGCTTTCCACTTTACATTTACATCTTGACACACAGGTCAAAAATGTTTAAGAACAGGTGCAACTTGAAATAGATTATTGAAAGCAGACGATGCCCATCACACTGGTTGAAATAGAAATCTATTGCTTCCAGAGGCAACCCTACTCCAAAACCCTAAGGGCTCCAGCCCTGCCTTCCAGCCACCCTCCAGCCCTCCACTAGCCTTCCCAGGTCTATGGAGGAATTGACTTTGGGTCTGACCAGGCGGTACCCAAAATTTGCACCTGATTCATATAGGATTTGGCAACAGCACGAACCTATTAAAACATTGAATAGAAGCGAAACATTTTTCAATTTTATGATGGCGTCGCGCTTCTGCACCCAAACAACGGCAGGCAGAAAGAGAAACACTGACGGTTCGGGCCCCCGTTGCGAGGCTAGAGTTTGTTGTCAGCGCGAGGATGAAAAATTGTAAATAGGCAAGTGTACGATACGATTTATGTTGACGTTGACGTGGGCCAAGAATTTTAAGTAAATCAGGCAGATCTATTCTTCAAACGGATGTAAACGTGGCGTTTCCTCACTTTGCGACATAGCTGTTAATGTATTTGAAGAAGACATGATGTTGTTTGGTTTTGATTTGTTGTATATTTTGTTTAATCTACTCCTCATTCTTGTGACACTGTTCATTTTGGTGAGTTTCTTGTTCTTATTCAAAATGTACCCATAGTTAACAAAAACAATGTATGTACTTCAGTACAAAAATGGTCTTGCGTGGAGTTCCCATGCAACTCTCCTTATCCCACTCTGTTGTACCATAGAACAAAATTGTCGTCACTTGTTATCAATTAAGTTTATTCTGTCGTTCTTTCCTTACTACTATGTAAGTGCCATTAATGCAATTTTTGTTTTGTTTTGCAGTTATGTGTGTTCCTGCATCAAACTACAAAACCGCACCCTGTTGTAACACGCTCTGATGCAGAGAAATATTTCAAAACCATGAACGGAAAAGAACCATTTCCTTCACTGAATGAGAAGTGTAGTATCAATTTAAGTGTGGTTGTACCAGCTTATGATGAGGAAAAAAGATGTAATGAATTATTATGGTTTCTTTTTGATCCAATTTTGCAAGGAGTCCATAGAAAATTAATTTTACGCATATGTTTTTACAGTGCCACCCATGCTGGATGAATGTTTAGAGTTTCTTGAAAACCGCAAGCAGAAAAACAAAACCTTCCTCTATGAGGTTATTGTTGTAAGTGACGGAAGTAGAGATAAGACTGTTGATGTAGCAGAAACCTACTCTAAAAAATATGGATCTGAAATTGTGCGAGTGCTGGACCTTCAACCTAACCGTGGCAAAGGCGGAGCTGTGAGACTGGTAAGCATATGAAATTTTAATATTCAGGCCATAGGCTTTGAATTTGTTCTATCTTGGCAATAATTTGTTAAGTTACCTTTATTGACCTAAAATTTGTCTCAGGGTATGCAATCTGCTCGAGGTGCTGTCATCTTATTTGCTGATGCTGATGGTGCTACAAAATTTTCTGATCTGTCCAAACTGGAGGATTCCTTAAAGCAAACCTTGAAAGGTATATTTAATTAATATTTTATGGCACTTAAGTGTGTTAAACAACCTTATTTATATTTATGTATTTTGCAGCTGATTATGTGACTTCACCTGAAGAAGTGGCGGAGAAAGATGCAATTGTATGTGGCTCACGAGCGCACTTGGAAGATGACGCAGTTGCAACCCGGTCATTCTTCCGTACCATTTTAATGTATGGCTTTCACATGCTTGTGTGGGTGTTAACAGTTAAAGGTATTCGAGACACTCAGTGTGGTTTTAAACTGCTGACCAGATCAGCTGCTTCTACTTGCTTCCGGAGTTTACATGTAGAACGATGGTAAGCTGTACTGCAAACTTATGAACTTAATCTCAAACTTATTCAGAATTAGAGATTTAATTTTGATCTTTTCCCTGAAGGGCATTTGATGTTGAACTTCTTTACATTGCACAAAAGCTGCGCATTCCCATAAGTGAAATAGCTGTTAACTGGACAGAAATCGAAGGTATGGGCAATTATGGTTTCCATCACATGCTTGGCAATTTATGCATCAATCACTAAACTGTTATTAATGCATTTCAGGATCAAAAGTTGTTCCAGTGTGGAGCTGGCTCCAAATGGGACGAGATTTAGTTCTTATTTGGCTGCGGTACCAGATAGGAGCCTGGAAGCTGAAAGCAGATTAAAGAAGACTTAATATGCTTATATCCACCCAGTGTGCCATTCACAGTTGAATGGAGACAAAAAAAAAGGTGTAAATTTTCTTTATATTTATTGTGAGAACAGATGTAGTTTTGTCTTGAGGAACAATATTATTTGGGCTGACAGCAGAGATTAGTGTGTAGTGTTATTAAGCTAGTCATTAGGCACAGGTATTTCTCACCTGTATGTTTTGCATCTGGAGTTATGCATCTTAATCACATTCAAAAGTTGTTTTCTGGTTTTTATCTTCAAAAGATTATTACTTATGCTTAAAATTATCGAAGGTTATTATTTAGGATTCTAAAATCTTCTATGTTGTAAATTGTATATCCCACAAGGGTAAACAAAATATTATCCTTATGATTTCTGAAAGACTGATAATGCAAACTGTGTTAGCTTTTTAGTGTTGGTGTGGCATGCCAATACACACACAAAAGTGTAGTTTATTCTCATTTGCATTTCTTGTCATGTGATATTAATTTAGTAAATACGGTTTAGTGCTAGAATTTTTCTTTTTTATGGAATGGAACTTCTTTCCTTGACAAATACTGCAGAGTTTATTTTGCAGCCTGAATGCTTCTGATGAAGTGTCAGGTATCAGTACATTCATAAGACTAATATATCTTCTTTGAGCAGACTTTATCTTTTGAATGAAAATATTACCTAAGAGTGTATGCTACTTTTGTGTATTTCTATAAATTCAATATTGAGACTGGTCAGAAATTTATTTTTGTACTACCTCCGGCCTTTTCTATGTTGGGGCAATTATTGTGAGTGGGTTAGCACTGTTTGCGTGTTTGCACATTGTTTCATTGAGCCTATAAATGAAATTGTGGTTTGAGGACTATTAATTAAAGTGTCTAGATTAAATCCCACTTACTCTTTTTGTCCTTGATCCTTCTCTCCTTTAAAGGCTGGAAACCACAGACACATCACATGTTCAACAATGCAAGCTCTACAGGTGTCTGGCAACAATTCCACTTCATTGAAATTTTTCTAGTGAATTTTAAATTATTTGTAACATTCTAAATTTTAGTTTGGAACCCAAAGAAACATAAAACTCTGTCAAAATGTCGCTTTATGGAACAGATATGGATTTTAGGACAATCTACCGATTGGATTACACCCAGAAGAAAGGATCATTGTAATTTACATATTTATGTGTAAGTTTTGATTTTGTTTTCACAGTTTATACTGAAGCAATCCCATGCCTTTTGCAGACTGCCATACACCCCACCACATGATTCAAATCCCGTGTCCTCCCCTTGGAAGCAATATCTAGTTCCTGATGAGAGTTTGAAACACCTGTTGCCTGCTGATGCTGTTTATGAGGATCCTGCTTGCGTTCTTCACAGAGTAAGCCCGATTTGTTTTCTGAAATCTCCCCCCACTTGATCTAGAAAACAACATAATATTTAGAAAATACTGTATTTTAACTAGGCGTATCAAAATCACATGCCAGATCTGAAATTGGCAAAACAACAATATCAGCGAGATGGGCAAAGTTTATACCAAGTTGATTTCTGCAAGCTTGGTGAGCCATTCAATTTAATAAATTTATTTAAAAAAAAAAACAACTAAATTATTATCATTATTATCGCCATGATTGTGTCCAGGTGATTTTGAGTCCAAGAAAACGCGTGACGCCAAGATCGTGCCTCTGCCACCGAACTGGTCGACGCCCTTGTCCACGCAGCGATGCTCGTACAGGGACCCCAAGTCCATCATGACGCTGGCTGCGGAGCCTCCGAGATTTCGCTACAGAGACAACCTCGTGCCGAACGGTAATGCTACTAGCGAATGTTGCTCGCGTCGTACAGGTACGAGAGAGACAGCGACAAACACGATTCTGGCCCCGCAGAGACGGAGCGGCGCATCCTAAGAGTGAGCACCGGGGTCTCGGACTACATGGGCAACGTGGGGTCGCTCGGGGACTTCATCCTGCGAGAGAAGCTGCACGGCGCGGGCAAGCCGCGCGGCATGTCCGTGTGGGAGGTGAAGCGTCGCCTGGCGCTCCTGGACCAGGGCGTCATCGTGGAGGACTGACCGAGGGACTGACGCCAAGCCCCTGCCGCTACCTGCAACCACCACCACCACCATCAACGATTGAAACTAAAGGAACGCAAATTGCAAAACCACTTGTTGTTGCTCATGCTCTCCGGCGCATCGTGGAAATTATCGCGGCCTGCTGCAGCATTCGGCCAGCGTTCGCGGCGACCCCGAGGGACTCGGCGTGCAGATCAGCGACCCCGTTTTGGACAGTTTTGCCGGCAAGGGCATCCGCCATCCACCAGCCGCGGCCGCTGAAAAACATTACATCGGCAGCCTTGAGGAGGGGAGCTCGCCGCTCGCGGACCGGTGCACGGCTCGGCCCATGGCTCGGCGCGGACCGGGATCGGGACCGGAGCGCGGCCAAAGACTCCTCCTATCCAGTCGAGTTCGGTCACCGGCCCCGTGCCATGGCCTGGCGGCCTGGCGGCGGGGCCTAACGTCTCGGCCAGACGCCTGGAGGCATCTGGCGGCGTCGGCGTGCCGGCGTGCGCGTGTGCGTGCGCGAAGGCGACGCCCGGCCGACGGCCGACGCCCTGCCCCACACGCGGTGCGCGCGGTGCGTCGCTCCGGTCGGTGCCGACGCCCTGCTGCACCGCGAGCGAGACCGCGAGCCACAGCCAGAGGCAGCGCAGCGCGGCGCACCCTTACATTGCAGCAGTGCCCTTCTGGAGGCGGTCGAGCCGGGGCGGCGGGGCGGGGGAGGCATCAGCTGTCCGCGAGAGGGGGCACGGCGGCACGGCCGGGCAGGGCACGGGGAAAGCGCAGTGACCCCACCGATCCGTTACACTGTTACAGTCGTCCCTACCCCTTCCCACGGGCTGGTCGCTAGTCCTGCCTAGTCCTGCCCGCTATGACTGCCTCGGCCCGCCGCCGCCCCGCCCCGCCTCGCCGCGCGTAGGCCGTAGTGCAGCCGTGCCAGGCGAGGCCATGCAGGCCTTGATGCAGGCCGAGCCACGGGACTCCTAGACTCCGCCCTTGCTGCATCGCCTAGCCGCCGCCGCAGCCGCGTTGCTCCACGGCCGCGCAGCGCCGCGCCAAGCCGGGCGAAGCCGCGCGAAGCGTCTCCAAGCCAAGGCGGGGCGGGGTGGGGCGGGGTGGGGCGTAGTGCAGTGTCCGGACGGTCGGGCCGGGCCAGCCCGCCCAGCCAGCTCGGGCTGCTCGCTGCTCGGCTCGGCAGAACCACTGCGACCGACGACCGGGCCGCACCGGTACCTCGCGCGGTACTGCGGTACCCGTGGCCGTGGCACAGCGCGCGGCGCGGCGCCACATCGCGGGGAAGGCCCCAGCGGAACGCGGCGCTACGCGGCGCGAGCGTGGTGGACGTCCACCAGTGCACCGGGTGTGACGTTCCGGGCGACCTGCGGGACTAGCCGCCGCCATGAAGGAACACCGAGTTCGAACTCTGCGGGTCACCACTCCGAGCAACATAGCCAGGTAAGTCTCTTTGCGGAGCAGTGTCGTGCGAACGGCGATGACCCTATCCTGTCTCGTGACGTCGCACCGTGGCTGTGGTGGGTGGCCTCCACGATGGCGTGGCGTAATGAATGGATTGACGCATTTTTGTCACGTGGCCCGGGGTCCGGCCTGTCGCACCAATCCGCCCACTGACGCTCTGACGCTGGCGGTCCGGCAGTCCGGCGGGGCGTGGCCGCGGGGCTCGGCGGAGGCGGCAGGCAGGGCATTCCCCGCGCGCCTAGGCCTTACGCGGCGTGCGGCAGTGGCGGCGCGAGGCCCCAGAGTCTTGGGCATTGCCTTGGATGTTGCCTTGGGTGTTGCCTTGGATGTTGCCTTGGGTTTTGCCTCGTGCTTTGCCTCGTGCTTTGCCTCGGGCATTGCCTCTGCCTCGGGCATTGGCTTGGTGCAACCACCGCGGGGAGGGCATCACTCCTTGCAGCGATTGTCGCTGTCTCCCTTGCCAGCCCCACCGGCCCCGCCAGCCCCGCCTCGCCGAGCCGCTGATCGCGGTTCTGGAGAAGCGCGGACGGCGCGGACGCGGAGGGCCCCGCGCGTCTGGCCGGCACGGGCACGGGGGCAGTGGCGCGGGGGGAGGGGGAGACATAGGTCATCGCCTCTGTTCCGCGTGCGGCGTGCGGGGCGCAGGCGGGGCGGGGTCGGCGTGCAACGGTCATCCTGCGAGGGGCCTGGCGGCCTGGCGGCCCAGCCCAGGCCGGCCCACGGCGGCGGCGAGGCGCGGGATGAGCTGGAGGCGATCGGCCAATCAGATCTCCGGATTGTCTATCATCTCGCGGACGGGCCGGACATAGCCACGGGCCTCGACCGCGGGCTGGCTGCAGGGCCGGGGCCACAGGGCCACAGGGCCAGGGCCACAGGGCCAAGGCCCCACCACCGCGCCCTTACGCCCCCCGCGTTTCGGCCGGCATCCCCGCCGCGGGGCAACGGCGCACGGCTTGGCTCGGCGGGCCGACGGCGGCGTGCCCCAGCCGTGCCCCGCCAGTGCCTCGGCCTGCTCGGTCGTCGAACCGAACCAAACCGAAGCACTGCTGCTCCGTCCCGCCTCGCCCCGCTGCGCCGCCCCGCCCCGCCCCGCCGCAGCAGCAGCCTATGCGGCGCACAATGCCGAAGGACAAAGGCTGCGAACCGCGAGCCTAGCCGCCCCCGAAAGTCAGAGTCAGCCGCAACCCGAAACATGTGTCTGATAAGGCGGCCCGGTGAAAGCGGTGTCCCTGCGCGCCGCCTCGCTGCACCTCCCCCGCCCCCTCCTCTTCCTGCCCCGATGGGCCCTTCACCTCGCGACGCGACGCGACGCGACCACCTCGGCGTTCACACGCACGCTTCGACTCGACCGATTAAGTTTGGAAATAGGTTTCTTATCACCAACGCGTACCGACTGTTAAGCGGTCAAGGACCCTACCGCGGCCCGGGCTGCTCCCTCCAGAGCCGCGGCGGGGCGGGCAAGGCGCACGGCGGCAAGCCTGGCAAGCCATGGGCCATTGGCGGGCACCGCTCCGACTGCACCGCACCGCGCCGTGTCGGCTGGCGGTGCAGTCGGCTCTCGGCTCCGCGACGCTCTCCTTTCGACACTTTCTATTCTCACCCGCACAGCGCAGACAGCGCAGACAGCGCGGTGCAGCGCAGAGTCGCCTGGCCGGCAGAGTGCGGAACCGCGGAACCGCGGAACCGCGCGCGGACGGCGCGGACAGCAGACAGTGTGGGAGTGAGAGGGGCGGGGTAGGGGCCGGGCGAGGTCATGAACTCCGCGTGGAGTCAGCTGTGAGGATAACTGCACTCCGAACCTGCTCCTCTCTCGCCCAACGGGAGTAGTTGTGCTGTGGCTGCTGTAGCGGTGCCCCGGCGGTGCCTCGGCGGTGCCCCTCCCCCTCCCCCGCCACGCCACGCGCCGCCACGCCGCGGACGCGGTGCGCGAAGCGGCCGAAGCGCGAACAGGTTTGCGGTCATTAGTCGCACTTCGCGGACCGGCCACAATAACATTCCAATCCCAACTTTTGCGTCCAGCGACGCGCCCAGCGACGGCGACGGCACCGGAGGGTGTGATTGAACCGAGGCTGCATTTCGCCCTGTCCTGTCGCCGCGGAGGCAGCGCGACGCTCTCCCCTCTCCTGGGCAAAAAGGGGAGAGGGGAGATGCAGGAAACCAACGCGAAATTTCGCTGTTCGCCAGGAGGGGAACGGTCGACGGACAGCTGCGGCCCCCTTTGGTGTGTGTGTGTGTGTGTGTGTCTGTGTGTCTGTGTGTCTGAGTCTGTGTGCAACCGGGACCGCGGTTCCCACGCGGCAAGGCATGCAGCGGCGGTGACAGAATTACAGAAGTCATCAGTGCGTTGAGCACATGGCAGGCTGGGCTGGAGTGGCGCTGGAGTCAGGGCAGGGCAGCGGCAACGCGAGGGCATTGACAGCACATCTCCGCTCCCCTCCGCCGCCACCACGCGCTTTGCCGCTTTGCCCGGCGACCGCGCCGCGCGCCGCGTCCAGGCAGGCGTCGTCTCAAGGCGTCGCGGCACGGCCGGGCCAGGCCAGGCACGGCGCTGCGCTGAGCGGCGCCCAATGCGTCGAGCGCAGCGGAGTGCAGCGCCCCCGGAACCCGTTCAAATTTACGGGCCCCGCTCCAGCACGTCCGCGCATACCTGCCCACACGCCTGAATGGCCAAATTGGCTGGCGGGGGCACGGGCTGCACCGCCACCTCGCGCCTTGCTCCTCGCGCCCCACTAATGGATAGTCGATTCGGCTGAATGAAGGCAAAGGCGCCAACATGCTAACTTACCCACTCCCTTTCCCCAGGGGGTAAACGCACCGCAAGGCGTTTCACTCCGTTTCCCTAGTCTCACTGCCGAGCCGGGCCGGGCCGGGCCGTGCCGGGCGGGGCATAGTCGCGTAGTCCCAGCGAGAGCCTTACGGAATAAAAATTAGAATGCGGCAGCGGGCGGCGCCGAAGGAGCGGGCCTTGCCTTGCGCTGCACTGACCCCCTCCCCCTTTCCCTCTCCGCCCTTCCACCTTTCCCCCTGATGAGGCGGAAGGTATGCGGGCGAGGTGTGGCGCGGCGGGGCGGGGCGGGGCCGGGCGCCGCCAAGTATAGCCTGGCCGAGCTGCTTGGAAGGCATTTTGGCAATGACCGGTCAATGGGCCCTAGCTGGCTGGGCCCTGGCTGGGCCGCCTGTGCTGCCACCTTGCCGCCTCGCCGCCGTGGCCGAGCTGCTGCCGCTGCTGCCGCGCGGTGCCAATGAACGGAAGGCCCGGGCGCGCCCCACCACACCGCACCCCGCCGCGCCCCTCCCCGCCACGCCCCACCGCGCCCCGATGCACACCTGTATGGGCGTTGCACGGTTGCACGGTTGCACCTCGCAGCCCGGCGCCCAAATCAGCCCGACACAAGGTGGCTGACTCCGAACAGTGCTTTCGTCGCTCTGTCTCTCTCGCACTCGAAGGGTGCGATCACCAACCGCAGAGGAGCGACGGACAAAATCAGCTGGCTTGAAAAGTGAGGCAGGACCTCGAACCCCGAAAAAGACAATCCTGGACGCGCCAGCGATTAAGACGGCCTTTTCGCCACGACCCGCCGAGCCGAGCCGAGCCGAGCCGCCGCGCTGCTGGAGCGAGCGAAGGGTTTTCGGGATGCTTTGCACTAAGGTCGTTGGTGCGGACGGGCGCGCTCCCCCTGCCCCTTTCACCCCTTCCACCCCTTCCACCCCTTCCACCTGCCTTCCACCCCTTCCCTCCCCTGCCGGTCCTAACCGTGCCGCCACGGGGCCGTGCGTGTGTCTCGGTCCTCTAGCCCGCCAAGCCCGCGGCCCGCCCGCACGCCCCCAAATCACTCCCCAGCCCTCCCCGGCCAACGCCACTCTTATCTCCCGCCCCCCCTCCCCGCCGAAGCTCGACCGCACCAGGAAGGAGGAAGTAGGAACTTGGCTCAACCGGCGAAACGGCGCAGCTGGAAGGGAAAGGCGAGCAAAGAGAACGGGGTGAGTTATGGCGGCCGCCTCATTCCGAGGGGCGCTTTCGTCGCTCTGTCTCTCTAGCACTCGTGGGGCGTCCCGTATAGGTGCGAGGGAGACAGGGCGACGAAAGTGGCTCTCGGAATCGGCCTGCAGGGCGGGGCGCGTCGAAGAGAGCAGGGGAGGGGGGGGGGGGCAAGAGTAAGCAACCACCGAGGGGTGCATCGCCCCTCTCCAACCCCTCCACCCCGAACGCACAGCAGCTTCTCCGGGGTCCGGGTCCTAGGTCAACGCCCGGTCAGGGGGAGGGGGAGGGGGAGGGACTGCCGTTGGTGCCGACGCCACCCAGCAAGCGCCCGCGCCGTGCCGTGCCGTGCCCGGCTCTTCCGGCTTCCAAATCCAGCCGCCGCCAGTCCCCAGTCCCCTCACTGTGGCCGTCCTCGCCAACGGACGCGCCTGCCGCCCAAATGGTTCTGACACTGCGGGGTGAAGGATGACCCTGCTGTTTCCACCACCTGATGGGGCGCCGCGGTGGCGGGGCGCCTGCAGCGTGGGCCGTCCCGTAGAGCACGCGTGTGTTGCGTGGCGGCCTATGCCGCACTTCACAGGCGTTTTTTCCTGTGTCCAGCGGCTCCGCTCGATGTGTGCGCGCTTCTTGTTTTTGCCTCCACTTCTAACTGAGTTTTTGTTTCTGTTCTTTCTGCAGCCGAGAGCGCGGCGACGCCGGCCAGGCGGACGACTCCCTGTGGGGCGTCCAGGTGCTCCAGCTGCAGCTGGGGCCAGCCTGCAGGGCCTGCCCCGAGGCCTGCCCCGAGGCCTGCCCGGACTTCGGCCACGTGCTGGGCCTGGCCGACGGCAAGGGGGGCCCTCGCGGCGCGGCCCCCTCCCTCTGCACCCCCGGCCCCGCCTCGGAGGGGGCCCTCCATGCCCCCACCTTCGGCGCCGTCCCAAACGGGGCGTGTCCTGACCGCCGCCGCCCGGTGTGCAGCATCTGCGGTCCGAATGGTGATTATTTCATTTTTCTCTCTCTCAACTGATTACCCTTCTCTGCGGGGAGAATCTCACCCTTCTCTCTCTGCTCTCGTCCCGAAAGGCGACCCGACGCTTACGTCGCTTGGGGCTGCCTAGTGTGAGCCGGCCTTTCACCGCCTTCAGCGGCAAGCCGACGCTTTCAGTGCTTACCCTCCAGCCAGCGCTTTCAGCGGCGAGGGCCCAAAGTGGTGGACGTCTTCTAATGACCGTAATCCGGAAGGACGCCGTGCCGTGCCCTGCCCGGCGCACAAAGCGCGCTCCGCCCTGCCGGCCTGCCGCGGCCTGCCGGCCACCCCTGGCGCTTCCCCCTCCCCCTCCCCTGCCACAACCCCGAACCAAACGCACCGCGCAACGCACAGCATTTCGGGTGAATGACCCTGTGCACTCACTCCTCGGGTCGGTTCTGGTCGACCTAGCACCCCTCTTTACCCCCGCTCACCTTTCACCGCCCCTCCCTGGTCCCTCCCGGGTCCCGGGTCCCTGTTCGGCTCTGCTTTTCCCCCCCTCCCCCTTCCACTTTACTCAAACGGCACGCACGGGACAGGGGAGGGGGAGTCATCCTTTTCCTTCCTGGGCCCCAGCCTCCCCCCGGCAAGCTCTGCGCGCAGCCCCGCAGCCCGTCATCCCGTGACACGGAGCGGGTGAAGCGCGGGGCGGGGCGGGGCGGGGGGCGGGGGGGGCGGGGCGGGCGGGCGGGGCGGAGTTGCAGAGGGGGTGGGGCGGGGCGGGTAGGGGGTGGAATTGCAGAAGGGGTGGGGCGCGGCGGGCAAACTTCCGCAGCCCGGGGTCGTCACTGTCTAACACGCTGTCTTGTCATTTGCAGTGGGGGCACAGCCTAAGCGACGGAGCGTGGTGATCCAGCAGGTGAGGCAGAGAAAGACGCCGCGTGGCCGGCTCCAGACATGACGCACCGACTCCATCGCCGCAGAAGGGCTCTAAACTAAACGCCGCTGGCCTTCTGTGGTTGCAGCGACGTCCGGCCGGAGACTTTGACCCCGAGTCCTCGTCGGACTCCTCGTCGAGCTTGGACCGCTTGGAAGCCATCCCCGGGGCCGGCGCCTCGTCGTGCACGTGCGCGGGGCCGTGCGTGCAGCCTCTGCTTCACCTCCTGTCGGGCGACCTGGACCGCTGCTTCGACGACGTGCTGCTGGCGCTGCGCCTGCTAGTGCAGCCCGGCGACGCTCCCCGCCTCGTCGACGGCGTGACCGTCAACGGCGTGACGGTGCGGCCGTGTGCCGAACGGGGCGTGCGCGTGTGTGCGTGCGGCCGCGAGGCCGTGCTGGCCGTGCCGCCGGGGCGGGGCCCTCGGGGCGCTGGTCCTCCGGACTGCTGGCTGGCCGGGCGGGACGCGGGCGGCCACACGCCGCTGCTGCTCGCGGGCCGCCGCCTGCTGACGGCCGGCCGGTGGGCGGACGCGGCGCGCGTCGCGGCGCTGCTGTTGGCCGCGGGGTGCGACGCCAACGCCGTGAACCGCGAGGGCCGGTCGCTGCTGTCGTACGCCGTGGCCGCCCTGGACGACGCCCTGGACACCACGCGCCTGCTGCTCAACCACGGCGCCACGGTCTGGGGCCACGAGGTGGAGGGCCACAGCCTGCGGATGCCGCCGTCGCCCAGCCTCCTGGACCGCGGCGACCCGGGCCAGGGCCAGGGCCAGGGCCTCCAGGACCAGGTCCTCGCCGCCAGCGCCGCCAGCCAGCCCGACCCGCCCGCCGTGTTCGCGTGGTTCCTCCGCGCCGTGATCCGGCGCCGCCGCCTGGACGAGGGCTGCCTGCGCACGCTGGCGCTCGTGTCGCACGCCATGGCGGACCGGCCCCGCCACATGCACGGCCTGGTGCTGCGGACCATGTTCCGGCACAGCCGCTGCTACCGCGTCCTGGGCCCCGTCTTCCTCCAGATCAAGACGGCCATGGCGAGGCACTGGAGTCGTCCCCAAGACCTTCGTGTCCTGTGCCGCCGCGCCGTGCGCCGCGCTCTGGGGCCCGCCAAGCTGCACGCAGGGGTGGCCTCGCTGGGGCTGCCCGGGCCGCTCCAGGACTACCTGCTGCTGCACTCGTGAGCCCGCGTGCCCCAGCCAAGCCTGCCAACAGGAGTTGTTCCAGACGTCGTCCAAAGACAAGAATCGTGGCGGAAGCGGAACTGTACCGACCAACAGATCAATCGTAGGGAGTGACCCGGATACCATGGAGTCAGCAAATGGGATTTTAGAGACCGGTTCCATTGATGGTTCACTGTCAGGTCATAACTCCGAAGCTCGAGAGGAGTCTCCATTCATAACTTATTGTACGTATGTTTAGTTGTGTTCCATGGGGGCGTGGGAACGGTGCCAGGGGAGGCTAAGTTCCGTTCATGAAGGGGCAAAAGACGGCGACCGGCCACCCCTCCTGACCGGAAAACGTTCCTTCGCCACTCCGGTTCTCAATGTGCATCATCACGATGTAGTGTGGGCAGCATGTGCGTAGACCGTTTGAAAATTCTGTGATAGTGCAAAGACAATATCCTCCCCCTCCCCCCTCTTTCAAACTGAAAGGAAAATCATTTTCCGTCCAATCCTTTGTATACTGTGTACGAAGTGCTTGCGTCTCCACTGCACTTCAAGCATTCAGACACACTGTGCAAGACAACTTAGACAACTTCAAAGGTCTGAAAACTTGTGTTCAACTTGTCACCTATAAGTGATTCCTCTTTTGTCCAATGCAAGAAATAATTCAGCAACTTGAGTGTAAATACTCAATTTGAGTAGAATAAATAAGCTGTGCTGTTCTACAAAGTATGTTTCTTCAGATCATATGTGTATGTGGCACCGTGGCACAATGGAACCTCAGGGAACCTCCTCATAACCACCAATCTGGGTAACAGGTGGCAAAAACTCAAAACACATTTTTTTTGATGTACCAATTATATTTCTCCGAGACCAGTTACAACTGAAATACTGGTATGATTTTAGTAATACTAGCCTACATAGCGATATTGGGGAACTCCAACAGAACACACCAAAGGCCAGGGTTAACAAATGTAGGTTGCAACCAGGCAGTTTCTTTTTTTTTCCTGTGTTTCTGTTAACAGGCAATCGTGTCATGCACAAACTTTCACAGCACAAGAAACCCAAACAAGAAATCTGGACATGTGTTCCCTCAAGATAGAGCATTTTCAATACATTCAAGCAACTCACCCTTGCTTAAACCCTTGAACATCATATTATTGATTTTATTATTCACTTGACTTGACTACACTCACAATTCAAAGAACACTTGATTATCTATTGGTTAAATCCATTCCCAGGAAAAAGGGCATTTGAATCCATATCTGCTTTTAGCAACCAATTGGAGTAGTTCACACCTAATTACACAGGACGTATTAGCAACATGACCCACAGCAGAAAGCTGCAAACATCATTATACTCAAAACAACTGCAACCAGGATTTAATTAACCAGCTCATTAGCCTACACAATCAAAAGTGCAGGAGCCGAGACTAGAGGAAAACAGATTTCAGGGCTAGAGCATGCGACACTTACTAGCCTGCGATATGGAGCATAGACAAAGACATACAAAACTCTCAACTCGAATAAAATGTTTGATACAGAATCATAACCAAAAAAATAACCGAACTCAATGCACTTACTCATAATAAGAGAAAAACCAAATTCGAATCCAAAAGAAAGGCACCGGTTTCATTAGATTTGCAAAAATAATCTGAGAGTTAAGAGTTCTGTTTTCTTTGATCACAGCTTGATAAATGTTTTTTTTAATATATATATATATATTTATAGTCACATATATTTATGGATCAAAGATACAAATCAAGGTCATATAATTCGGGGATAGGGGAGAGGGTCACAAATTTCACAAATCTTAACACAAACACAATACACAACTAGTCTCGCAAGAATAAATATTTTTGCCATGGACTTTTTTTTTGGTAGCTTTTCCATTTTTCTGGCATAACATACTTGGGAGGTGTCACAGCAAGTTGGTCCAAGCTTGGGATGAAGACAAGAGAAAGTCAGATACTGAGATACACTGATTTAAAAGAATCAAAATAAACCTTTTTTTTGTGGCAAAGTCTATTTAAATTCTCATCTATATTTCTAAATTTAAAAAAGGCTGACGCATGCCAAAATGAAATTTTTTTTGTTATGATAATAAGCTGTGTACAATCAGTTCGTTACTACATAATACCATTTAGGAATTGCTGTGTAGCTCTTTCTAATAAACTAGGATGAGTAACAGCAAACATGACATTAATTCTCAGACACCCTGTGACTCGGGGGTGGGAGCAGGGCCGGAAAACAAACAATCATTCCTCCACTCACATATAGCAGAGGAAATACCACTACAACACTGAAGACACTAAACACACACATCTTGGCTTATCAATTTCGATACAGATTTAATGATTATTTACATAGAAATATGGGAGATAACACTTTTATTAACTTTTTCATCATACAATTCACAAAAAAATAATAAAGTGGTATAAAAGTTATTAAGATAAATTTGATTAGTCTCACATCAGACAGGAAAATGATGAAATGAATACAACTGAACCAGAATGTGGAGTCACAACCATTTTTCTTGTTGAATGTCAAAACATAAAAACAGAAGGTCATCCTTTTTGTCAAAATTAAATTGTGTTGCCACCAACTTTCAATTGGCCATCCAACTTGAAACAAAGTGCAGTTACTCTCTGCAGGAAGTTAGTTCACATCTGCAGACCGAGCAATCTCTCAAAAACTGAATTCTAGCTGATAAAACACAAACACTAGATTCATAACAAGAAGTAAACTTAAAAGTAACAACAACAGTAAAACAAACAAATGATAATGTAGGATACTACATTCTTTTAAAAACATATTGCTAGAGGCAACAAACTGCCCACAAATATCCATTCAACTACATAAAAACTACTCAATGCATCACGCAGAAATGGTATATCAGGAAAGTTGTCCTTATGATGGGCCATAGAAATTAAAAGGGGAAAACACATTGACATGCAATGATCAGGACACCAGATGAAGTGATGCATTTCTTTCTGCAATGGGCAATGATCTTGCAACTGCATGAAATAAATAAATACAAGATGGGGAGCTACTACCACTACAACACACCTCCAATACATAGATAAATTCTAACTGAGGCACATCTCAAACAAATTGGCTCACTTAAACTGACAATTAAAGGGGCTTACATAGCAAGGAAACATACACAAAAACCAACAACATGTTAATGACTCTCTGTTATTAACAGAACAAGAAAGCACTAAGATTAAGATACTAACCACTGGGTTTAGGTACTAAAAGGAAAAAACATCATAATTCACATTACATACAACACTGCAAAGGGCCCTTAAGAGGTATGACTGCATGAAATTCGACAATAGAAGAAAAAAAAATGACAGGAGTTAGTAATGAGATGGGGAAAAAATAAATAGATACAGATTCCCAGCATCTGCTTGCCAGCATTTCAATAATAATGAGCAAAGTTAATTAAAATTTTGTGCCTTGAGAGACAAAACAACACATAATGAAAAGATTATAGAAATCAAAATGAGGGGGTAAATAGAATGAATGTACAAGAAAAGGGAGAGAGGAGTCAGTTACAAAGCATCAATGCAATTCAAGACGGGAATTTTTCCTAAACTAGACATAAATTTTAACCATCCATGAAATGTACCATGCTTTGAAGCTGAGTCCAAATGAAGATACTTGTGCGCTACACTCATTACACTGAAAGCAGCTTTCTTGAAGAGAAGCCAGTTCCCAGGCAAGATTCCAATTTGGTATAAGTAAGATTCTCTTTAGATAAGAAAATTAATATAAATTTATATCTATGTGGTGATAGTGGCATGACTGATGCAGACTTGAGACATTCAAAACTGGATGTAAAAATCTGTTTTAAGAGTCATCAAGAGGCACAAGCTTAATGTTTCTCAGAGACTATGTGCCAGTTACAACAGACTTCAGTCACCTATAGTCAGTCCAAGAGAACTTAACAACTATGAGTACAATGGCACAAAATATGGCCTGGAGAAAACTTAAGGACACAAACTCTGTAACTAAGCTTGGATCAAAAATGCATCTTTTAAATGGCAAGGAGCTCAGCTTATAGTGCAATTAGTCCAAAGTGAAGAAGAGAAGCAGCACTTCCCAATGAAATAATTGAAGTTACATAACAAAAACCTAAAATAGCAACTCAAAGCAACCAAGAGAACCAGAACTGCAAAGGCCCAGAGATTAGAACTGAAACTATTGAATGTTCAAGCAAGTCAAAGCCACTATCACACACACTCCAGAGTCTTATAGGGTTCATTATCACAAGATTCAAAACTATAGATAACTTAAGCTTAGAGTAGGTAGTAGGATCAACTTTCTGACGTTTACCTGGCCATCTCCATAATACTGTGTATTAAAATTGTAATAATTTCCTAATGCATCTCAACGGATAACCATGGAAACTAAATAACAAAAATATTTGCAAGAAACTTGGTTGGTTGGGCCGTCCAACGGTTGGGAGATTTACTTACTGCATCTCTTTGAGCGAGGATAGTTGGCACCCCAGCAATACATTTAAGTAAAGTATGACATAAAATATTGCATGCATGTGTCAGAGACAAAGACAGTGACCAAGAGAGAAAAATAAATTGAAAATGTGATGATTACTTAACAGGAACTATTATGCAAAGGGGGTGCCAATATTATTACTGAAAGGGCCCACTCAATGGATAAATCCCCTCTTCCAAAGGTTAGCTCCAACACTATTGTCTCAAGCCCCTCCCACCAGCCTTGGACCCTTAAAATATGTTTACAAGACAGCCCAACAAAAATGATCACTTACCCCTACTTATGATACCAAAACCTTTCATGTTGTAATTTAAGTTAGCACACAAAGCAATGAACTTAAAGGGAAGGAAATGGATAGCTGTGGACAGAGGAATGAATAAGGAGTGAATATTAATGAGGGTTTCCAATTTTATAAAATAATACCCTAACAAGTTGTTGATGAGCAGACACCCGACCCAATGGCACTGCGTTCAACAACCACGCTGGCTGGCAGCTACACTGGCTTGTTGGAACAATTCTAACTGAACAGTCTCTTAGAATTATTATTCTTGACTCAATGCATCTTTTGCCCTGCCCGCAAGGCACCCAATAACATTAATGATAAGCAGTCGGAATGTTCAACACAGATCCACGTGTATAACATAAAACATTGGAAGGAAAGAAATGAGGCACCTCTTCTAGACATACAGAGGATTGAACTGTCTAATGTTACAAAAAGAGAAAAGCAGGTTAATGAATGAGGCATCTTTCAACAACCAAGTACAAAAGCTTGGATAAAGTTTGCATGAGTTTAAAATTCGATGGCTAGTGCATTTACAGTACAAGGAGTTTAAGATGCCACACCATTTTATAAAGGCGCAAGAAAACAAGGTTATTTGATAAATGCTCTGATATGTGAAAGATGAATTATTAAGAAAGGATGCAGTCTTACAACATGTACACATTTACACACAATTAGCTTTACATGCAACAATCAATTTCTAAATTCCATCATACCATAATTGTGGTATGAAGGAAAAGGGAAGTAAACCAAAATCATGATGTCCACTCAATAAAACTATTAGCAACTAGCTGACACACAAACATGGGACATCTAACAGAGCTTAAATGAAAGGAGGGCAGTTCTGTCAAAGTTAAAATATGACAACCTGAACAGAAAATGTAACTTTACTCATTGGATTAAAGAACACATCCGTAAGTTGAGTTAGCAAAATCAAATGTAAAAACAAATTCTGGATCAATTTTACCCAGAAATATAAGAGGGTTGTACACTTAAAATTTTAAAACAGAAGAATAAAGCAAGAAAAAAAGGAAACAAACATTGAGCATTAGCCCAAAACACGATTTTGTATCAAAGCTTCTGAAGGGGAAAACATCAGCTCTACACATTTGTGATGTACAATTACACTAGCAGTCTATCGGGAGGGGGAGAAAGGGAGGGGAAGCAACACCACAAACATTTCCTATGGAGAACAAGAGCTCCACACAAGCAACATAATTTTTTTTTTCAGACAGGAGGTTTATGACAGACTACCATATGAAGGAGAGCAGATTTGTGGACCTAGGTGCCGCGAGACCCGAAGCCTAAATTTGGCTGAGATGAGACTGTGATTACAGTTCATCGGATGTCAGTGATGTTATTTTTGGAACCAAAGATGCGGACGAGCTGATCTTCATAATCGTCTATGCTGCGCTTCATGAGCTCCATGCAGGGCCCAAGGAGGCGCTCAAAAGCTTCCACATCCAGGACTGTGAAGCAAAAGGAGTCCAAAAATTAATGAGAAGCTCACCAAATGAGGAACATAAAACCAAAACAATACTTACAAGCTAATTTGACTTTGCCAACAGCATACACAGAAGCAGCACGAGGTTTGTGAGTGACCAGAGCTAGCTCACCAAAATATCCACCCTTCTGCACTGTGTTTATCTACAGGGAAAAAATAGAGTGTTAGTGTAAAGTACATGGTTAGGTGTATGAAAGTTTCTACCAGCCCACAGCGAATGAACTACTTACATCTATTTGATTACTGCTATCACCCTGAATAGCAATACGAACGGTCCCCTCTTCCACAAAGTACATGCCATCTGCAGATGCACCTTGTCTTATAATGCATTGGCCATCAATGAATTGACGTGGCAAAAGAGCATCAGCAAGATTCATGCGCTCATATGCCTGCAAAGATGCAGAACAAATTAATAAATATGTTGAAGTGGTTAATAACTTGATAGAAAAAAATTCCCAGATGATAAGTTTAAAGACATTACCTGAAGAGACTTGAGCATTGGCACACAATCAATAAGCTTTTCATACATCTTCCGTTTACGGAAAGCACTTTTGAGCACAATGCGGCGGAAAGTTTGACGGTCCATGGCCCACAATGCTCCCGCAGAGGCTGCCTGAACTGTGGCAGCACGTGGCATATTGTAGAGCAAAGCCAATTCTCCAAAACTACCACAGTTTTCATAAGTGTGGACTTTCTTAGGTTCTGATGAGCCATCAGAAACAAATGCATGATAAATGCCACTGTAAGATAGAATAAAAACCAATTTGAAGAGACAAATGAAAAAATTGTCAAGTAAAAAGAGGCAAGTGACCTTACTCTTACCTTTCTATGACATAAAAGTTGTCACCATCATCTCCCTGCCTAATAATATAGTCCCCAGAGGTGACAATCTTCTCAAACATGGCATCCAAAACTTCTGTCATTTGCTCCTGAAATTTTATGTTGAATTTGAGTTAACTATAAAACATCAGCAACTAGTTACTTGCCATAAAAATGTAATACAAACCTTATCCAATGAGCGGAAAAGCAGAATATTTTTAACACTGTCGGCTAATCTTGCCCTCTGCTCATCTGATTTAGGGAAAACAACCTAACAAAAACAGGATTAACATTATCTCAGCATCTTAAAAGGTACTAATGAAAAGTGTAAAACATTACACAAACCTTTGCACCCTCTTCTTCGTCATCTTCCTCAGGATCATACTGTTCTGCAAAAACTGACTTCCTCCTGATAGAGAATCTTCCTACAGGAGGCTCTGCACAGACAAAAAAATCCAATGTAGAACACAAATATGTTCAATCTTTACCCAATAACTTCGTAGAGCCAAAAAGATTCTTCACATAAGTCTTTACAAAAGATCTATAGACCAGTGTACAAACCGCACATTTTTAAAAACTATTTATTGGTTTAGAATAAATTAATTTGCAATAACTGGGAAACAATAAATTTTAATTTTACCAGGAAACACACATGGCAGAAATTATTCCATTGCAAAACTGTAATTTATAATATGGTAAAGGAATATCCAAAAGGTGGGCTATATCTATACATGAGTGGATACTTGAAAAAATGAGTTCAACAGGTCATAATTCAATATATTATTCCTAAAAGGAAGGAACAAACAAATCAGAGAATTCAGTCAAGTACGGAAATATCCGTGCTATCAACTCAAGAAGTGACAGGTGACTATAAAACGACACATGACTGCATAGGGCGAATCCCATGTCACCACCAAACAGGTAGCCCATCACCAACCTGCGGACCAGCGTTAAGAAAACTCACCATCTTCGTTGGAGAGGATAGAGTCGTCGGGAGAAACTGGAGCATTCTCCCTGGGTGGAGCGGCCCGGCGATTTTCTTGCAGCTTTTTGAAGAAGTCGACAGCGTAGTCGATGATGTCCGGCGGCTGCTCCAGGAGGTAATTGATGGTGAACTCGAGCAGAATGTCGCGCAAATCATCCGGCACGTTCACTTTGGACGCCTCGCCGCTGCGGCTCATCTTGCTCAGGGCTTCACTAAACTACTAGACAAGGTAAATTGAGTCCAGCCTGGCCCCAGCCCTGCAAGGCCAAGATCCTTGTCTGGTCACCAGCGCTCTCCTGGGCTGGCTCTGCTCTGCCTAGCGAGACCCGTTTGCTTCACTCGGCTCGCCTCCTCGGTCCGCCCAGCCCCGCTCCTCCGCTACACTTAGGACCCCCAACGCCAGCAACTACTCCCAGCGATCCGCACTCGCACTTCACCTCCGGACACTTTTTCAGCTCGGCCACAGCATTTGGTCGTCTCCAATAATCAATTAGACAAAAATTGGAGAGTAGGCCTACAACAAAAAACCGTCTGCTCAAAAAAGATGGCGGCCTCAATCTGGATTAATCGGCCCCCTTGATACGTTTGATAAGCCGTGCCCGCCGTCAGGCAGGGAAGGCCCATAGGGAAGGTAACTTTCATTCTCTTGGCCTGTCCTTCCCGTCCTATCCCGTGGAGAGGCCTGTTGCCTTAATAAGAGCGTTTCATTTTTGACAATCTTCTCTAACCGCGACAAAAGCATTCGGCACGTCTCTACCTGGTCGGAAGTGGTCGATTGGCGACAGCGGCAGCAGAACGGCGCTCGAAGAGGTTTGTTTAAAAATGGCGGTGTATGAGGTGTTTACTCAGCCAGTATCTTATCGGTACAAAACAACTCTTTGCTCGAAAGCAACTGTCGTATTCGTCATATCATCCTTGTTCGTGATTATTTTGCCACTTGTTGTGTCGTACAGAAGTAATGGATTCTGGCTGAAAAGTGACATTTATCAAGAACAGCCAGATGTCAAATTCACTCATGATTACCTTCTTGTACTTGAAACTAGCATTCCCCAGAACCCGATTCAGTGCCGTGCTCAGTTCAGCTTGAATGACAATTTCCAACGTCATTGTCTCTTCAAGTCATACGAAGAAGACACTAATCGTGATGGAAAAATAGATTTCATAACAGTCAATGTGAAGGTGCCATTGCTGCGGAATGAGTCTGTCTACTCAGTCAGGCTTATCTTGGCTTTGGACTTTTATATCTCCAATATTTGCCATCTCCGTATGCAATCTTTAGCAGCTGTTGAATCGACATGTGGTGTGCCTGGGGCAGGTTTGGATGTTGCTGCTGATTTGAGGTAAGCTAGCAACTTTTTAACATCAGATGATTGAGTACAGTACAAGTGCTTTTGTCAATTAAAAATAAGTTCTTCTTCTTCACAGGTTCACTCAAAAGAAGCCTGTGGACTATAGAACAGCGGAAGCTTTGTTCAGTTCCTCTCTTCTGGCTGATAGCTCCAGTCTAAAAGATTTAATCTTAACTTATTCTCAGCGTAACTACAGTACAACTTTGATAAATCAGTACAATCTGTGGGCTTCAGGTCGGGACGAGGACGAGCCTTTCCCCATTACCTTAAGAATTGCCATACCTGAAAGTTCAATTGTGTACAGGCCTGGCTTTTGGCAGGTGGTGAAGTGGGCATGGATACAGTACCTGTCAGTTTTTATAGTTTTTCTGCATGTTATGCATATTTTACAAGAGTATATTTTTAGTAACCAGCTTGTTCCTACTTTTAGATCTGTACCATGGAAAAAGATCCATTAGATTGTGCAAGTGTTTGTGTTCATTTCAAACTTATTCAAATAATTTGTGAAGCTTGATAATAGTTGGAAAGAGAATGCAATGCTTATTAAGCAAATATATTTATTACTAAGTTAATAGGTAACTTAAAGTATTACAATTCATTTATAAATTTCAGAAACTCATTGGAGAGGCTGTCGTATCTTCTCTATTACAAATCTGTACTTGGTACAAACATGTAAAAAAGTTACACTCCTCCGTATTTTTATGATGCAGGAGCTTGTTGTTTTGGTCTAGTCAAAGGCGCCAGACTAAGTCTAGATTGCACTATTCCCATATTTTCTGTTCTGTGAGTTACAGCAAAAGTTAAAGAAAACATTTTTTTTTTGTTACCTTGCTATGAATCACTATTTAACACATACACAAAAGAAAGCTATCTTCCATTTTGTTTATCACTTCATTCACATTTAAATAACATTACAAAATGAACATAATTCCCTGCAAGAAACTCTGCTATAAAACAGAAAAATAACAAACTAAATCTACTAAAAAGATAACAACTTCACGCTAAAAGCATATTCTATAAAGTACATCTTTGCACTTGCACAAATTATCAAGAAAACAATGTTATAGATCATGATAGAATTTCTAAAGCTTATTGACTTAAAATATAATCTACTATCAACAACAAGTGGAGGACAAAAGCAAATCAACAGAACAATTCTACTTTATCCTTAATGTCAACTGGAATGTTTAATCCTACTGAACAAGTTACATTCAATTTGATTAAGCTTTTCAATATTCCTTAGTTTCGAGGGTTGAAAACATTCAAGATGAAGGAAACAAAATGCCACGCATACAACATTTGTGCAAACAATGGAACGAAACATAGAGTAGCAAATGATTTTAAAAACATGTCATTATTGCTCAATATAGCTTGTCACAGAACGTACCAGCAGAGTGGGTCGTTATAACCTAATCAGACAAGTTAGGCACTTACAAGAAACATACAGCAGACTGTGATGTGTCATTATCAATTTTAGTATATGAAGGAATGAATAAACTTCACAGGGGAATGCCAAGTACAAACAATACTTGTAAAAACCAGTAATCACACAGTTCAAACCCGGTCAATTAGTAATTTACTTACAAATGCGACAATACTTAAGAAAACCCAACAAAATAACATCAAAATAGTGTTCAGGACTTATCAACAGAGTTATAAAATGCCAGAGTAAAAAATGTAAAACAATACCCTGTCTGTCTTCAGACATGAGACATTTGTGAAGCAAACATATCCTTAACTACCCAACACCTTACTCATTCTTCACCAGGATTGATGATTAAAATTATAATGCCAATGAAGGATTGGTGAAATTGTTTGTTTCTGGAACATTAATCATTCAGTTCCATACACCATAAACAGTTTGTACAGTCTCAAGTAATTGTTTTCACAACACACAATAAACAATAACAATTTCCATTCTTAAGTTAATTTAGAAAACAGGTTTAGTCATTTCCCAGTGCCACATGTTTTAACATGTTCAATGAAATCCCCTCAAAATCCTCACAACTGCCAGCAATAATGATAGATTTTGAAGAGGAACAGACCAAGACACATGAATTAACTTACTCTAGGAAAATGAATTGCGAGGAGAGTTGCAACAAGTCAGATCATGTATGTACTCTATGTACACAGTATATGCTGGCTCTTAATCGTCCTATTGAGCGATGGTAACTGAGAACTTATTTGCATTACTGCATGTCGTTCTTCAATATACATTTTATTACATAGCTTTTCAATACCCCCATTTGTAAAGTGAAAGTTTAACTAACAAAAATCACAAACACAACAGCTTTGTAACAACTAAAGATAAATTAGCATAAAAGGACTCAAAGGAAAACCTCGACATGTTATTCTGAGCACAATTTACACTGATTGTGCACTTCAATAAAATTGCATTCTAATGGTCATGTACTTGGTAAAGCTGAGTTATATAGACATAGCTAAAGAACACAAGCAAACTTGAGGTCTAAAAATCACTGAAGATACTAAAATGTCACTCTGATGATGCTGTTGATGATGATGGTGGTGGGTTCTTGGGAGCAGAATTCTCCAGAGAAGGTGATAGAGACACTGGAGTGGATGATGCAGTGGCTGATGAAGCTGCTGCATCTGGCACAGATGAAGAAGAAGCAGATGTAGATGCAGATGAAGATGCAGATGCAGACGCAGCGGATGCCAGCGTTAATGCGCGAGGCAAGGACAGCGATGCTGAGGTTGATGGTCCAGGGAGCTGGTCGTCACGGCTCGAGTTGCCTCGGGCGGCGTCTGTTAACACATTAACCAATTAAAACTCTTGATTTAAAAAAAATCTGGGAAAATTGAAACAAAGTTAAACCAGGTATTTAATAAGCCAACCTACCCATAGAAAACGGAGAACCTTTTATCCGACATGTGTTGTATGAACCACAATTGGCACATTTTAAGGCAACCACATGGAATGTGACTGTGGACTCCTGTCAAATTTAAAGCTTATTAGCTTTAATCAAGCTAAATGGTTAATTTGTTACAGGCAAAGAAATAACAAACCTTGTGGCAGTCTTTGCACAGTATCTCAGCTTTAAAATTCAAAAACTCCTCCGGCATGGGTGTGTTTTTAATCTCTTCATCAAAATATTTCCACAGCTGAAAAGGGTGAATAAATACCAGTTAGCGAACAGTCTGAAAATGAAAATGTCAAAAGAAGTACAGAATAGATATTTAGTAATGGATAATGTACCTTGCTCATATCAAGCAAAGATGTTTGGCAGATTGGACAAGCATAGTGCCCAAAGGTGAGAAGTTCTTCAAAACAATTGCGATGCAATAGATGCCCACAGTCGGGTATATGGCAGGGCATACGAGAGGTATGTATATCTTCAAGGCAAACAGGGCAGTTGCCACGAGACACATTCTCAACACACTAAACATGAAGAAAATGATTAATAAACCACAAGCTCAGTGTGGTACCAAATATAGATTTTCTTTTCAATAGGCAAACCTTGTGTTTGTTAAGAAGCTTGATAGGAAGACACATGTTGCATTTCTCACAGTGGAAAAACTTGTCTCTGCCTCCAATGCGGCAAATTCCACAGCCATCACAATGGTACTGCTTTTTGTCTTCATCGTCAAAGAGTTTGCATTCTAAGCAGGTGTACTGACGAAGAATAATGGAAACACATTATCGTAAGCGTGTAAAATAAATATTTACTGATCATTGTGAAAGGAAATATAACATACCTTGCCAAAGGAAAGATTGCACTTCTCACAACGGGCCTGGACCTTCTGCCTTGTATTACAACTTGTGCAGACCAGTTCGGTAACATCTTTTCTATTGACAGGATGACTTTCATTTTCGTCATGGCAGAAACGGCATGTATAAACCTTGTTACAGCAAGGAGTCTGAAATTGAACAAAACAGCATTACTACAATACTATCAAACACAATCAAAAAGTTTAAGTTGCAAAATTTAATACATTCACATCCAAAAGTGCTGCATCAAACCTCCCAGCCTTAAGTTATTGTAGATATTTTTATTATTACAAAGGAATATTTGGAACTAAATTTGACAAGTGGTAACAATTGTTTGTGAAGGAAAAACAAATTAAAATAGACAGCAGTAGGATCTCAGTGATTTAGAGACTCTATTTTGGAGTGTAAATCAGCAGATGTTGTTGTTTATTGGCAGTAAACATTACTGTCCTGGTCAGTGTAATGTAACAACATGAGTCAAGTTCATCCCTAAATTGACCTGGATGATAGGCAATTAGATAGCAACCGTATTTTTCCTGGTAAATACTGATAAATTTTGTTGGTGGAGATTGACTACGATAAATGAGACGACGTCACGTCAATGTGAAATTTTCGAACGACTTTAGAGGTTCAAGTTTAGAGGCTCCAATGGGAGCATCTTCAGTAAAAAAAAATCTGAACCCCTTTTCTCCTTATTTACGAGTACATGGAAATACAAATGATCTAAACTGGGCCATGATCGGGGCATACATCCTAGTCGCAAGCACAGGGCAGTACAAATAAAATTTCCTGGTTTTTACGAGCCATTCTGCCAACTCAATGGGCAGCAATTTTCTGCTATTGCCTCAAGTACTTACGACAAACTTTGATCTCCGTTGGTAGTGACAACACCCGACGTGTGCACCCCCCTCTGCTGGGGCTGTGGACGTGGAAACTGTGCTGCCTTCCTCCATTTCCCGCTTCGTCGAGGAAAAACCAAATGAATCCACGGGAAAATGGTTGCAGCTTAAATATGTGATGGAACGTCTGCTGGTCTGCTGGTCACGAAAGGCTGGGGCGGCAGCAGCAGCAGCCTGGCAAAGCAGCTGGGCAAAGCCACTGCCACTGAGTGCGTTCACGTCGCGTCACGTGAGCACGGCGTGACGTCTAACTGACCGATGTACACTGCCGACGGGCGGCTTTTCCCACGTCACTCTTGCCATTTTTAGGGATTTGCAGGGCGCTAGGAAAGATGTTTCAGCAGCTTCTGCCCGCACTCGTGTCTTAGAAAGATGTCGAAAGCGACAATATTCTCAGGAATCCGAAACTGCGAGCAGAGATAAATGAAAGGAACTCCATTGTCACTTTTCACCAGGCTCCGACTCTTTCTTCTTTCTTTCAGCTTCTTGTGTTGACATTTGTCATTCGGTGGATCGTGGTTAGTTACGAGGATTTGCCACGTAATTCGTCGTTAATTTAGGTTTGTATGGGTGTTTTAACGTCTCTATGTCGATTAAATTTTCATCGCGGACCCGTTTATTTGACGCAACTTTGCGTTTTTGGTCATTTGACTTCCAAACTGGCTATAGGGGACTTTCTGTCAGTTGTCTTGGCCAAGCTAGAAGCCGGTTTAGGTTGAGTTCCGCCCCACAGTCGAAATTCTACCAATTTTAATAGCCAAATCTATTTTGTTACAGAATTCCACAATGATTACCGACGTGCAGCTAGCCATATTCGCCAATGTCTTGGGGGTGACATTATTTTTATTAGTGGTCCTTTACCACTACATCACTGCAAATGGTTCTAAATCATCTTTATGATATTTTTGAGTACTGAATGGTTTTGTTGTAAAGTTATCACTTTTCTGCTTTATAATGTGTAAGTATTTTTGACAGAAAAAACCTCCTAACAATCTCTTTTGTAATATGAAAAGTACTTGCTAGTACAGGAGTCCCAATTTAAAAATGCAGAGGTCTATTTCAGCTGCATGAAATATACATCAATTATTTTATGTATCTTTAATGCATGTCTTCCCTTCTTTTTCCAGGAAGCAATGGGAATCAGCACTTAAATATTGACGACAAAGTAATTTGTAAGAACTAGTGCAAGCCCCAAAAATACCCTATTATAATTTAGATTAAGCTTATCAAGAATGTCTATAAAAATGGTGTATAATCTAAATCTGACATTCCTTATATCCAAATTTAATCCATTTTTACTGTTGGGCCTGAATGCTTGTAATTTGTTTTCTACCACTCATGTGTGAAATGCACAGATTTTTATCTTGTTCTGTAAATAAATGAGTTTATGAACAAGCAGCCATGTTTTCTGTTTAAATAATTTGAATTTTATTGAGGCACATACCGTCAGCTCCCGGTAGAAGCAAGGTACTTGTTTCCATGGTTAATGGGGGAGGGGGGCAAGTCTCCAATGCCATTGTTATGGGGATCTGCTGTGGAGGAGATGGCACATTTTTGGTGAGTTGAGGGAGGCCCGTATGTGGCAGTCTCTCCTTCCCACTCACGAACAGATATTGACGCTCGCGAGCAATGCGATAAACCAATGTAGGAGGAGCCATGCTCCACTACCTCCCTGGCGACGTGACAAGTAGGGAGCAGCACGAGGTCGTCGATCTTCCAATGCTCCCACTCGCGTTGGCACCGGGCGGGGTGAATCAGAATCACTCCGCGTTCCAGTGTTCACACGAGTTCACCTTACACTTCACATAGATGAGTTCGAGACGACAAAACAACGCCTAGTCGTGCCAAACATTAGCGAATCACGTTCCTCCCGCTGTTGTGAGCACACCAGACCCGGCGCGGCGCGGCGGCGTGGCGCCGGTCGCACCGCACGCGGCTGTGTCGGGGAGGTGCCGGGTAGCCGAGGTGGTCCGACCAAGGACCGGACTGGAGCCTGAAGCTCAGCGGCTTTGACCGGTGACCGCGCATTTCCCGCGGCCATGGATCAGGAGGACAAGATGTGAGTAGCAGAGCTCCGTCTTGTCAAAGTTGTCCCATGGGCCGCGCCAAGGGCCGCGCCAACCAAGCCAATCTCGCACCCAAACTACAGCCATGCTACAGCACCCTTTCGGGGTCTGTGTTGAGACCTCTTCCCCGCGTGTCTCCAGGGAGCGCCCCGATCAGCCTGTGGCGGCCGTCGGCTCCGAGGCCGCGACGGCGGCGGGCCCAGCGGGGTCGCCGAAGGCCGCCGCGTCCACGGCGTCCAAGAGCCAGCCGTCCGCGGAGAAGGTCCAGCCCGTCCAGCCGCAGGCACCGCAGCCGGTGCAGCAGTCTGCCTCCACCCAGCGCCAACCTAGGGAGGCCGAGGAGGCGCCGGCCGCGGTGCGGGAGCGCCGGTCAAACGCCAGCCAGCAGGGCCAGCAGCAGAGGCCGCTTGCTCGAGAGTCTGCCGCCACGGCGGCCACGGCCGACAAGCAGTCGGTCGCCACTTCGAAGACAGAGTCCAAGCTGTTCTTGGTCTCGGCCTCCACGGCGTCCGTCGTCGGCTCCGCTGCCCCCGTGCCTGTCGCGGACGTTGCGGAGCCCAAGCCCTCCGGCAGGGCCTCGGCCGCGTCGGGCCTCGACGGCTTCACCAGGTACTTGGCTGTTTTGTCATTCCGTCTCTCTCGCGCCGCCACGGAACGCCCCTTGAGCGCAAGAGAGGCAGAGCGACAGTCTGAACTGTCCAGGCCGTCGGGGTCCCTGCTGATGAGAGGGCCGCGCTCGCGGTCCGCCATGTCCTTCCGCCGGCCGTCGTCCTCCAGGGGGTCCATCGCTTCGCGAAACTCCAGGGGCACGGCCATCGTGGACTACGGGCTGTCACCGGGACTGCAGAGCCTCATCGGGCGCCTCACCAACACCAAGGACGTGGTGCGTCACAGTGTGCCGGACCGGCCGGCAGCCGGCAGGACGCACTGCACCAGGGTGCACGCTCCCCTCGCCCTTCCTGCAGGGCCTGATCGCGTACCTGAGCGCCATCCCCGGGGAGCCGCACGGCGCCACGCGGCCGCCTGCCGCCATCAACAAGCTGCAGCAGAAGCAGTCCGGCCGCCCCAAGTCCATCATGAAGATCAGCAAGGTGGCCACCACACTTTGGCCTGGCGACGTATAGTAGCGCGACAGCCCGACGTGGCGGGCACTCGAAACTGTCTCCGCGCCCCGCGCAGGCCACCGTGCGGTTCGAGCCGACGTACCGCCTGGAGCCGCTGCGCCCGTTCCGCGTGGACCGAGCCCTGGACCAGGTGAAGAAGGCCCTCGAGATGGGCATGGCGGAGGCCACCTACTCGCCGCAGTGGGCCACCGACGCCGTGCGCATCCTGGCCGCCTACATCACGCAGTGCGTCAAGGCCGTGGAGATGCCGGCCCCCAACCACGGCAGCAGGCACGTCTATGGCTCTAGTTCAATGACGCAGTGAGTCACTCAGAGGGATCGTTTTCTCGTTCTGTCTTCGTCGCGCTCGTGGGCATCTAGAACGAGTGCGAGTGAGAAAAAGAGGAAGAGAGAGCAATGAAACGATCCTTCGGAGTGAGGCGGCCGGTAGAAGACGTTCCCGGTGTGCACGATGTGCACGATGTGCAGGTACAAGATCGCCACCATGGTGACGGTGCTGGAGCGGCGCCAGCAGGGCGTGCGCACCGAAGGGGCCGTGCTGTGGGACGACAACCTGGACCGCATCATCTCGGCCTGCGTCGAGAACAACACCATGGTCGCGTGCGCCGTCGTGTACGCCGTCTTCTGGGAATGAACCAAGAGGCCAAGGAAGCCACCTCTCTGCGGAGTGCACTCATTGGATACGCCCCCTGAATCCGAAGTCGCTCTCTGTCGCACGCCTGCGGGACGCCCGGGATAGAAACGATCCTTTCGGTGTAGGCAACCCGGTGCTTCGCGTGCGCAGCCCAGCGCGGCGGGCTGGCCTACCCCTCGTTCGGCGGGCGGAGCGGGCGGAGCGGGCGGCACCTGGAGACGCCCTGTCGCTCGGAGTTCCGCGTGGCTCGACGCTCTTGATGCTAGACCGACGGCGCAGAAAAAGTCGGCGGGGCCGGTACGGCGGGACCTGGAAGGGGCAGGACGGGGCGGGAGGGCGATAGACTGATGATACCCTTGTGGAGCTTGAAGGTGGTAGTCCTGTGCCGGCTGCCGGCACCGGGGGGCCTAATTACAAGCGACACGAACGGCGACAGACGGACGGACGGACTTACTGACTGACAGACAGGCAGACCGGCAGTGCTAGATACACGGATGGACCGGAGGAGAGGAGACAGGCGGCATCACGTCCATTCAAAGCATTTCTAGGGGCGCGCAGAGGGTCAGCCAATTGATGTATTACATGTGATGTGTTCTAGTGCCTATCTCGTCACGGAAAGTGAAACGTTTTTCGTCATGAGAGTGACGGGGAGCGAGCAGCAGCGGTGAGATAAGAGGGAGAGAGACAGCGAGTAGAGTGGGTAGAGTCGCGGGGATGCTGCAGCTGCGGCGGCGAGCGCGGGGCGGGGCGGGGCGGGGCGGGGGTGCGGGGGGCTCCACTCGACAGAGAGAAGCCGACTCTTGTTCGACTCCGCTCGGCCCGGTCGGCTCGGCTCGGCCTCCACTCCACCCGTCCCCGCTCCCACCCGCTCCGCTCGGCTTCGGCTCGGGCTTCGGCTTCTCCACTTCGTTCGCGTTCGGCTCGGCTTCGGCTGTTGTTAGTCAACTCGCAGGATCCACCGTGCCAGGACGTGTGTCCGCGGTCGGCACAACCTAACCTCTCCCGCCCGACGAAAACAAGTATCCCTGTGGGGGATTCACAGATTTCCGATCTCGTCTGAACGGGGAAGTCCCTCGAGTGCTCCGGTTTCGCGACCTTATACAGTGGCGGTCCGTGCCCACGGCTGGAGGAGGGGCCATCGAACGCCACGGCGGTAAACTTGGCCTCATTTTCCGTTTCGTGCTTGCGCGCGCGCGCGTGTGATTTGTGAAGTGCAGTGACTATTTCTTCGCCCAGTGGATTATTTTGGATTAATATGCAATGCACACGTGAGTAAATTACACTATTGTTTCATACCTCAGATTTCACTTTCGCCGCAGCTGGATTTTGGAATTATCACTACTGCAATTGACAACCAATCTGTTAATAAATTATCATGAAATTTCTTGGCCTTGCTGTGAAAACAAGTCACCCTGAGGGTGCGTTTCCGACGTGCATGATTTTAAGGCATTTGTCTTCACTCGGAAAGCACTGGCTAGGGTTTAGCCGGGACGGCCGGGACCGCTCCGAAAACACGGAAAAGAGAAGAGTCCGTCGACACGGAGGGATGCACCGCCGATGCAGTGTGGGAGAGAGAGAGAGAGAGACAGACAGAGAGACCCGCCGCCTCCTTTTGTCCCGGACCCGTTTCCTCAAAATGTGTCTAATGTGACAAGGAGGGCGAGGGCCAGGGGGGAGCGGGGCGGCGGGAGGGGGTGGGGGAGGGTGGGGGCACCGAGCACCGATGCAGCCTGTGAGCCCCTTTGCCTTTGAGTGCCGCCCCGCCCCGCCGCCCCGCCGTGCCCTGCCGCCCGGCCGAGGGGCCGTCCTGGATGTACCGGCGCGGGGCCCGGCCTGCCCAGCCTGCCGCAGCCGCTGTAGTGCGACGGCCAGGACGCAACCGCCATGAGGACAAGGACTTCCAGCATTCCAGCAGCCCATGACGATGACGCTGCTCTCGCTGGAGGAGGCGAAGGCCGTCGTGGCGCAGCAGCCGCCTGCCGGCACTCACTCGGCGCGTAGGATGGCCAGCGGCGCGACTTGCCGGCGCGGAGCTCTTCGCCATGGGGCCCCATGGCGTGCCTATGGTGTGCCTATGGCGTGCCTCTATGGCCATCTTGCCGCCTTTCCTGGCCGGGGCTGCCGGCGGGGCGGGGCGGGGAGGGCCCCATGGTGCGGCCCGGCCCTGCTGCGGCGCGGTGCGGCGCGGCGTTGTCACGTCGCAGAAGTGCGCTCGCCGCGCCTTTGAACGGGCGGCGGGATCTCTCTGAGGTCGGCAACGCCGCCGTACGCCGGCCGCACCAGGGGCCGCCCCGCCGCCCCGGCCGCCGCCTATAGGAAGGAGGGTGAGCGACTCGGCACGCCCCGCCCTTCCCTTCCCGCCCTTCCCCGCCAAAGCCGAGAGCGAGCCGAGACCTCCACGCCGTCCAAAGTGCCACCTGTTGCTCACGGCCGGACCGCGGCACCGCGGCTCGCACGCCGGGTACCACGACGTGGGTCCGGGTTCGAGTCCCGGCAGAGGGGCCTTCCTTTGCGGCACGCCTGGAGTCTGGAGTCGCCGCCATGAGACGCAGCTCTGATTGCTCCGAAGAGGCCCCACCGGTGCTCCAGCCTGCCGCACTTCTGGAGGCAACGGAGCGTTGGACGTCTCGAATTGGACGCGTCGTGCTGGACAGTCCTGGACAGAGTCCTGGACGGACAAGCTGGGCCTGGTCGTGCTCGGCCCTCGCCAGCACCGCCCCGGCACGGCCCGCTGTTCGCTCGTCTTGAAAATTCGATGGATCGGAACGTTCTGAGAAGCCGAGACGAAGGCAAGGGTCCGAGGCTACCACATAACAGCAACGCCACGCCACGCCACGCCACACCGAGGAAGGCAGGGCCGGGCAGGGCGCCCCCAGAGTCCCTGGAGTGGCGGTGCGGCTCTGGAGGCCTTTGGATGGCCAGGCCTGGCCCGGGCCGGGCTGGCCGGGCCACACGGAGTGGCTAAGCTCCGTCTCTGTCAGACTCGCAGGGCAACCGCACACACACGCTCACACGCACGCGTCTCGCACCTCATCGGCCTCCCCTGTGTTCGGCTTGGGCCCGAGTTCCGTGTAAAGCGACTTGGCCGGCGTGCCGAGGCCGTGATGGCAGGCCGTGATGGCAGGCCGTGATGGCAGGCCGTGATGGCAGGCCCTCCCACACTGCGCTGCACTGCTGCACTGCGACTCCCTAGAAGTCGTCATTCAGTCGGGGCAGATGGCGGGCCGGGCTTTAGTTTAGTTAGCGCGGTGTAGCAGGCATGTGTGCGCGTCAGCCAGGGCTTCAGCAGGGCGTCAGAGCCCAACAGCCGCTGCAATCCGATTCCGAACACTGGTCGCTCTCTCTCTCTCTCTCTCGCACCCCTTCGGCACGCCCCACGAGTGCGAGAGAGACAGCGACGAATCAGACGAGTGATTTAGAAGATGGGTCTCTGTCGCACTCCTATCCACACCCCCATGAATACGACAAAGACTGACTGGCGAGACGACTGTTCCGAATCGTTCGGCAGCCTGTGCGCATGCGGTGGGCCGGCCGGTCGCGGTTCGAATACCGGCGGCCGCTCTTTTCTTGACTTTGTGTCGCATTCCTTTTCCTGGCAGGGTAGGGTCGGGGTCGGGGCCGTCCTGGGTTGGGCGCGCGGACGGGCCTTCTGCGAACGTGGCGCGGCGTGGCTTGTGGGGGTGGAGGCCGCCGCCCGGTGGAGGGGCGGGGCGGGCGGCTCTGCTGGGAAAACACCTTCCTGCAGACTGATTCCGAGAGTCGTTTTCGTCGCCCTGTCTCTCTCGCACCTACACGAGGTGCCCCATGAGTGCGAGAGAGACAGCGACGAAAACGTCACTGCACCGCTGCGGTCCACGACTTTCGCGAGCAAATCGCCCCAAGTTTGCCCTGGCCGTTTGAATGGGACAGTGGGTGCCGCGGCCCCGCCCCGCCCCGGCGCACACAATCTGACACGCCTTGCACCAAAACGCAGCGCGGCACATCCTGTGCGTGCAGCACTCCGCGACTCGAGGCACAATGCGCCCCGCCCTGCAGTGTCTGCACCACGCGGCACTACGCATGCAAAGAGCCAAAACCAACGACGCGGGCTGGGCTAGGCCACAGAGGCCAGCACACTGATTCTGAGGGCCGTTTTTCGTCGCTCTGTCTCTCTCGCTCTCATGGGGTTTCCCCCTGTAGGTGCGAGCGAGACAGCGACAAAAACGACTCTCGGGCGGCGGGCCGGCACGGTTAGTACAGTGTAGCACAGGGCCTGCACGCCGCGCCGGACAAGATGAGGGCTTTTATCGCAGAGGCCAATCTACCGCCTACTCGGCGGTTGGGAAAAAGGACAGCGACACTCGAATGTAGGGTTCGAACCGGGGCTGTCTGTGTGTCACGCGGCAGCGCGCGCACACACGCACGCACACACGCACGCACACACGTACGCACGCTCTAAGACACACTCAGATTGGAAGAGTCGTGGCCAGGACCATGATTTAGGCAGATTCAAAATCACGTCCTGGCCAAAAATTTTTAGCATTTTTAGCCCGGCATGAGCCGTGACTTCCTCTCAGAGCACACATGCACACACGCTCCCGACCCCCCTCGCTCCCCCTTGTACGCACACATAGTGTTTGCCATTTTCTCTCAATTGAGAGTACTCACTCACCCACTCGGCTCCGCGGCCACGTCGCGTCGAAGAAATGAAACGGAACTCAGAAAGAAAAGCCAAACGTAAACAACGAGGCGACGATTGTGATGGGAACGCGGTCCGTGTGCTGGCGGCGCTGGCACACTGGTGCCACTCTGGGTAATTACCATTCAGCCTCGGGACTTTGATAAGGACTGGAGTGGCGTCGAGAGGCACGCCGACTGATAAAGTGTGCGTGTGTGTGTGTATGTGAGAGAGAGAGAGAGCGACACCTGATCGCCCGTCTGCTCGCGCTGCTCTCCGCGAGGCCAAAGTGCAGGGCAGGGTGCCGGGGGTCGCATTCCCCGGACGACGCCAAGGACGCGACGCAGTGCGGTGTCCGCTGTCCGAGCGACTCAGAAGAGCGCGCGGTCTGTCTCTCTCGCCCCCGAGCCGTGAGAGCGACAGAGGCCGCTTCGCTTCCGGACGGCTCGGCTAACCGCGCTCTCCGATTGGCTGTTTGCAGGTGGACGACGACGACGCGGGTGAGCCAGGACGCCCAGGATGAGCCGTCGGCGTTCGGCCTGACCGCGCTCTCGGCGCTCACCGCCCCGCAGCCCAGCTCCATGGCTCACATCGTCAAGTGGTGGCGAACTTTGGGGAAAACGCGCTTCTTCAACGGATACAAGCAGCTCTCGGGTAAGTGTCCCCTCCACTGACAGAAAGTCGGGGCGAGCTTCCGGCCTCGGCCGCGGCTTGCTGAAGGGCCTGCAGGGCCAGCGCCGGCCGACGGCCAGCCTGGCAGAGCAGAGCCGGCCAGAAACGAGAGCCAGGCGGAAACGAAAATAAATGGAACTCGGGGGCGACCGGGCGACCCCGACCGGGGAGGGGCCAATTTCGCCGAATGTTGTTGTTGATGATGATGATGATAATGATAGTGGCGGCGCGACGCTTCGTGGCGACTTTGCGCTGTGGGATGGCGACAGAGACCATTTCGGGGGGTTGGTGCAGTCTGGTGCACTTGGTGCGGGCCGCGCCGGGCCTCGCCGCAGCGCACGGCGGCAGCGTGCAGTCGGTGACTGGCGGTGACTGGGTTGCAGAGGCGCCGGCGTGGTGCGGCGTTGTTTACGTGCAGCCAGGACGTCACGGGTACCATTTGTTTTGCTTGCCCGGGTGTTTATCTTGGACGCCTTGCCTTGTGTACATGTGTGTGTGTGTGCGCGCGCGCGTGTCTGTGAGGACGTGCGGAAGTGTGGCTGTGTGTGTGCGCGATAGAGAGAGTCATGCAGACAGACTTTATGAATGGGCGTCTTATCATCACACACAAACACACACACACACACACTCACAGACGCATACACGTACGTACACACGTACGCCGCGGGTAGGGCAGTGCTCTACCGGCAGGGAAAAGGCAACCAGTCACTCGGCCCGGCCGGCACGTCCGCGCGCTCCGCGCCCCGCGTCCCCGCGCGGCTTGAAACGCGACACCCTCCATGATCCGGGTCTCGATGGTCTCGAAAGCGTGGGCCGGCTGCAGCAGACTCATTCCGAAAGTCCTTTTCGTCGCTCCGTTCTCTCTCTCTCTCGCACTCGTGGGGCGCCCACGTGGGTGCGAGAGAGATAAAACGACGAAAGCGAGTCTCGTCGCGGGTCCACCTCGGCGTCCACCTCGGCGGGCGACGCGTCTTTTGTCTCTCGATTACCGTCGGGACACGTCGGGGCGCGGTGGGTGGTTGTGCCGTCGCACCGCGTCGCGCCGCCGTCGCCGAGGTCGTGGCCGTGGACTCGGCACGTCTGGGCGGCCCTTTTCCCGGGACACGGCCACCCTGGTCCGGGCTGCGGCGCTCCGCGGGGGGCGGCAGGGCGACCGGCGCGCCGCCCAGACGTGCCGTGTCGAGCTTCGTGAAAATTTCCTGTAGGCCTCTGTCTCTGTCGAGGCCGTGGGTGAGGCTGAGGTGTCTTTGTGACCCTCATGACCAACATATCCTACGTGGCGGTAGTGTGGGGGTGGTGGCGTCGTCGGCGTGCTCGTCGTGGCGCTAGCGTGTCCGGGGCGTCGGGAAACAAGAACGAGTTTGCTCGGTGCGTTTGTCTTGGCCTCCAACTGTCAAAGCTAATGTTTATTCGCACGGCCGCTTTCCCGGGCGGGGCAGGGCGGGGCGCCTGAACCATGTTGATGCTTGCCTCGGCCTCGGCCTCCTCCCAGCACGCCAAGGGCCTCGGCCTCGCCAGGGTGATAGTGAGTTGATAGTGGGTCGAGGCGCGTTGCGTTGCAGTGTGTCGCGGTGCGTTGCGCGTTGCACGTTGCACCGGGCTTGCCGACGGCCCCCTAGGCACGCCAGCGGCACGCCAGCGGCACGCAAGGGACCGGAGGCTGCGCGCGGCGCGCTGCACGAGGCGGCAAGGCAGTGCTGCTGGTGCTGCTGCACCCCCGCGCTGCTCGGCTCGGCCCGGGGCCCGGCGCGGCGCGGACTCGGCTGGGCTCGGACTCGGCCCGCTCGGCTCGCACCCCGGCACACTGCACGGCCTGCACGGCCTGCACGGCCGGCCCTTTTTGTGCCGCTGCCTGCCCTGCTGCTCCGCCCCGCCCCTCCCCTCCGGCATTTTATTATGTTAGGCACAATGGCACACCTTACGGTGTTGTAAAAGTTCTCTGAAGAAACGCGCCGCGCCGCCCGTATAGAGCGACGCCGTGTGCCTGCAGTGTGCCTGCAGTGTGCCGGCACATCCCTTTGGAGGGCCGCGCGGCCCGGCCCCTAGAGCCCCTAGAAGCCCCTTGAATAAATTGAAACTTGAGACGCAGAGGCGGCGACGAACGCGGCAGCACCTCACCTTGCTGCGGCACTGCAGCTTGCAGGTGGCGGTGGCGGCGCGGAGAGCGGCGCTGTCGGTAGTGCAAGCCTGCAAGCCGGTACGGGCGAGATCCGAAACGGCGATACGACGCGCACTCCCTCACTCACACAGACGCCCACTCACACACACACACACACACACACACACACACACACACACACACACAGCTCGCCTTCCAGTAATTAGCCTTTCGGGTTGGGCCGTTGGCTCGGCCGTTGGGCCCGGCACTGCTCTCCTTTATCCTGCCTGCCGGCCGCCGCTCCAGCCGTGGCTCCAGCGCTCCAGCGCTCCAGCCGGCCCTCTCCTCCGACGCGGCAGCTGTCCGCTCCGGGACGGCCCCCGCCGTCGCCGCCGTGTGTTCGGTGACGAGCCTAGCCGCGCGCCGTGCACGTCGTGGACGCCGTGCGGTGTGCCGTGGCCCCGCCAGGCTCCGCCGACAAGGCGGGCCTGTCCGTCTGTAAACAGGATGTCCGCTGTCTCGGCTCTAGTCGTGCTCGTCCGCCAGGGTCCGCCTCCCGCGGAGGGTCCTTGTCGTGATAGGGGGAGGGGGAGGGGGTCATCTGATAAGCGGCAGGCGTCTTGTCGGCCGGCCGCCAGCTGAGCCAAACTTATCTTTGCTTCTTCCTTAAACTTCGACTTGTAAGCGACGCCCGTCGCGGCCGGAAGACGCGTGGCCGCGACCACGGCGCCGCCGCCACGGCGACTGCGACGTCAGGACGACGTCAGGACGCCGGCACGACACTGTCCGGCAGGATGTATCATCTTCACCGCGCGTGGTCGGGTTACGCTGCCGCTGCTGCGGCGCAGTGCGGCGCAGTGACCCCGGCGAGGGTCTAGCCGTCTAGCCCTTGAGTCCGCGACCACAGAGCGTGGCCCAGGCCCAGGGCGGCTTGCCCCGGGACGACGCCCCCCCCCCTTTTCCCCCTGAGCTCCAGGAGGGCGTAGAACGTCCGTGAGGGGAACGTTCTCCCGCGGTTTCTTCACCACGCCTGAATCTCCATTCGCTCTGTCTCTCCCGCACCTCGGAGGACTATCTCAGTGCAAGGCACTTGTTGCGCGGGTCGCCTAACATCCGAGGATCCCCCCTTCCCCTTCCCCTCGAACTCGATTCGCCGCCCTGACAGCCTTGACAGTGTAGCCGGCGAGTGGCGCTGGCGGGGCGCACGGCGGCACGGCGCACCGGTAGCCGTGTTTAGCCGTCCTAACGTGTTCTGGGCCCTCTGGCCCCGGCACGGCGTCCCTAAGGCGCCCCGGCCCTGCCGGCCCTGCCGACGCGTTGGCCCCCTCCCCCCTCCCCGTCGCCCCGCTGCTATCGGCAATCACAAATTACACGCAACCCTCATCTTTTTTCTCTTTTCCCCTCCGCGGCCCCTCCTTGTCCCCGTCCGTAGGGCGCAGGGCCCTGTGGACTGATTCCGAGAGTCGTTTTCGTCGCTCTGTCTCTCTCGCACTCGTGGGGCGTCCCGTTCAGGTGCGAGAGAGACAGAGACTCTCGGAATGAGCGCGAAGGCCGTAGGGCCCGGAGCCCCTTAATCAGCCCCCCAGCCGCCCGTACACTGTACGCCGTACCGCCGTACACCTCACGCCCTGCGCCTCACCTTGCCCATCGACGAACACGGCGAACACCTAGGGCAGCGTCGGCACACTGTCGGCACCGTGGCGTGGTGGCGGTGGCAATTACGGCTCTCTCTCTCTTTCTCTCCCTCTCTCCCTGTCCCTACCTCTCCCTCTCTCTCTCTTCACTTCCCTCTTCCACCTCTGTCCGTACTTACGGCGCCGACCAAGGGCTTGTAAAGAAAAGGGCAAAATACCGTCGGAAACTCAAATTTTGTTTGAATCTTGCCTCTGTGCGCGCTCCGCCTGGCCTTTCTTTCGTCATCCGTCGTTGTTTCGTCGTATGTGGGTTCTAATCCCGCTGTGGTGGGATTTTCCCCTCTCTCTTTTCAGTGTCTCTGAACGCCACACGCTGGGCGCGCGCGCGCGCTTTGGAGCGCTGTCGTTAGGCTCACATCGCCGTGGGCCGGTCGGCTTGAGTCCACCACGGGTCATTGTAAGGTGCGCGGAAAGTCGAAAAAGGAGAGAGGGGAGGGGGAGGGGGCTCGAATCTCGGCGGCCGACTTCAAAGCGCGCGAGCAAGGCAGGGCAGGGCAGGGCAAGGCAGGCGTGAAAGGGGCCGGCTCGAAGGCTCGAAGGCGTGGCCCGGGGAAGGCAAGCATCCTGCTGCGATTAAAAGCAATCACGTGTGTGTGTGAGTGAGTGTGTGTGAGAGAGTTAGTGTGAGTGTGTGTGCGCGCGCGCACCCGGGAGGCAAGAGTGCGCTAGTGTACTTCTATGAAAAGTAAATGCAAAAGCATAAAACTCTTCTATGCCTCGTAAGTAAAACCTATGGATGGCTTCATACAATCGTACTTTCCTACCATTTTCCCCGTTTGGTCATGATGGGGGGTTAGGTTAGGCGTGCTTTCGGACTTGGAATTGATGGAGGCTATGTCCTGTTATGGTCGCACATCCGATCGCGTTTCGCGTTTTTACACACACGACCCGCGCACATTTGGGCTCGGAGCCGCCACTCTCGTACACGCCCAAAAAAGCCGTGCCTCTGTGGTTCAAGCTGTCTCGATGAAAAATGGTGGAATGCACATCACAAAGCAAGCCGAAGAACAAAGCCGCCGACAACACTTTGTGTGTGAGTGTGTGTGTGTGTAGGTGAGTGCGAGTGAGGGAGAAGGAGGGAGGGAGAGAGGATGGCCGAGTAGGGCGGACAGAGAGGAGCCTGTTCGCCTCTCCTCCTGCTCCTCACTCTCCTCACCTCATCTCCGCTTCTCTTCTTTGCCGCCCGTTTCGTCACGGTGGGGAAAGGGGAGGGAGGGAGGGAGGGAGAGAAGAGACCACTGCACCATCTCTGCGCCGCATTCGCCGCGCATGGAACACACCTCGGGCGCGGCGCGGTCCGCCTGACATGTCGTGTCCAATCATTACTAATTCGCCTCCCCCTCCCCTTTCCCCCCCCCCCTCCACTTCCCCTCCCCTCCCCCTCCATCCGCCCAGGCAGCCGAGGCACTGGCCGGCCGTCTTCAATCATCAACATCCGCCAGAAAGAACGACGAGGGGCGAAATTCGCTACAAAATTGCGAGAGGGCCGCCGCTTGGCCGCGCGAGTTGGAGTGGGCGCGTCGTCGGCGCGGCGCTTCCGCCAGCACTGCCGGTGTGCCGGGTCCCCGACTGCCGGTGTGCCGGCCAAGGCCCCGCAGAGCGCCGTGCGGGTAGGCCGCCGCCGCGCACGCGGGCCGTGCGGCGCGGCCGCGCAGCCAGGCGCTCCCGTCGCCCGGCGTTGCGTCTCGTCGCTCCGTCTCTGTCGCACTCATTGCACTTATCGCAGGGGTGCGAGAGAGACGGAGCGACGCGCGCTAATCTTGCAAATTGGCCCGGCACGGCACGGCCGCGGCGCGATACGGGAATCTCCCCACAATTAAGGCATTAATCGATTTGTGCGTGCGCGCGCCGTGTGTATGTGTGCGTGTCCGTGATAGTGTGTGCGTGCATGCAGCGCTGTGACTCACCTAGTGTGACGCCACAATAGTCGAGGGCTTAAAGCTGATCCCCGTAATAATGACGATGCTAATGAGCAACAAGCGCGCTGGCCGCGCTGGCCGATGATCCATTTTTCCGGGGCTGTCCGAGGAGACCTGGGAAAAGTGGTCGGAGGTGGACGGAGGGGGGGGGGGTCTTTAATCCAGATCAGAATCGACGTTTGATTCGATTTCGTCGAAACCGAAAATGCTGAGCCGCTCCGCCACGCCCCTCAAACACAGTGTAGGCTTGATTGCCGTGCGTGTGCGTGTTCCCGCGTGCGTGCGTGCGCGCGCGTTGCTCACAGTCTTGCCGATGTTGCCGGCGTCAGAGTCACTCGTGTCGTGTCATTGTCGTGGAAGTTGGCGGAGCACTCTTTCGGCGCACGGCGAGCGCGGCGACGCGGGGGTACAGCACGAGGCACTCCATGAGGTACACCCGGAGGCATGGCGGCGAGGACAAGGCTCTCGGCACGATGCGTCGCGGGGCGGGGCGGGGCGGGTTCCTGTGAGGCGTGCCGCCGTGCCGCCCGCTGCCTCACGGGTCGGGCCGGCCGGGCCGACAGAACCAGTTTCCACATGAAAGGTGCCGCCACTGCCGCCATGAGGCTGGGCTGCCTGGCTGCCTGACTGCCGCCATGGGGCCGTGGCGTGGCGCGCCGCCAGCGCCGCCAGATAGGCCTGCTCGCCAGCCATGGCCAGCCATGTCAGGCCGGCGGGCCGGCGGGGCGGACGGTCGGACCGCGCAGGCAGCCGGGCCGGGGCATGACCGGCGGGTACCTTCTCTGTCAAAAGCGCCCTTCACTCGTCGCGATCCGCGCACGTCGCTGCCTGGCGGCCGGCGCGATCCTGGACGACCGCCGCCGACGGGCACCTCGGGGGACGCGAGGCAGCGAGGCAGCCAGTCCTGCCGGCACTTCTTGGCGGTCATGGCGGGCCTCGCTTTTACTCGGTGGCCGTTGGACCGGCCGAGCCTAAAGGCCTTACAGACAGAGCCTAGAGGCCTTACAGACCGGCCGAGCCTAGAGGCCTAGAGCGAGCCGAGCCTAGAAGCCTCGCGGCCAGGCCGAGGGCCAGGCCTGCCAGGCCCTAGCGCTAGCGGCAACGTGCCGTCCCGTAATCACCATTATAATACTGCAATAAAAGAATACGCTGCCTCGGCCGCGCCGCGCTGTTGAAGGTAAAGGTAGAGCCCCGGCCTGGCGGCCTGGCCCGGCCGCCTTGCCGTCGAGAGGAGCCGACGGGCCGACACAGACCGAGCTCGACTCGGCCGGGAAGGACGGGTTTCGAATGTGAGAGAAGGGCGCGACGACTGTGACTCGCGGCGACTTGGGACTTTGGGCAGGTGGTCCTCACCCTCACGCCGAGAGAGGCAGTGTAGCAGCGGAGCTCGGCGGGAAGGCACCGGAAGTGGCGTAGGGATTGGCGGTGTCGTTGAAAGGGGCAGGGACCGCAGGGACAGAGGGACTGGAAGGTGTAGGCGGCGAGCAGGAGGAGATGGAGCGGTGCCTTTAGCGTGGACCTGACGCCGATGGCGCGCAGACTCGGCCCCTCTCCGGCGTGCTTGGCTGCGGCGCGGCGGCGCGGCGTCGTGCCTCGACTCGTCGCGTCGCGTTCCGGTCTCTTGAGGAGCCAGTCCGGCGGAGAAGAAGGATTACATGTTGTTGTCGTTTTTGTTGCAGCGCTCCAGCAGGACAGCCATGATGGCCGGTCGGACACGGAAGAGCTGCTGCTGGGCGGACGTCCGTCGCCCTCGCCCTGCCCGCCCTGCCCGGAGCCCCCGCGGGAGAGCAGGGAGAGCCTCCCCAGTGCCGTGCCCCCGCCGGGCCAGGACCTGCAGGGCCTCAAGGAGCGGGAGCGAGAGCGGACTCCCAGCCAGGAGCGCGCCGCACGGCGAGAGCGCCTGCCGAGCCCCGACCGGGAGAAGGACAAGGAGCGCGAGAAGGCCGACAAGCCTCAGCCTCAGCAGCCCGAGCAGCAGCCCAACCGGCAGATCAACTTCGAGGAGTTCGAGTGCGACGTGTCGGTGGAGGGCGGAGTCGACGAGGCCGGCCAGGAGCGGCAGGAGTTTTCCTTCACGCTGTACGACTTTGACGGCCACGGCAAGATAACCAAGGACGTAAGTACGCTGACACTGCGTGTCTAGCCCTGCTCGTGTTGCACCTCGTTCGGCCTGGTTCGCTACACTGTGTCTCTCTGCCTCTGCAGGACATCACGGGGCTGGTCAGCACGATCTACGAGACGCTGGGGGCGTCCATCACGGTGCCCCACTACGGAAGCAAGACCATCAAGGTCAAGCTGACCGTGTCGCCGGACAAGCGACACGGTGGCTCCAAGGGCGCCACCGCCACCTACGCCAACACCGCCACGTACGTCAACAGCGGCGTCACCGGGTCCGCGGCCGCCGCCGACAACGCCGCCGAGCCGCAGACGACGCCGCCCACGCGGGTGCGCTTCAAGCGGGACCTCAACGTGACCATCCAGGAGCGGCGGCCGCTGCGGCAGACCACGCGCAGGGCCTCCAGCGCCAGCGTGCGCCGGAGACCGTCCGCCGCGGCCACGGCGGTCGCGGCGCAGCGCGAGCGGGAGCGCGAACGCGAGCACAGCGAGGACAGGGGCTACGTCGTGCACAGTTGCGGCAGCAGTTGCCGGGGCAGCGGCCCGGGTAGCGACGGCTCCGGCGAGGACGAGGACGTGGACGACGAGGAGGACGACGGCGAGGGCCGCCCGGCCACCGGGCTGTCCCCGGCCAGTGTGGCGGCGGCGGCCGCGACCGCGGCGACAGTGGCGACCGCTGCGGCCAACGTCGCCAACGGCTGCCAGTCGCCCCACGCCAAGAAGCGCTCCTCCAGCATGCAGCGGCAGGAGCTGCTCCAGATCATCCAGGCCAACATGGAGAAGAACAATCTTTGTTTCCAAACCGCCAAGTGAGTTGGCTTTTCATTCTCTGTGTCTAGTGACCTTGAACCCCCGGACATGCCTGGGAATTTTGTCGTGCAGGGAATCCTGAAACTCAAACCACATTGCTCTCTTGCAGGAAATCTTGTGCGGAGAAGACAGGCCTGGAGGAAAGGAGACACAGTCACAGTGGGGTGCACCCGCACCACCGTCGCCAGAAGCAAAAGGCTCCTCCGCCGGTCTCCCTGTCAGCATCGGCTTCCCCGCAACGCATATATGACTATGCCACCACCCCCTACTATGTCAATCTGGCCGACAAGGGAGAGTGCCCGGGGGATGCTGACACGTACAGATACGTCGTATGCACTCCGAAGCACCAGCCCACCTACCACAATGTTGTAAGTATTTTTACATACCTCTAGAAAAGTGTTCCTCAAGTCACATGTGTTTGCATTAGTTCTTACAACCCTGCCTCTTTGCTTCTTTACCAGCCTTGCCGAGAACGGGGCCACAACAGGTCGCGCTCCCACGACCTGACCACAAATTCAAATACTCACAGCCACGCTCACCAGCACAACCATAGTCATTCTCACAACCCTGCCGCACCCCTGTTCCGCTACACTCTGCTCCAAGAGGACACCACCAGCAGTGTGCAGGCTTTCCACGTGAGGCCGTCTCGGTCCCCAGCGATCACCAGAAGAGCGCGGCTACCGCCCACTGCCGTCGGCCACTCTGGAGTCGGACACACCGCCGTGGGGCACACGTCATCACCACACCACCTGAAGCATCGGAACCGCGAGCAGGACCAGGCGAGGGCGATGGCACAGGTGAGTGTTGAGTGCTACGACTTGTCTTTATCTACGTCTGCTGATTTTACACACTTCTAAAGGCCGATTCTACTCTTACTTTTACAGGTCGTTCAGTGGCTTGAGCAGGAGTTTTCAGCCTCACTCAATACGAGGACTTCTGCTGGAGTGCGGGAGGTTCTCATCAACGCAAAAGCCCAGCGCACGAAGAGCAAAGCCGCCGCATTCGCGCCGGTCCCCGAAGCCCCGCCCCCGCCCGCCCCATCCGCCCCATCCGCTGCGCCGAACGCTGCGCCGAATGCCCATTCCCATTCCAACTCCTCTCGACCGGACGAGGAGCCGAGCCCCTCAGGTCCTGGAGTGAAGCAGCACGAGCACCATCATGTTCATGAGCACATTCACCATCACTATCACCATTACCAAGACACCTCGCCAGTATTAGTTTAATTTTGGGTGGGTTATTGCATGTTAAAATTTATTTTACATTCCAATTTTGTACTTTACTGATTTAATTTAATTGTGCTGTTTTTAGCATATCTATGGTTTTTAGCTTTACTGTGTTGATAGGAACTTTTTTTTTTAAATCAGTGATTGCATATATTAGAAAGGATAAAGCCAAAAGTTGTAAATATATGAGGTATTATTTGTTGTAAAGAATTGTACCATTCTTAGAAACATTTACTGTAGTTATTACTGGTAAGACGTATGGAGAGCCATTATTTTTTATTTAACTTAATGAGAGTGAAGTTCATATTGAACTTTAAAGTTCCTAGCCTGCTCAGCAGGTGAACCATTTTTTCTATTTTCCATTCAGGTCATCTCAGCCTTCAATGCAGTTTATTATTTAAACAATTCCTTCTTTCAATTGTTTGGAAAATATAAACAAGACTTACCGCATTTGAATCTGGACATAGCACTCAAGTACTCTGACGAGTGTTCGTCTTTAGGGGCCTGTTCCTTCATTCCTCCTTCCCTTCATCTTTCTTAAATTAATTTTCTTAACACTGATCATTTTTTAAAAAGTGTAATGGGCAATGTTTTTGCTTATATCTGTCAGCTTTCATCTATGTTTGCATCATGCTCATTTTCACCTCCTTACCTTCATCATAATATGTCTAAGAGTGTAACCATGTGACTGCAACAGTGGTTCATGTGACCTGCTAGTCTCCTTGTATGTTTGTTTTAAAATTATGTGTACATTATCCAGAACTTTTGACTTATTCACTTTTCTGTTAGAATTGCGTTGTAGGGTAACTTTGTATCTAGTAGGTGTCCAATAGTGCTGCAATATTTTTTTTCCAACATACTGTACTTGTGTTCGTTTTCTCTGTATAAGGTATTTATTTTTGCATAGCTCCAATTATTATGTACCTTTGCACTGTGTTTTGGGTCCAAACTGTTAACCAATTCGTGGTCAACATTTTACTGGTGGTAGTAGTTTTGGACATCAACCAATTGTAGTAATTTTGTAGTTATCTCTACCCAAGTTCCTTAATTTTCTGTCAAGTTGTAATTTACGACCTTAGCGATCGTTTTCATGAAAGACCCCAATCTGCACCATGACTCTGAGCTGAGACTGTTGTTGTTTGAATTATGGAAGTAGAGGGTAATCACCTAGAGGTGTCTTCTATGTCTTGTGTTTATGTCTTCTATGACTGCACTGAAAAGTATTACTTGCCATGAGATGCAAAATAATATCAATTTCAATTGGAGCCACTTGAAAGACAAATATTAGATGTTCAGTTGGACATACTTTGTTTTAAAACTACCGTTGTTTGTTGTTAAAATCTTTGTTACATTTGATATTTTCATGTGGATTACATGATTTCTGGTTGTAATTGTGGATGTGTGAATATGTGGCTTTGTGTGTGGTGACTGTACATGTATTGATGATTTGTATATGTATTGGAGATCTTTGATAAAGTGTATGATATAAGTGAACCTACACATCTAGGATTTTGGGTGTGAATTTATTATAACTTGTTAACAGATTGTTCTTGGAACAAAAAGTGTTGTTGTTTATTGTTAACATCCCACTTGATGGGAAGTCACACTTGATTCCATTGACTAGAAAAATATCAAATTGTTCATTACCTCTTTAACTCATATTTGTATTGCTCTGTTTATGAATTGCAAAGTAACAGGAAATTTGCTAATAAATTTGATACATATGTAATTGATAAATCAATCTTGTTGTTATTGAATGTCTGAGGAGAAATTGACAGCGTGAACAAACATAGCTCCACTTAAACTTTATTTCATGTTTACAAACATATACATCATATATTTATATACAATAAACTATAATAATTTTACAAACATAAAATCATAAGGTAAAATAAGGTGAAGATAACATCACTCAGCAACACACAATAAAGAATAGAAAACTGAGTATTGATATTTCTGGTAGAATACATGATATTTCACATAGCTAGCTCAATTTAACAGATGATAGTAAACAGAAAAATATAAGCATGCACATTCAGCACAAAAGTGGTAAGTTTCACAAATGCTGAGGACAAATCACAGACCAAAAAATATTTCTACACTACCAACAATCCGAGTTTACAAGATTCTATTTCTACTGACACTGAGAATAATGAGGAATGCTCTTTTGTACTTAAAAATATAGGAGGCTACGTACATAGACTGATTGATGACAATAAAGGACAGGTCAGTAGACATTTTGAGGGGGGAAAACGACTAAAGGTTTCGTGATTATGCCACAAGCCAGTGCCTTACTTAAAATACAGCTAGACAATGTTAGATAAGAGGCAGTGTTGCAGGGGGCAAGCTTTTAAAAGATTGTCACATGTAGAGTTTTTGGAACACTGCAAAAGAAAGAAGCATAACATTGACAGCATTCTTGAAACAGATCATTCATTAGCACAAAAAAATATTTTTAAAATAAAATGGGACAACAACATATACACATATTGAGACTTAAAGATAAGATTCCTAGCCACACAAATTGTTAATGTGATAAAGTGATGTGAGAGTTATGTTTCATTGCAACATGCTATACGGCTACAGTTGAACTTGCCCAAACTTGTCTATAGAAAGAAAGTCATGTGCAGCCAAGAAAAAGATGTTTGAGTGATATCTCTATAGCAATAAAAACTATATCACAAGACCCTTTTCATAGAGTCCAAACAAACTGGATTCAGTTCATACCTCATCCCAGTTGGTACACAAAGATTGGACTAACACAGATTGTTCAAGACTTATTGATCAAACAGAAAAAAATGAAAATAAATTTCATTACTAAGCTAAAACACAATTAATGAGCTTCTAGAAGTAAAGCCGGACTGCTTTCGGCCGACGAAGGGCATACCAAGCAAGTGGTCATAGAGCAATACACACATGCAGACACACTCACACAAACACACATACTGTACACGCACGCGCACACGCGCGCGCGAACACAAACGCACACACACCCACACACAGGTATCATTTCTTAAAGCATCATGAAGGAGACTGCAGCATTCATCAAAGTCAGTCTGCACCATAGTTTTAACGGACTGCACATATTAACATCAAAGATCTATCCAATGGCATGAGTTTAAAAAAAGAATCATGCATTTGTAACATCGAAAGCCCCTGTAGAGAGCACTATCAAGCTGCGCTACAAGGGAACATTTTTTTTCACTTTGTTTTAAGTATAGCACGTCACCAGACATACAATCACAGTGATTCTCCCACATGCATCAGCACAGAAGCACAAATATGATAGAGTGTCAAATTCGAAAACTTTCACTCTCTTTCTTTTACCCATCTACTAACGAAAGAAAAGAACTAGAAATATTGAAGACAAAAGTCAATGAAATTTGGGCACAAAGATACTCAAGTGGGCAAAGATGACACAGATAATACAAAGGTCATAACACATACATGTATTTTTACTTGGCTAGTCACAGAACTTTTTTAAGCAAATCACAAATTCTACCATGAGATTACTACCTATACCTTAAAATTCGAAGCCAGTTTGCCTTGTCACAGTAGCACGAAATTCAAGCAAAGGGGAAAATGTTACCATTTACTTTCCCTTTTCAAACTGGGCAAATAGGAATTTGGGAAACAGAAAAAATATTGACATCCTGATATCTTCTATCAGAACTATAAAACCAAACACCAGAGTGTTGAGGCCTATTTTAGATTTTTTTCTTTTCAAAATGTTTTTTTTTACTTAGCAAGCAATAAAGAATTCAATAAATATGCTACTTCAACTCAGTCCAAAATCTTAGCTATTTGTAACTGATGTAAACCAAGTAATAAAAATAGGTGGACATCACAGCTCACAGCTGAGATTTCTGACATAATGAGACTTTTGACATAAGAGTTCATTCTTTCAAATGATTCTTTTCCACTTCATAAAACAAGCAAGCACAACAATAAAAAAAAAGAGAGAATTTGGTCAAAAAAATTAGGACGGTCTAAATCTCACAACAGTTGCATTTTCTGCTCACTCAAGAAAAAAGAGAGATATACGTAAGTAAAATAAGAGATATTTGTTAGAGAACTAAGCATAGACACCTCACAACAAAAATAAAATTATAAAAGTACAATACAACTAGCAATAGTAGTGGTTGAAATAAGAAAAAAATTTCTAGGTAGAAATTGCTTCCAACCACAATCTTTCATAGGTATAAGAGAGAGGTGAATACAACATGGTAACTTGCCAGGAACATTTGGGGCATTTCATGGAGAAACAAAATATAAATTAAAACAGAAGATAACATAGCAAAGTAAAATAGCAAAAAAAAGTGATGCTGGTATGAATATCCAAACACAATGCTACATCCCTAAAAAATAATGGAGTGGAAATCCACTTGACACTTGTAAGAGCTACTACACTCACAATGCACAAGCATGATTAAATTAAAGCTTTAGTCCATAAGCAATAAGACATTCCTTTTTCACAAAACAGCATATGAAAGCCTTAACATTTTCTAGCCAAAACTCTTCAGTGACTAGAGAGAAATTAGGCAAAGCTCTCCTGGCTAGATGAAACAGAAGGTGTTGGAGAGGGGGAGGTCGGTGGGGTCTCCACAAGTGCAGCAGCATCAGAAGTTGATTCCTCACTAACTGGTTCACTTCCTCTGTTGATAGCTCGCAACAGAGACGCCATGACCTGGAACCAACCAACACATTTCTTCAAAACAGTGTAAGGTGCCCCAAACAACCACTTTGCAGTCTTATTGCAACCCTTAGGAAGCCGCCTGAGGTGTGAACGCTCAGGCACTCAGTTCCATCGAGTTGCCCGAAAGATTGTGTTTATGCAATCAATTGATTTGGTCCAGCTGTAAGCAGAACAAACCTTGACACTCGGTGGGGGTGCAAATTGAGGAGTGGGAGCCGCAGGGGCGGCGGCCTCAGGTCGCTCTTCGGCCGTCGGGGTGTAGGGAGGCAAGCTGCTCATGGGGCAAGGCGGGCAAGGTGCCGGTGCCGGCGTGTAGGGCGGCAGGGGCGGCAAGTCTCCGGGGAAGTCCCCGGGGAAGTCCCCAGCACCTTGCGGCCCTTGCGGCGCTCCAGGCTGGCCGGCGTTGGCGCAGCCTCGCGAGTGGCGGCGACCTGAACCATGGCGGCGCGACCTCCGATTACGATCATGTCCTACATAGAGTCAATCACACATTTCAACAAATATTCCAGATTTGTTAGAACGGAACAAAGTAATGGCGGGGAAGACGCACCACTGTGTACTCTTGGCTGGGACCCGTTGGGGTTGATGGAGTTGATGGCAAACGGATAGACACAAGCGGGTGGTGGCGGCGGGGCATCGCCGACAGCCACGGAGTAGGCCGGAGGAGGTTCCCGGAAGTAGAATTCTTCATCCCCAGGCAACGTCGGTATTGACGGCAAGGCAGTGGCGCATGACCTTGATGGGCAAAAACAAGTTGGAACCGTCAATTTAGTTTGGACCACTTGGGTTCCAAGTGTCGAATAAATGAAACCGAGACAGACCTGGGTGATGTGGATGTTGTCTGGGAGGCGGCAGAGGCGCTTTGGAGCTGCGCATTGCTGCTGCTGCCACTGCTGCTGCTTCCTCCCAGTCCCTTCAGGCTCAGGCTGTACAGGCGGCACGTGCATCCGACCGCGATCACCAGCAGGAGGCCGCATAACAATGAGCCCATGATTGCAGCAGTGATGACAGAATTCTGAAATATAAACAACACGAATGAATTATTTCGATCAGCGACTATAGGAAGGGAGCATTTGAAATCTGAATTCCATCCAACATACCCGAATGCAGCCTTGCTCATCGCTGCCGTCGCCGCAGTCGTCCACTCCGTCACACCACAGTCGCTCGGCAATAGTGCCGCCGGATCCGCAACCGAATGTGTCACGCATGTAGTCAGATTCATGCTTGCAGTGCATCTCATCAGAACCGTCCTCACAATCTTCCACATAATTGCACCTTTCGGACGGGCGGAAACATCCATGGCCATTAGCACAAGCAATAGATTCTCGGCAGTTGGGTTCTGCAAACGAAGGTTCATAGAAAATGTGTGGAAATGACGCAAATATTTAAAGTGTAATGTGATTCAAGTGATATATTACCACAATCCATCTCGTCTTCCCCAAGAGGACAATCCAAGATTCCATTGCAGCGATCGAGGTAGGGAGAGTAGCACTTGCCAGGCTGGGAGCCACACTCAACTTGTCCATGAGGGCAGAAACCTGTCACAACAAACAGATCAAATGAAAAGGATTCATGAGAAATATTGACCATGCCTTTTTCGCATTGAAACCCTATCTGAATCTCATTTCCAACTACATCCTACACTACTATGCAGATGGAATATAGTTAACCACCCACCACAATCTGCTTCATCAGTGTAATCTTGACAGTCTGGAATGCCATCGCAGGTCTGAGAGATACGATAACATCCATGTGTGTAACATGGCATAGAACCTGGGCTACACCCTCCACAACCATCCTCATCCAGACCAGACTGACGGCAGTCCCGATGTCCATCGCAGCGTTGGGTGTGATTATTATAACACCCAGAGTCCAAAGGACCGCACTCAATATGATATAGATTGTTGCAGCGGCTCTCTATCAACAGGATTGACTGTGAAACACTTGCATCTAAACAAGTTTCACTAGACACATACATTTAACTGTAAACCTTACCTTCTATTCTCTTTTGATTAAGTTTAGGGCAGTTTGCCTCATCAGCACCATCAATGCAATGTGAGATTCCATCACACCGCCAAATTGGAAGGACACACTTTCCATTGTCACATTGAATTTCGTTTTCAGCACAGCCCACTCGTTGTCGTGGATCTGGATGAACAATGAAGAGAAATCAGCAATTGCTATCCACAAAATGGTGAAGGGAAACAAGCAAAAACTTACTGAAAGTGTAATGTAGCTGGAATCCTCTTCTCATATTCTGGTTGCCAACAGAATGGAATTTAATATGTATACTTTTGCCAGGATTGTTGATAGTGAATTCTCTCTGTCTCAAGGTCTCATTGTGTCCACATAACTGAACATTGGATGGTGTACTACCAATGTCTTCAAAAGGTAATGAGAGCCAACTGCGTGTGCAGCAAGGTCCGAACGTCTCCATCAGACACTTCAAATCCTGCTCCATGTCTAAATCCCTAACACTACAATCAAGAGAAATAGAAACACGTAAGTTTAAATACAAAATAGTAGGAATTTTAAAATAAATGCCATATATGAACCACATTGTTACTCACACAATGGTTAATGACGCAACATTTTGTCCAGGAGAAATTATATACCACGTACAACTTGTAGAATTTGGATATGCTTGAGGATAATCAGGGCTGTTGATAGTACCCTCCCACTTCTTGAATATGGCACTGCATGGTGAAGCCCGTCCTCCAGCAACATTGGCCACTGCATTATGAGAATTCATGTTGTAAATACAGGAAAATAGAAACAAAACTAAGGGATGTTTCATTCTTGATGGAAAATAACTTACCTAGAAATAAAGAGACTACTAAATAAAACGACAATCTATTTATGGAATTCATCGTGGCCTTGGATATTTGTTAACCCCCTGCAACAAATTAAAAATAATATTAATGAAAATTGATTGTGACCTCGTGACTAATGGAATAATTTCCAACAAATATCGAATTTAGTTTTCTACATCAAATTTCAATTGGAATACATGGCTAACCTAATGCACAAATCAAACTCCTAAGCAAGTAAAACCATCAATAAAGCTAACTTGCATTTGCAAGACAGCAATAAAAACATGAGCTCAACAATCTAAACACTTGGACCTTGAAAACATCTTCAGGGCTTGCAACAGTTTGACTTGAGATCTACGAGCGACATTCGAAGAAGAAACAGGAGGAAACGTTGATAAAAAACGAAATACGTCGATGACGTATTATTCCAGGACAAGACTGTGTTATGAAGCGAGCCCAAAAACGTTTGACACTGAACTAACCCGTACTACGTCGAAACCAACAGAGCCATTTCAGGTCACTTCAATCAGCTGCGAGCCTTACCAGTCACTCCAGGATCATGATATTACAGCTGCTTGATGCTTCGCCCATCACAATCACAGCACATCTAATCCACAGACTCGAATGGATTTTAATGAGAGCTTAAAATCTTAAGTCCGCTTTCAATCGAATGTTGACAATATTTGACGACAAAACATGCTTGCCTTGCAGAAATCTTTTTTCCTCTCTGAAAACTGAACAGCTGAGCATCTGGAGCAGTATGAGAAATAGCGCGGCGCGTAGCAGCCATCGCGCGTCTCACTGCAGTCCCAGACTCGACCGTAACGGACGTCACGGCGACAGGCAGACTCTCGCAAACTCTAAATTTCGCACGCACCATCTACATTTCTAAGCAGGGCCGAAAGAAAACAAGAAGTACTGCTTCACCGCCGTGCTGCCGTGCCGCTGTATGGCTGCGACGACTGCACAAAGAAGGGTGTCTCAAAGGAAGGGAGGGAAGTGCCAACCCGGCCAACACAATCGATGCGGGCCTCAAATTTCGATTCCGCGCAGCGAGGGCACAAACCTTGTGGCAAATCAGTGCGAATCGCGCGATGCTGGGCGAGAGAAAGGGAAAGGGGGAGCAAACTTGCCGGATTTGCCGCTGCCATTAGCAGATTCTTGAGTCTGAGGGTCAGCGGCAGGCGGCAGCCTGCTGGTCTGAAGCAAATGAGACGGCGGATATTGGCACGGCGCCCCCCGCCCCCCCCCCTCCCTCGTCGCTCAGAAATCACAAATGCTGTGTTTGGACCTTTCTGTCTTCTGTCGCTCTAGAGAGGCGGCCGCGGGCCTCGGTGTTGGTGCTTCGTGCGGCGCGATGACGGCTCGGAGGGCACGGCGTCGCGACGCCGACCCCGCACCGCGCCTCGCGTCGCCACCGCCGTCGCTGGCTCAGCAGCGCGGGCAGCGCGCCGCTGGCTGGCTGGCGGGGGGCGGTGGCCGCCCGTCCCTCCCCCTCTCAGTTGACGCCTGGCCTCGCCATCGGCAGGCCGCGCGGGCTCGCCTCTGTCTGCTGCCGCTGGCGCGCGTTCGTCCGCGGTGCACCGGCGCGACGCGACGCCGACGTCGGCGAGGTGGAGGACATCAAGCCGCCCGACACCAGCCACGACAGCCACCGATCTGACAGCAGACAGTCCGTCGTTCGTTCGCCGTGGGGTGTCGAGTCTGCACACCGGCAGCAGACGACGCCAGCAGACGACGCGCCCATACCGGGATAACATAACCGCGCCAAAAAGCGAGACCGGGCGACAGCCGGCACTAACCTCTTAACGTCCAACGTGTCGCCGTGTGCGAGGAAGAGTGAGTGTCAAGTGCAAACATGCGTGCGGGCCGACGTTGAGACAAGCAGAGACAGAGACAGTCGAGTTGGTGTCGTCGCGTGAATAAGGAAGAACCATGACGGTGACGTACACCGGCGAAGTCGCCACCTGCCGGGGCTTCGGCTGTTTCCTCAAACTTTTGATTCGGTGAGTAAGTGCGCCGGCCGTTCTTGGAAGGCCGCGGAGGGAGGGAGGCAGCCTGCCATGCACTGCCATGCACTCGGCGTGAGTCATGAGTGATACGGAGCCGCTCCGCTCATGGCAATTGGACTGCTTGAGGCCCTCCAGCTGACTGATTCCGAAAGTAATTTTCGTCGCCCTGTCTCTCTCGCATTCATGGGGCGCGTTCCCTATGGGTGCGAGAGAGCGGGGAAAAGGACTCTCTGAATGAGTCTAGCCTCCCTCAGGGGGAGGGGCGAGGCTGGCCGCGCTTGGAACCTCTGTGAATGCTGTCAGTGGCGCATCCAGAAATGGCCCAGTGCTGGTGGTGGGAGGGGAGCAGCAACAACGTACCTACTTCTTTCAGAGCCAACTGTAGCGTTTGGCCGTGCCGGTGCCTCGGCCCTTAAGCGCGTTCGCAGGGGGTGGGCGGTGGGCCTCGGGGATTCATGACCATGGCCCCCTCCCCCTCCTCCTCCTATCCTATCCTTAATAAAACGCCCGATGGGTAGGCAATTTGTCCCACAATCGGCCTGTAAGTCGGCCAGAGGAGCGACATACCTCCTCTTCCTTCGAGTCTGGATGCGCGCCTGTGTCCTTTAGAGAGGGGCGGTTACCCCTTCATCTTCCCCCTCCTCCCTGACTGTGCGTGCTTGTGTTTTGTTTCACTTTGTCGGCGGTTTTGGTCGTTTTCGCCAGTGCCTGCTAATTGGTCCTCCTTGGCTGCGGCGCCGACGCTGCGTGCGGCGGCGTGGCGTTTGCCTATCTGAGCCTTTCGCGCCAAAACCGAAAATGGCACCGCAGGCCCGCCAAGCCAACCCGCCTCCACTGGAAAAAGTCTGCCAAGCATCCGCTTCGTCTCTCTCACACTCTCGGGCGCACCCCATTGGTGCGCGAGAGACAGAGCGACGAGCACGACACGAATGAGTCTGCTGATGATGGCACTCTTCCCGGCCCGAGCGTGTACGCAAGAAGCTTGGCGCCGATTCACCTGCTGTCTGTCTGGCTCGCCGCTCCGCATCAAAGTTGTCGCAACGAGCGCAACTTTGCAAAGAAAGAGGGGGGGGGGGGGGGGGGGTACCCGGGGGCCGCCGCCCCAGCGCCGCCCCGCACCCCGAGCCATGCCCAACCCGCGCCTCGCTGTGCCTGGCTGTGCCTCACGCGACGCGGCCCCTCGGCGCATAATGGCTCGTCTGCTGCAGAGTTGATCCCGAGTGGGAGGTCGCTCTCTCTCTCTCGCACTCACGGGGCGTCCCGAAAGGCCCGTAAGGGTGCAAGAGAGACGGGCCGACGAAAGCACTGTTCGTGATCACTCGCGTCTGCATGGGGTTGTTGCGTGCCTCCTTGGCGTGGCCGCGCCGGCCGCGCTCTGCACTGTTAAGTGCGCGAAGTACACGCCCCACCGTCGCGGTCACCGCACTGCCGCCGGAGAGCCGCAGCCACTTCGTGAATCCTTGCCCAGCGTCGGCGCTCGGCGGGGAAGTCCCTGCTCCCGTCGAGCCCCGCGTCTGGCGGTCTGGCGACACTCAAATGGAACAATGCGACTCTATGCGCGGGGGCGCCGGGGCGGGGGCCTCGCAGCGGGCTGGTTCCGCACAGTAGTTTGTCGCACGGAGCGCCCCGTGAGTGCGAGAGAGACAGAGCGACGAAAGCACCGGGCCGGCGGGCCGCGGCCCGGAGAGGCGCGCAGCGCAGCGAGTCAGGTGACGACTGCATCGCCGTCGTGGCCGCGCCGAGGGAAACGTTCCTGCGACGTAATTTGTCCGGAAACTGTAGGGACACTGGGCCACGGACACGGAAAGGCGCGCCGGGGAAGAACCACTGACCCGAAACCATTCCGACGGGGGGGGGGGGGGGGGGGGGACCGCGACCATGACTACTGAGCCTCCAGTAGACTCATTCTTAGAGTCGTTTGTCGCCGCTGACTCTCTCCCACTCATAAAGACAGAGCGACGAAAACTGTTCTCAAAGTCAGCCCGCTGTCGGTGCATCACCCGTGGATCATCTGTAAAGGCAAGTCTAAAAGTACCGTCAAAGCACAGAGACACGGCATGAACGACGCTCTAGTCGTGAAACGATTAGGGGGCGAGGCTTCACACTCGCGCGTCGATCTGTTCAATGGGTTGAATCAAGAAGCCCTACGCCGCCCGCCCCGCCTCCGGGCTAAGACTCCCGCTCGCGCCAGACGCCAGCCCAGACGCCCCCGCCGCCCCACAGGCAAGGCAGGCGAGGCGAGCGCAAACAGAATGCCGCAACCTCATCCTCGGAGCGCCCTAAGCCCAGCCTTTAAAACGCGCGGCCCGCCCGGCGTGTGGCGGGGCGGGGCGGGGCGGGGCGGGGCGGGGCGTGGGCCGCTGATAACCCTCCGTGTGATAACAAGCCGGTCGGCACCAAAGCCCTTGAGGAGCCCTAGGGCTGCCCTAGTGCCCTGCGGCGCGCCGCGTGCCCCTTTAGTTGCGGTTAGACACAGAGATAGATAGAAGTGAAGTGACAAGAGCCGGGGGAGAGGGGGAGGGGCACAGAGATGAGATGGATGCTTCGTTCTCCGAGATGGAGGCCAGACAGCAGCATTCATTGAACCCCGGTAATGAGAAGCGACTAATGTTTGCGATGCTACAGCGAGTCGCGGCTGGAGTAGTGTCATGCGGAAAGGAGCGGGAGGCGGAATCGACACCGCACGTCAAAGTCAGCACACAGAGCCGCTGCGAGGCAATCCAGTCTCCATGGCAACGCGCGCTGCGGCCGGACGGCGGATCGGAGAGCCAGCCAGGCAGCCAAGCCAGGCTTGCTCATTGTCATTATTGAGTGGACCGGCGCGGCGGCGCTTCGACAATGACCGGAACCAGAGACCGCGTGGACCGCGTGGCCTTTCGGCTCGGCGGCATGGCGGTGCACTGCGTGTAGTGCAGCCCGTCGTCGAGCTGCTCTCCCCCCCCCCCCCCCCGGGCCGCGATTTTCAGCAACAGTCCGCCGGCCGCTCTCGTGTAGCACAGTTTGCTGTTGTTGTTGTTGCTGGGCATACAACGCGGTCACACAGTCGCACACTTGCACGCCCCGCGTTGGAGATAGCAAAGCCATGCCGCGAAGCGCCAAGCCCGGCCCAGCCCGGCGCGGTGCAAGCCTTATCGTGGGGAGGTGTCGCTATCTTCCAGCTGGTTGAGGTCTTCCCTTCGGCCGTCTGTGTGTGTCTGTGACTGTGTTTGTGACGGCGTCTTTGTGTGCTTGTGTGCGTACGTCTGTGTGTGGGTGGGGTTCGCGGCTCGCGGCAGGCCTTGCCGAAGCCTCGGCCGCAGCCCATGCAAAGCGAGAGGCGCGTGTGGTCGCGTGATGCGCGGTGCGACCAGGCCGATACCGGAAGTGTCCAATTTGAACGCCGCGCGCCGCAACGCGCCGCACAGTGTGGGAGACAGGCTGCACCTCCTCGGCACTCCGGAGGTGGGATTCGCGACGGTTTCAAACGGGCGAATTTTTCGCTCGGTCGGATCAGCAACAAGCGTGTCGGATCGCCACTTTCGCACGTCGTGTGGCGGTTTTGGGGAGATTCTGCAGAATGAATGGATGTTGGAACTAGGCCGCGCTGCCGCACTGCTAGGAATGTCTGGGAATGCGGCCCACTGCCGGCCGCTGCCGCTTGCTGCTGGTTAGTGCGGTCACCTGACACACGCAGCCATTATCCCCGCGCGCACGTCGCGCACGTCGCGCACGTCCGTCGCCGTGGTGGCCGTCCTCGAGGCTCGAGGCGAGGACACGCCGCGCGCCGTGCGTAGCGCGGACGTCACGGCGGCGCTGTCTGTCTGCGCGGCGGGCCTGCAGACCGACTCCGCGAGCCCTCTTCGTCGCCGTCTACCCCGCACCTACAGGGGACGCGCCAAGAGTGCGAGAGAGACAGAGCGACGAAAACGACTCTCGGAGTCAGTCTGCTGCCGGACCTAGAGGCGGCCCTACCGCCCGGAAGGTGGGCACCCCGGCGAGCGGCGGTGCATCGCGGCGGCAGGGCTGCCTACCCCGGGCCTGGCAGGCGCTCCAAAGGCGTGAGAGCCTTCAAAGGAGCTCGGCCCGGCCCGCCAGCTCGTCCAGCCGACTGCCCTCACGGCGCCCCGTGCGCGCCCTCGTCCTCGCTTGGAATTGAATGGGACGGCCCTTGTCAAAGGGCAGGCCTCGGGGCAGGCGAACGGACGGACTGAGAGACAGACAGACAGGCAGGCGACCGGGGTAATCCTTCCGAGGCAATGTGTGCTAAGCAGCCTCGGATGCGCGGTGCGCTGCTGTCGCCGAGCCATTCCGCTGCCCGCACTCATCGCTCTGTCTCTCTCGCACTCGTGGAGTGTGCCGAAGGGGTGCGAGAGAGACAGACTGCACGCGGCGCTGCAGTGGCTGCGCCAAGCAGTGCAGTGCCGCGGGGCATTTGGGCGGCCTTGGCGGGAAATCGGCTCCGCCATGACGGTCGCGACGGTCTTCGCGTGCAGCGGCACGCTGTCGTGTCGTGGAGGAGCCTCGGTCCGGCGCCAGCGCCCGCTCTCGGGCACATCGTTTACCAGCGCCCCGCCTCTCTCGGGTACATAGTGTACCAGCTGGCGCCGTCCTCTGCAACTCTTTTGAGGAGTCGTGGGCGTGTGCCCTCTGTGGGCTGGTGTCGTCGCTCTGTCTCTCTCGCACTGCCGCGGTACGCCGCACAAGAGAGACAGACGGAGGAGTGTCATTCGGAATGTGCCTGCTGCCGAACCATGACGGCTGCCGAGCGAGTCGCGCGACACCGAGCTTGGAAACAAACTATTTTTCCACACTGACGGTGCCGCGTGTGGCTATTTCCGGCACTGGGTTGTATGACTCCCTTTGGTTTCCGGTCAGGTGCTCGCGTCGCCGGGAAGGCCCGGCCCGACTGAAGTCGACGGCGCCGCCCGGGAGAGGCCACCAGTGTGCTGGTCAGGGCGCTCTGTCTCTCTCGCACCCACGGGGCGTTCCGACGAAAACGACTCGCGGGGTCTGTC